CTTCTGAGATCTAAATTTTTAAAACAATGTTTTAAAAAACATTATTAACTATTATTACTAACATAATTAACTCATTGTATACATAATAAATAAATATTAAGCCAAAAAAAAAAAGTTTCAAAAAACAAAAGATCATCTAAATTAACATAATTTTGTTAGGATATAACTTATATAGCTGTTGAAAAATGGTAAACTATTTTAGTGTTTTTTTTATCGCATACTTGTTATTTGTTTCGTTTGTCGATAAATTATATTATTATAAAAAGCTATAAAACTGGGCAATGACAAATTGTTAAAAAAACATTTTCCACGTGGTTTCTGTACAGCATAAATAAATACTTGTCTATACGTTACAAATGTCTTGCATACGTTAAAATGGTAACACGGCCGATGAGTGTAGCTATATATCTTATAACGAGACGTGTAAACGAGAGACATTTAAATTCTCAACGCGTTTTTTTATAATGATAAAATATTAAAAATCTACTGAACAAGACGTCGGGTTTGTTGTTGTTTGCGTTCCCGCCTGTAGCGTGCATGACCCCTCTGGATCGGTTCTCGGTCTTCGACAAACACGTGCAAAACATTATAAAAGAGCTGTAAAAGTTTTCGTATCGACTCAGACCTTATATAATGCAATAATATTCTTCTAACGCCTATTAGTTTAACAGGGTACACTAGTTTATACATTTTTTTTTATTCTCGACGTGTCAGTTAAAAAACAAGTGTGATACGTCTTATTGTAAGATAAAAAAAATTACTGTGGCGGCGTACGAGAATAACAAAACGAGGGGACCGCTGAGCTGGAGAGTGGAAAGAGAGCGAGACAGAGTCGTTGTAAGAAACAGAGCATAGGCATATATAGTGTACACGTGATAGGTCGAAGGCGAACCAGTTGTCCCATATAACATATTCGCTGCTCTTCCGCCGCCACCATCCGTCCGCCCAAGAGGTAAACGGATTACTTCTCTATTATTAACTCCCCCTTCTTCCCCATTCCGCCCCCTTGGGCATCCGAAGAAAATAAAGACATCAACACGAATCCGGACGTGCGGCGTCACATAATGGGTTATCCAGACAACCGGTTCTACAGGTTCCCCTCGCGCCCCCTTCGCCGCTCCTGCTGCTCCTATCCAGGCAATGCTCTCGCCACCGACAACCGCGTCGCGCCCTTCTTATTATTATTATTATTATTCTTATACCGCCAACCGAATCCTTCTTTTTATTTTTTTTTTCATCTCTCAAATCCACGGCCGGTGCACGTGTATGCGCGTGCGAGTATCCAATAGTTTAGAAATAAATAATAATTATAAAATTAATAGGTACAACGCAAGACGTGTGTGAGAATAATAACAAACAAAACATATAACGCGTACCTGTCACGTGAAAATGTAATCTCGTTAACACGGACAATGGTAAAATAATAAATACATAATATAGAGATGTCAAGGAGAAGTGTATAGTACTGTGGAAAAAAAAATATTATCTTCTCGTCGACTTAAAACCTCATCTAACGATGGGGAACGGTATATTGCGCTAGGAATATTATCAGTGTGTTTATGAGTGTAGTAAACTGCGCATGGAAACTCTCGGTTAAACTTTAGATAGGTGTAGTACTTACGTCTTACACGGCGAAAAGTGGTGGTGCACCACGAAAAAGTGTTCTTCTATACTTAAAACACTAAAAACTACAAAAGTATTTTCAAATAAATTCGTCCATAACCTAACGAAAATGGTGATACAACAAATTTACCGTAACGACCAATAATTAGCTCTGCGACTAAGGATAAAGCGGAAGATGATATCTCTGGGCGACCCTCAAAAATACTACATCAGTATCTTACAGCAAGTTCAGCATAATATATATTAGAGGTCAATGATATAAAGTATATTAAAAAAAATAAATGTAAAATCGTAGACGCCGACTTCAATCGTTATAATATATCGATAAGATCAACAAATATATTTTACATCTCAGGTAAAAAGTTGATTTCTACGCAGTTTACTACCACCTTTTTGGCAAGATAAAAAAACATTGCGCAATTTACAATCTTCCCTACGATCTTAATCAACTGTGGCTGTATAATTTAGAATATTTAATGAAACCATTGATTTTATAAAATCAAATCAATGGTGAACTAAAAAAATGTATGACCAAGAAACGGTTTGAAGTGGCAATGGCATATTCGTGCGTGTCTTTGTGTATTATAATTTATAATATTATACTTATCTAGTCTCGACATTTGACCCGCAGATGGCGGCGGTTTCGATCTCCACTCCCTTCGACCATAATTAAAACGTGACGTTAAGTTAATATTTTGCCAGTATCGCATTTCACGGAGGTCGAGCCTGTAGTCTAGGGGGTCAGAAATCAAACAGGTACATAAATACAGAATTTCTAAGTATAGTATGTTATCTAAAGTAGGATTGGAGGTTGTTGGAGCCGGTTTCAGATTTTGTCAAGTACTGTTGGATATTAACAGATAAAAAGATAGATTCTTCAATTTACCAAAAAAAAAAAACAATACGTCGTTAAATGTTTAATACTGGTTCAACCAACCTCCTCCCTCCCCGTCCTCACCTATGGAGTATTATAGAAAATCCCTATACGAAAATTTTACTAGATTATATTAGACCGCCTAAAATCCTTCACCAACACATTTTCAGTGTTTTAATTTGTGATAAGAAAAACAGTTGTCGAAAATATTAAAATATGTTACTCCCAAAATCGTGGTACATAGAATCGGCCTGTTCCTTTAATCATCACCTACCATGTGCTCGAGTACCATGGTTACCGTGGTTATAGATCAAGTGTTTATTTTGGGTTACCATGGTTACAAACATTTAATTTATTTACATTTCGTATTTAAAGTACAATGTTCGTGTTTGAGGCCACCCTTAGGGGTGGAATTTTCAAAAAGTACTATGCTAGTTAGGTTCGCGGGAGTGTACTTAACTTCCCAAAGTTTCATAGCGATCGGATGAATGGTGTACTAATGCATAAAAGACACACAAAAAAACAGACAGAAATTCCTTTATATATATATATAGATTACAGTAGTTTTTTTTGCGTAGTTGTAAATTGACAATTTATCAAAATTACAAAAAGTATTAAAATTAAAATTGTTTAATTAGAAAAAATTAGAGGCCTATAGGATAGTTTATGTGTCTATTACTTCTTTTTTCTAGTATCGCATAATTATTTTAACATAATACTATAGTTATAAAATACAATACAATTTATAATTATAAAAAATTATAATTTGTCTAAGTAGTTGCCTATTATCAACCCCTTAACAACCGACCCATTGTTTTTTAAGGTGTTCTGTATAGGCAACCCATTTAAATTCTATATACGATTTTGGTTTAGAAACATACTCGAAAATTCCAGAACTGTAGAAAAAAATTCTCACGTCCCATTATATATTACATATATTGTATAATTATATAGAGTGATTTTTGAATGGGACGCGAGTAGCAACTGTGAGTGTCACTTACCTTAGTATTTCTTTAAGAATGTTTCAGTTTTTCTACAGACTTTTGGAATTTTCGAGAATCTTCTAGAAAGTCCTCGACCGTTCTTGGAGTAATTGTTATCCCTTACTCTCTAATATACACTCACACATCGAGAATGTTACAGTTTTTCTAGAGATTTTTCGAGAAAATTCTAAAAAGTTCTGGAACGTTCCTAAAGTAGTTTTTACGCAGAACACATGTTTAGAATATACATTGTTCGTCTATATTCTAGAAATAGAATATTCAATTTCTGAGGGTATAATAAAACGAAATTCATCGCACGTGAGTCAGTATTATTTTGACATCTGTTGAGTAAAGATTGATTAAAAAAAAAAATAAAGTACAGTGAATTAAAAATTAAAGAATTATAGAATTTACTGGAATGGAAATTGGACAGTGTTGTAACATTATAATTATTATTATTATTATTATATTATATATATATATATGTTACGTGGGCCGGTTTTATTATGATAAATAAAAAAGCTATTTTTTTTATAAAAAATTTTACTTGCCATCTTTAAAGGCAATTACCATCACTGCAAAATACATCGTTATAGACCAACTAAAATTATGGCTAATATAAGGGCAATTTATATTAATTTATTGATTAAGATCGATCGATTCCAAGCGATGGCGTTAACATTATTTAAAAAAGTCTATTTTGACATAAGTGTCGCTTACGCCAAATAAAACGGCCAAATTATAACGAGTACACGCGAATGATAACAAATACATTGGAACAATTAATTAAAAGTTACATTTTTACTTTTTATAATTCAGTCATAATTAGACCATCCAACTGGATTGTTAACTGCAACAATTATTTATAGATTTCAATGATAATTCAATACCGCAATATGACGTACAATTGTTTTACTATTGAATTGGGCACGATAAACAAGCACAAATATAATATTCTAAAATGAAATAAGAGCACTCTAGTGATCAATAATAAAATACATTTTTATTGAGTTCTTGAATTGAAATTGTTTTGAAAAAATATTATGTAAATAGCTCATTTTTCAATGTTTTTGAGTCGTTGCAGTCTTGAAGTGGACAGTCGAATTATCTCTACCCGATTATACACGGTAAACGTGGAAAATGTGTCCCGTCCAGAGTTCTAGTTATACCATATAATACCAACCCACTCGCCTAATAGCCGCGTGCAGTCCCATAGCGTCACACGTCCCTTTATATTTCACACAACAACCGGCAAGCGTCGGGCACAGGGCACTTACGTTGTGACTTGCAACAGATCCGCTTTTACCTGACATACTTACTTTAAAATCACCTGTCGTCAAATTTGTTTTATTAAATGCACCGCGTGTGTAACGAGACGTCCGACGAAATGGAACTTGCAAGCAGTCCGGACTACACTGTTTCCGAATACGATTTAGTCGATTTATATCCTAACTTCATAATAGGGGTCTGTATCGTATGCAGCGTTGTATTTATCATTGGCCTGGTCGGTAATCTGTTGGTCGTATCCGTTGTGCGAAATTTGCCCCACATGCACAACGTAACAAATTACTTGATCGCAAATTTGGCCGTAGCAGATCTTTCAGTCACTGTGTTTGTTTTACCGTTACACTTACTCTCCGGCAATCGTATAAGCAGTAAGTGAAACTCTTGATTACATAAAGTAACAAAAAACGCATTACATATACTTATCCCGGATCGATTGACACAGCACCAAAAAAATTATAATAATACGATTTTAAAATTAATCTATTAAAAAGTTTCGAGTTTTTTATGGCGAATATATTAATTGTAAATGTTTAAAAGGGCGCGTTGCGCCTACACGTGTACTTTTATGTAAAAAATATAATCACGAAAATCCGGTTTCATATAGACTTATAAGTTTTGGAGTAAAAACACCTACTATCAAACTAGTAGAAGAATAAAATATGTTTAACAGTCTGTTAGTATTGTACTGAAGAAGTGGATTTTTTCAACTTCTCCCCCCCCCTCCTCTAAAGTACAAAATAGATGAAATTTGTGATTTATAGAATTACTATTCGAATAAATTGGTCCAGTATTAAAAAAGTTACAGTGTTTACAGACACAAAAAAAAGCTCACATCATTGTCAGCCCATAGCATCGCTGCTCCGTATCGAAGCTAAAAACACTTTAGTAGCCTTTTAATTAACCTTAACGCAATAGCAATATCTTGCAAACTGGCGACAATGAGCCGATCCCAATACGGGCTGATCTTTTTTTTTGTACTTCATTAAACACTTTATTCGTTATTTAATTGAATTTGGCCCAATTGTATAATCATTTTTATTTTTATTTTATTTAGTCGTCAAAAATATACCTTCGTGGGCCTGTAAGATGATTTCGTTTGTGTCATGTTTGTCGTTGACCGCTTCGTGTTATTTTTTGGTCGCCGTTTCTGTTGAACGGTAAGTTTACGTTCAACGTACTGATTGTCTTTTTCTGCGGATAATATAATATAAATTAATAATTCTATTACAACGATTTTGTGGTTTTTTGTAGCTTTCTGGTAATCTGGTATCCGCTAAAGCATCATCATATCGCCACTGGCCGAATACGGTTTGTGATCGCCGTCGTTTGGTCGGTGTCTGCCGTGCTCAGCGTCCCGCCTGCTCTGTTCGTGGGACCAGTGCCGGGAGTGGGCAACCTATCCGAGTGTTCTGAAAAGTGGCCAGACTTTCTTCTGGATAAGTATTGGTTCGACTTTTCAAACCTGCTGTTGCTCCGGTACGTTTTTCCGTTTGGCGTAATTTCGCTGTGTTACGCCATGATATGGCTCAAGGTGTACCGGCGGACCATACCGACGGAGATCATGGACGCTAAATACGAGTTGCTGCTGCAAAAGAGCAAAGTCAGGGCCTTCAAACTACTTATTTTGATCATACCGTTTGCCGTTTCTTGGCTGCCCCTGCAGATTTTCTTTGTGAGAACAAAACCGTCCAGTTGGGAAAAGCAAATGTTGCCCGTTGCCGTATGGCTGGGCGTCAGCAACAGCTGCGTCAACCCAGTGCTGTACGCAATGTTCAGCAAGACTTTCCGTCGAGAATTCTTAGCCATTGCGCGCACCTGCAAATGTTGGGGCAAGCTCAAGCACGAACAACAACAATTTGGAACCAGACAACGGAGCCAACAAAGCGTTTCCCTCCTCAACTCTACGCACTTACATTCCCCGACAAGCCAGTCGGACGACGAACGCTCGTGTGGTCAACAAACAAAACGGCAAATAGATTTCTGAGGAGGTTTTCAATGATGTTGTCGGTGTCCATCCATCCTCCTAAACCTATTTTTGTAGTGAAATCATATCCCTGCATGTCCATCTTGGGAGTGCTGATTAGAAATTCAGCTACCCAAAAATTTGAGCCGCCTATCACTAATAATATAATAATATAATTGTGTACTAAATACAAGGTATCAAAAAGTATGGTTTTATTCGAGTTTAAAATTTGATTTAGGTATTTTACATTTGTTTTTCTTAATTTAATCTTATGCTAATTTAAATGATTAAAATATATATTTTTTAAAAATATTTTCGTATTGTTGTTGTAGTATTTATGCCAAACACAAAAAATAAGAGTTAACTACATATTTGTCATATCAAGTATAGACACAACATTGTTATTATGTTGTAAAAAAAATGGGTTAATGACATTTATTTTACAAAAAGAAAAAAAGAATACCCATGGGCCATCTTAGCATACACGCTATTATGCTATGCATGTTAAAGTGAAATTTAATTTTAGTAACAGTTCTTGTAGTAACAGTAGTATCTAGTTAAAATATGCATTTGATCTATGGTGAGATTAGATTTTATTTTTAGCCGAATAAAAACTTCCAAAATTAAATTGAACACGACAATGCCTTGATGTATGTACATAATTAATGTCTAATTGCATAGGTACTTGATAAACCGCAATGTTGATTATGATTAATAAAAAACTATTAACGATAAGAAAACAAAAAAAATGAACACCATACTAACAAAACAATGATCTTATACATCTAATACATCTTACCCAAAAGTTCACATCTATCAAAATTGCTGGTGAAAAACACGTGTTTTTTGGGTACTTTTATTCTGATAACTTTGTATTTAATGTACCAAAAACCAAAACAGTCACTTTTGCTGAAGACTCCCGTATTCTGACCCATTCATTGATACAGCCGCTAGACACTTGGTTCAACCATATGAATCTTCATGTATTACTTTCACGGTTTCATGTATTACTTTCACAGCCTCAAAGTTAGTCCTCCATTAACCCTTAACAATAATATAATCCCAATAGGAAACTCCGTTGTATACTTAGGCATTCATCTTGATAAACGACTAACCTGGGCTACACATATTAAAACTAAAAAAAATATCAAGACCTCCCTTGACAATAAAATTCTTCTGAACAAACAACTTATTCGTCCTGCAATGACTTACGGCATCCAAATTTAGGGATCGACAAAAACTCATACCTTAATTTATTTCAATCCTTCCAAACGATTAATCTGTTTATTATTAAAATCTGTTTATTATTAACTAACGCCCCGTGGTAGGATGTAAATAATCGTACTCATCAAAACGACCTCAATATTCCTAAATTTTAACAACTTTTTTTTTTAATTGGTCCAATAAATAGGGAACAATAGTATATTACATTTGTGTTATCTTATACTTTATCTTCCGAGTCTTTATAATTTCCAACACCAAAAATTTGGGAATTTTGACTATGATCGTTTTTTCAGCATTAATAAATTTATGTTTTTTCGGTACCGGCATATATATCAAAATCAGAATGCTACTATTGAAAGGAAAATAAACGCAGACAAGACATGTCTTAGGTAGACACTATAGGCTGCAAGTTTCCACTTTCCAGGCTTCCCGCTTGAGTAACAGCTATAATTGTACTTTTTATACCAATCTGTGATTGCAGGAAAAACGCCAATTTTAACAGTTCACAATTTATTACTGATAAATTATCGGTGTTATCAAAGAAAAAAACGGATAGTTAATGCATAATAAAGTTTCAATGAAGTTTGAAAACCAATATTATTATTAATATGTTATTGGCAATAACTATGGTATATTTTATTGAAATACAAATAAAACATTTTAAATAAGCTTAAATAATCACTAATACCCTTTTGGTTCTCGCCACTTCAATCATGAAAGTAGACTGAATTAAATTGTAATTATCATTCAATATTATTTAATAAAAATGTAAAAAAAAAAAAAAATATTATAACACATATATAAACATAAAAAAAATTAGATTACATAACATTAATTATTAAGTTAATTACATTTTTTCAAAAATTTCATGGAATCCACAAGATGTACAAGTACGTTCGTAGTTGTCCTCATCTTCGTGATAGATCTCTTCACCAAATTCGTGTTCGTGTGAGGCTTTAGTGACTTTTGTGTATAAACTACTTCTGGTTGACATCCTTAGTTCTAAACATAAGTCGAATATAATAGTAATAAATCGCATGAAAAACAATGATTATTTAGTTGTAATATAAATATTTCAAGCTTAGTTAACCCATAACTATTGTCGTGCGATATCAGGTAAATAAAAGTATATAATATTATATATATAAATATATATTTTTTTTATGTAGTATTACTTTTATCTGCGCATTACTTTACCACTTTATATATATTATATAGTTTTAGGGCAAGAGGTGGAGTGTGGAGTGTGGTAGAGTAATGCGCACAGATAAAAGTAATACTACATTCCACCCTTCCTACCGTGAAGATAAGTCAGCTGTTACTTTACATACAACTTAGTATTTTACCTTTAAGTTTTTTCTTGTAATTCTTATGTTTTGTGGCTTTCTGTTTTTCTTGGCGCAGTTCAATTTGTCGTTCTACTTCTTCTTCGGATCCCCAAACTTCCAAAGCCCTTTTTTCAACCTATATATGATTATTAATTAAAATTTATTATTTACTAATAGTTATACACAATATTTTTTACTGACCTGAAGCAATAAATACAATTTCATTTCACCCCATCTAACATTATGTGGATTTTTTCCAAGAATATATCGTAAAGGAGGTGGACGTAAATCTATATCACAATCTTTCAACAAATATTCTTTCTTTGCTTCTGTTTTAGTGATTAAACCAAATTTTTCTCTTCCAAATAAATCTCTAAACAAACAAACAACATTACTATTTAAAATGACTGGTTTAGATAAAATATAAGCTCTTAATAATTTTTAATTAAATAATATGTATTAGAGTTATAATTAACACAATTCTGATCATTAATTGAATTGCAGAGCATAGTTAACCTCCACCAAACCAAATCTAACTTAAGCTCCGACTCCTCACAACTATCCTCTAATTTGAGCATTGATTTTAATAAACAATTTGATTTTTATTCATTTTTATCGGAGTACAAAAACTTTTACTTACTTGCATCTGTCACATACAGGGTGATCAAAATTGGTTAATAAATAAGATATACCAAATTCTTCATTGCATTCTAAGCAGGTAGGCTGTTCCGACTTGGATATGATAGGGTTGGTTTGTGGCTTCAATTCAACCTAAAAATAAAATTAGTTATAGCAACATGAGTTGTTGCAACGTAAAATTTATTTTTTAATAAACTAATTAAAAATATTGCAACAATTAAATTAATAACTATGGCACAAACAGCAAAATATTATAAACGGTTATAAATTTTACCAACCACTTTGGGTTTTTCTACGAGATCTTCGCTATTGAGTAGGAATCCAGCTTCAGTATCTGTGTACGATTGGCCAGCAACTATAATAGAATTCTTATTGGTAGGTGGTTGTACTGTAGGTCTACAATAATTAATTTTCCAATAATTATAATAACAACAAAATCAAACAATTAGATCGAATACTTAATGGTGATTTATGTTTACTTCTGACAAGGTTGTATAGGGGCTGTTTTGGCTTTGGTCTTATTCTGTTTTATAATCAAAGCTTTTTTTCTATTTTCTTCGATACGTTTCCTCTGCTCATCCGTCAATTCCATTTTAGACATCAAAAGAGTAAGAAGAACAACTATGTACGTTGTATCAGGTTGTTTTGTAGTTTTCAGTAGATGTAAAAAAACATAAGTATTTGTATTTAAAGCAAAAAGCGCTAAAACAATTTATTAATTGGCACTCGGTAGGTAAATAATATGATGTAAGATAACATCAAATAAGATATTATATTATTCTTTTTTTAAAATTATTTTAAATAATATATTATTATTCAATAGTTCAACGAAAAAACTTACAACTTACTCTATGTAATATGTAAACACCATGTTTAATCTATGACCATAAACCATAATCGGTAAATATCTCTATGGAAAATATAGAATTTGATTATACGTTACTCATGATAAGACTATATGATAAGAGAAAAATAATTTTAAATTTTGTATATTAATTATTTTTCCACTTCTCTCGCCCGTTTAAAATCTACCTACTAACCTTTTATATGTTATGAAACTCGACAAAATAGTATTTTCTATGTATTTTAGCGGTCGTCACTAGAGATCTTGTAGGTACTTCATGAAATTGAGTGAAATTCAGAAAATATTGCTCAGCTTGTAGCTAGAACATGACAAATAAAAGCTTCCAAGCTCCAGCTGATGAAAAATCAATACCTCTTGTGGTTTATAGATAATGTGTCGCAATTTACCTCTTACGAGTAAAATAATTTTCGCTTTCTTTTTAAGATAATAAGAGTAATAATTTGTATTGCTTATTATTAAGTAAACAAATGATAAAGTCTTATACTTATATATGGATAAAATAATGCGTGTAAGTGAAACATTTGTATTTTAGGATTGAACCTGATTTAATCTTAGTTAAGTTTATAATTATTTCCTCTGGTTCTGAACTCATGTGTTATCGTTACAGAGTTATTTAAGACTATAATATTGATACTCGAATTAAAATGTTTAATTAATTAATTATCAAGTTCAAAGCTCTTTCGTGTTTATACGGTGGGGAGAGGTGAAGTGTTTTGTTGACGCCCCACTCACTGTAAACACATTTATTTGGTTATAATGCAATTAATAAAGCCTAAAGTTATTATTTAGTGAATATATTTATGAAGTTTGTACATTGTTGTAGTTTTGAACTAGTTTCAGTGTTAATACAAAGAATTAAAGTGTTTTTTAAGTTGTATTCCTATAACACAGTGGAAATACATATTATTGTCTCTCAATTTTCATTTTATGATTCCAACAAGAAAATAATAAATGAAGAACGCATAAATAATTTTATTTTTAAATGAATGTTTGTGTATTTTTTTACAGATCATATCACACATTATGCGTTGAATGTATTAAATTGATTATCCAACGTAGTATGCCTTATGAACAACTGTAAGTCTTCTTCACTGCAAATATTGCATTAAGAAATATTTCAAACCTTAACATGGCAACCGATATGACCACCAATATTGAAACTGTAGAGGTACTGATGCGTGAGGCCGATTGCCTTAAACACAAGCTGGATGAGGAAAGGAAAAAATTGAATGATGTCACATGTACGTCATTGATAGAATTATTTAATTTTAATTTTATAATGCTAACAAATAGGATTTTGATTTTAATAGAACATTATTTTTTAGCATAAAAATTGTATTACAAGGAATATGTTTTATTTGCTTCATGCTAGGTAAATAGCAAACCCTATTACTTTAAACCAAAAGATGACTAAAGGGTACCATACTTTTTTTTAAAAATATTTTTTAGAAAGAGCTTTCAACATAAAACAATTATACCAAGTACTGAATATATTTTAAAATGACATTCCTTTCAAAATATAATTGTTTATAGATTTCTTTATTTGTGTTTTTGCTCTAAAACCATAACAGGCAAAGTAAAATGCATTCTGCGTAGATATGTTAATGCAATTAGAACTTTTTAAAACTGTTTTTGTTAAATTAAATCATGTTTATAGTGGCAAACGTTGCAGAACGCCTAGAAGAAATAACTTTTTTGAACATTAAACCTAGACGATTACTGAAAGGAAACCAAGCCAAAATGTTGTGTTGCGATTGGTCACCAGATAAACGACATGTTGTTTCATCGTCTCAAGTATTTTTTTTTTTTTAGATAATTAAATTCAACAAAAACAATGCAATATGTAAAAGAACTATATTATCTGTTTTATGTATGCTTGCTTGGTGTTGGTATGTATATCTGTTAGGATGGTAAATTACTAATTTGGGACGCATTCGCATCGACTAAAGATCAAACTGTCACAATGCCAACAACCTGGGTAATGGCATGTGCGTACTCGCCTTCAGGCAATTTGGTCGCATGCGGGTAAGATTTTTTTCGGGTAGTCTAGCAATACTAAGCTTGATGTAATGCTTAGTTTTAAACTTTTCACTGTTGCAAATTCTTATAATTTATACTTCAACACATTGGTAGGGTATCAGTTAAATGTACTTTCCTACAGTTAAAAAATGTTTAATTTACTTTCAGTAAAACTATTTATACATAAATGATAAAACTAATACACAAAAAACAAAAATAAAAAGCTCTGCAAGATTTAAAAGAACATTAATATTTTCATTTATATATACCTAGGCATGTAAATATTAATATTAATATTACTGTAATATGTGAATATTCTTTAAATGATTTCTACTTGGCAATAAAATTTAATAATATAATCTTTTTTGTATAAGAATCTTGCTTTAAAATCGCATGCTGCTTAAAAATAAACTTAAAATAATAATTCTTTAAGTAAATTAATAAAACTTTGCCTTAGTTATGTATTTATATTTACTTAGGGGCTTGGATAATAAAGTCACCGTATTTAATATTTCAAACCCTGAAGAAGATCCATCTGCTAAAAAGAAAACTGTTGGCACTCATACAAATTTCATGTCTTGTTGTTTGTTTCCAAGTTCAGATCAACAGGTAATTTATACTTGCATACTATAGTAATAGTATTAATATGTTAACGTTTGATTATAATTTATTTTCAAAGATATTAACTGGGAGCGGAGATGCGACTGCTGCTCTCTGGGATGTCGAGTCTGGTCAAATGTTGCAATCATTTCATGGTCATACCGGAGACATAATGTCTATTGATCTTTCACCTTCTGAAACTGGCAACACATTTGTTTCAGGCGTATGTAGCTATTTTTTTGCAAATAGGAGGCTTAAGAAGAAGTTGTAACCCTTATATTATATAACCTGATTAATTATTTATACATTTATGAAAATAATTCTAAAAAAAAGGTTGTTTTATATTTATTTATAATTGCAAACAATAAATAAAATATGTATTTTTAGACAGGTTGAATACATTTTATAACAGTTTTACAGTTATTATTATTTTTTATTTTTTTTAGAGCTGCGATAAGATGATGCTTCTTTGGGACATGAGAACAGGGCAGAGTGTTCAATCATTTGAGGGTCATGTGTCCGATATAAATAGTGTCAAGTTTCATCCTAGTGGAGATGCTGTAGCGTCCGGCTCCGATGATGCAACAGTAAGTATACACCTAAAATGTATTTATTTTTTACATTTTTTAACACTGTTGATATTCTAGTGTCGTTTATATGACTTACGAGCAGATAAAGAAGTTGCTGTATACACTAAAGAAAGTATTTTGTTTGGTGTCAATTCTATTGACTTTTCAGTCAGCGGTAAGCTTTAACAGTTCATTAATAAATTGAACACACTATCAAAATAATTGTTATCACATTTGGTTGACTGTCTTTTGCGTTTTTAGGTCGAATACTTTTTGGTGGATATACAGATTATACAATAAATGCATGGGACAGTTTAAAATGTGAAAGAGTTAGTTTACTTTATGGACACGAAAACCGAGTTACGAGTGTAAAGCTTTCACCAGACGGTACAGCATTAGCGTCTGCCAGCTGGGATGGATCTTTACGGGTATAAAAAACTATTATACATTTAAGTAAGATAACAATACTTCAATAATAATTTTTAATTGATTTTTTTTCAGATATGGTCATAAATAGTTTTAGAAATAGTCGTTATAAAAAGATGATACAGTTTAGTATAAAGTTAAGATAGATACTATGTTTAATTGTTTGTATTTTATAGTAAAAAATTATAGTTTAATCTACCTAAAACTATTATTTGAAAATGGTCACGGCGCGTGATTAAATAACTTGTCTTTTTACCAAATATTATATTATAATAATACTAGTTTTCATTCAATATATACACATATTTAAGGTTTATTTTATGAATTATTTATTTAATATATTAATATTATGCTAAGAATAAATATATAATTAAATATAAAAATTAATTTAAAATATCATTAAAAAGTATATTTATTCATCATCTTCTTCGTTTTGTTTATAAAATTGAATGAGGACATCAACATCTAAAGATACTTGAAGCACGTCAGAATCCCGTTTCCATTTGACTAATTCATGGTCAACAAATTCTGTTAGTTGACTTCTTAAAGCTAAATCGGTACTCACTAAAAACCGTTGACGACACCATCCGTAAAGAATTGAAAAAGGAACACCTGTGTGCAAAAAATAATAATAAGTAGGCTTTTATTTATAAATAAAACAATGTGTTATTTACCTCCGTATCTTTTATCACTTTTATTTTCAATGCGATCCTTTATCAGTAATAATAAAATTCGTTTTGAATTTGACGTCAAAGATTTATAAACATTACTAAGGGCTGACAATGTATGCGTTGATCCGGTATTTTTTACCATTAAAGATTCCATGAAACTAGTCTCAACAGTGTATGAATTGAAACTCGTACAATCCATCCATATAAAATTGTAATCCCCCAATTTAGTGTTGTCCCACACTGAACAAAATTGTTATGTTATTCAATATTTTGTTTTAATTTTTTTTTTTTGAATACTTACTCAAAGCTGCATTTACTCTATCGATAGACGCTATAAGATGAATGTTCTTTATCGAACAAATCCTAGATAATACCTGTTGAACCTTGTAACTTTGCAGTGAGATTCCGTCAATGTTATGCACTAATATATAAATTGATTCAGAGTTTCTAGATTTTTGCACCTCTTCGATTTGTTGCACTGCGAGTTCAGCACTTCCGGGACAATTGTCTAGTTCCAATATATCAATTATTATAGATTCCAATATCTGTAGAAAACCAAAAAAAAATGATAACACATTTAATATTAATCTATACAAGTCCAAACCTAGGCATATTTGTTTTTAAATCAAAAAATAATAAGGAACTTGTTAAAATAACAAAAAATACATCATTTTTCTAAAAACAATGTTTTGTAATGCAAGCTGAGGCTTTGACACTATTTAATTTAACAGCGCTCAATATAAAGATGTCCAAAAATTATTTAATATAATTTATTTTTTATAATTTCAAGTAATAATTTATGTAATCAATTCTTATTTAAAAAAGTCAAATAACCTGTCATAAAAAAAAAAATGTATTTATTTTTATTATTAAAAATGTGTATTGATACTTTAAATTTATACTTTTAAAATATATTTAAATAATGCACATAATTTATGTAGCTAATACTTTTTATAAAAATGAATAATTAAATTTTAACTTTATTTAATATGATAAAAGTTCAAGTTCATTTTACAAATGCAAATATAACTATTTCATACTTCTTTTATTGTCAATCCCGGAAAAAATCCATTAATAACTAGTATAAATTCATTTTCCAACATAGATGTTCTGAAGTCATCAATAAATTGTCTTTTTGAGCCAAATCCGTAAAGTAATAAATTAAAACCTTCTCTATTAAAAAAAAAAATGTTAAGTAATACACAAAGTTTAAACATAATACATTTAATAGTTACTTTAATAAACATTTCCAATAGGGGAATTTTTCAGTAATTCCTTTGTACAAATAATGTAATTTTTTCTCATGGATAATATTAGAATTAACAGATAACTGTTCAATTTGACATTTATTTAATGTTGGGTTTTTCAATAATTTCAATGTATTATCTGATGTTTTAGATTTCTTCATTGATTTGACTGATTTTGATAAAAAGTATTCTTCTGCTTTGTACATCTACAAATATATCCAAACATGAAAAATAAATAAATAACATAATACTTTCTATAGTATATGTCATATTCAATTTTTTTTAGTTACAAAACTAGTTAACCTACTTAAGAAAATAGAATTTTAGCACCCCCAGACTAAAAATTAACACTAAAAAATTCAAGCCCCAATCCTTGATTTGTCGCATAAAATTTTAATAATGTTCATACTCTGTTGAAATTTGGTATTTTAGAATATTTTTGTTTTCAAATATTTTATATTATCTATATTATCTAATAGTTTGAAAATTGATGTTAAGAATCATGATTAGTCAGCAGGTATACATAGTTTTAGCACCCCCTAAAATGTAGGTCTAGTTGCACCTGTGACTATAATATTAGTTATTGTTAAATGAGAATTTGTATATGTCTCTAAAAAGTAAAATCAAATTATAGTTACAAAAGGCACTTCTTTCTTCCTAGTTGATCTTCTTAAATTTGTATTAATTTCTGGCTGTATTTTTTTTGTTTCGGAATGAACACTAGAATCACTATCGCTTTCATCACTTTTTTCACTGACACTATAATCTGAATCATTTAGTTCACTTAGTTGTTCTAGTTTCTGTAAAGCGATTTCTAAAAAAAAAAAGGAAATATATATCAATACTTATAATAAATATTATTCATTTTAATAATAGTTAATATTCTTTAATAAATAATTTTACTTCAATATTAATTAAAACAATTATTACCTTTGGCAATTTTTTTCCTAATAATTCGAGGTGTTTTCGTCAATAAATTATCGGAGTTTGACTTTTGTTCAATGCTTGGAGTATTATTAGATTTTTTAGGAGTATGAGAGTTTTTTGATTTCTTAGGTGTCTCAAAACCAAAGCTGGAGCTGTTAGGTTTTTCGAATTTAACTGTAAAAATTTGTATTTTATATTTTCTAATATGATGACATAAAATAATAAAAAATAAAAAATTGCTTATTTACCTTTTGACGTTTTATTATTTTTAGTTTTGTCACTCTTTGTTTCATCACTATCTTCATCGTCGTCGTCATCATCAAACAAGGCTAAAGATTATTTAACATAGTGATGAAATGTGTAGACATATTTTTTTTAAATTATGTTAACTATAACTGGTTTATATAACCTTACCTTTAGGTTGAATACTCGAAGTTCTTTTTTCTGTTTTTTCATTTATTTTTCTAGCACTTTTTGGTGTTTTTTTAAGATCTATTTGACTTGTAGATGTTTTTTTCTTTTTTGACGAATTAAAACTGAACATACATGCACCGGGTACGTCTCCATCATTGAATAATGCTGCAAACAAATTTTTGTTAACAAGCCCCAGTTTCAATAAATAAAATTATTTGTAATTATTTGTTTACCTCTTGGTTTTGATGTAGAAGCCAGCTCAATATCACTATTGGCTTCATCACTGTTATTGCTATCTGGTGTAGTATAATCAACTCGTTTAGCTAAAATGATTTTTATTTTTTAATTTTAAAATTGTGACTAAATAACGCCAAAACAAATATGTTGATATAATTTAACTGTTAACATTCCAAAAAAAAATTCATAAATTGTAAATGTTTATTGTATGCTGGGCTGTATTCAGACCGATTTTCTCGGGTCATATGTCCGGGGCCTGGCCCTAAACCTTTTATTAAGGGGCCCAGGCCTACAAAAAAAATAAAATAAAAGGGACCCGGAAGATTTAGTTTCCCGGGGCCCAGCAAAGCTGAGTACGGCCCCGATTGTATTTACAGTATGCTATTGTTATATTAATACAACACACTAAATTAAAAAGCTTATAAAAAAAACTTACTTCTTAAAGATTTTCTTGAATTATGTTGAATTTCCGATTTCGTTTTTGAATCTGTTACCTTATTTGATCGACTAGACGCAAAAGACACTTTTCTTTTAGAAGACCCTAGTATAGAACTATCTTTTATTAAGTGTGTAACTGCTTTGTCACTAATGAATTCAACTTCAATAGCATTGTCGTCTCCTATTGTTCCCATCATAGAACGAATAATATAATATAAATAATTCTTTCAGAATTCGAGTAATACTGTAGTATTACTCAGATAACTAAATGTTTGTTCTGATTTACTGTTGTTTGTTATTAAACTTAAAAAATAAAAGCATAATTTTTATTACTATAATATAATATAATAATAATTAATTATAGTATTCTTATAAATCCAGTATCAATTTATATTTTATACATTTTCAAAGATTATCATTAAGCTGTTTTTCCGTTTCCCTCCTTTTTTATTATATTATTATTTCCTAACCTCTTATGATAAGCCTTCGGAAATACATATCAACAGCTGCTGTGATATGGTTGATCTTTTACGGTTACACCTCAAAGAGCCACTCGACACGGAGCCACTCGACAAACAACCACCGAAAATCGACACGGAGCCACTCGACAAGCAGCCACTCGAAGGGGTACCAACATATACAATATTTATAAAAAATGCACGATTATTATTCGTGTATGTTGTGCGGCTAGTATTGTTTATTTAAAGGGGAAAACTTGTACATTTCATAATTAATGCAATAAGGCTTGAACTATTTTTAATTCACTGTGTGACCTGTCTTCTGTTTTGAGTTTTTTTATTTAAGTTATAATCAAATCAGTTTCTATTATTGAAATTTATATAAAAAAAAAACGGAAAGTATATGAAACAATATTTACAATATTATATTATAGTGATAATTTACCTACAATAAATTGTCTCCTGAGTTTGTAAAAAAAAATGTTTTTCAAAACATACTTACACGTTTTATAATAAGTAAAGCAGAATGTTCATTGATCAAATGTCAATGAAATTATACTTTTTTTTTAAATTATTTAATACCGATGTATTATACCTATCTATTTATAACAATACATCGTGAATACCTCATACGAAACTATTCGATACCCGTCAATAAAATTAAACACATTTACTTAAATACTTTACAACTTCCAATAGGCAATAACACAATAATAAATTATAGTTAAATATTATTTAATTTTGTATTATATATTTTCATATCTGTGTATTAGTTATCATGTTATATATATGCCGAAAATAATAATTCCGAAAAAATTTAGAACCAAAACATATATTAACCGAAAATATAATAGCCGAAAAATATTTAAGTCGAAAATAATGTCATCGAACGTATTTTAGCTGACACTTATTATTTGAACAGAACCTTATAAGTTATAAATTATAATAGTATACAAAAACACTGTTACGCGCGCCGTGTGACCGCGTTGTGTCTACTGTCTACGCTATTTTTATAACATCTGTGATAAGTTTCATTTGTTATTGAAATATACAGCTATTTTTTATTTTGTGGTTGACATTTTTTTTCCGTATATACTACGAATGCTTAATTGTTAGTATTTGTTTATACTTAGCTACACAATAGTAAATTCAAACAGGGACAACCTATGGTAGACTGGCGCCTTGCCGATGCTGAATAAAATGTTTATATATTATTAAGCCGGCAGTAGTTTTTTGGGGTCTAAAATAACCGGTATGGTTCTTTTGGATCTAGATATGATACACTCATCAGACTTATCACTAATGTCCAGCTAATATATAAAATAGATCACTCTAGTTTATGTGTAAACAAGGTCAGATACAAGGGGAAGGCTGGAGTTAATAGTTAATAGTTTATAATACAATCTATATTAAAATAAATATAAACCAAGTCAAACTATAACGAATTTATGAGTAGTAAATTCACATGACTTCTTAAAAACAATCCAAATTAACTCAGGTGCTATAATATTATATACATAATATTATCATTGATTATCATTAATCAAAGATATTATGTATAAATGCACAAACAACAAAAAAGTTCAAATATATTAAATTTATATTTATAAACACAGATTTCCTTATTTCACACTATTATAATATACAAGTTAAAAGTTAGCTATAACTTAAATTTAAGTGACATGTGTATTGGCGTTGTCGATTGCATTATCTAGATGTTTTTATACATGTGCATAGAGCACACAAGGGTTTCACAAAATGATTGATACTTAGTGTGTGATATTATAATTAACGTGAAGTGGGTCTCATACGGTTAAAAAATTATTAACGAAACGTTAACATTACTAAGTTTACTATGGTCAAGTTTATACAAACTAACGGTTGGTTACCAACTGCGGCCATCCATCACTGATGTTAAATAATTATGAGATTCGAGCTATCAAAAAAAAAATATAATGGTTCAACACGTTGGCGGTGGCCGGTACTTAACAAAAGACTGCAAGGAAATAGTTTTTACTAAAAAAATTGATGATTTTACTGTTTTTATCTATTTTTAATGTTATAATTATTAAAATTTATTTTATTATTGACCACGATTTAATAAAAAAAAAATTGTTTGGCTTAAGTATTCTAACAGCCTTAACAAAAATGTATTTTCTAAAATGATTATGTACATGTTTATTTTTAAAAGTTATTATCAGCAGTAATAAACATATAATATTAATCATTTGTTGAATAAAAACTAATAGTGTACATATTATGAACACAACGGATTTCATACAAGTTATTTTAGTATTAAAGTTAGAAACAATTGTGCATTATTAAAGAAAAATACTAGATTAATATAATCAAGTTTATAAAAAATGTTTACTAAATTATTTCCACTTGGCTTATAGTTTTTAAATTTTGAACATAGTTGGAAAAATAACAAAATATAGTTAGAACATTACAAATAATTATGGTATAAATCTACTTTACCGGGCACCCTTTTTTTCGATTATTTTTTTAAATCGACAGTACTTTTAATGTTGATTACGAATATGTAAAAAATTTGCGCCGCTCGCACTTAGTTTGGAAGTTACAGACTTTTAAAGTTCGCCGAAATCGACATACGTGCGCGCCCGGCACTGCACGTCTACCCGCGCCCGCTGGGTACTTCGTCCGTCGATCGCCGCTTAATTATCATCGGATTCCTCGTCTACCTGCCTCCCGCCCGTCGTGGTCCTTTTTTTTTTGCATCATAATTTCATCACGCTAATATTTGACTTGTTTGGGATTTTGCTATAGCGAACAATGAACAATTTTTGGCTCGCCCGATGCACATTGTTGAGACTTGAGGATGACTTAGTAGTAAATATTAATGTTTTATCGCGCCCCGCTAATATTATAAAGTATTACGGGCTATTATAAAGCAATACATGTTATTCATTTTTTATAATTTGGTTATTCATTTATATTTTATGATTCTATATATATTAACACAAAATAAATATATAATGCTGTTTTTCTACAAACTCTGATGAAAATTGTGAGGGACACACACACATACATTAATTTATATATATATATAAATAATAAAAATAGAAATAATTAATCAGATAAAAAAATCCAATTTATATAGATGGCCTATAGCATAAGCCAAATGGGTGGAAAATATACACATTTGCCAATTAGCTAAAAATGTACTTTTTTTGGATTTTTATATCGGTATTTATCTAATTCTAACCCTCTGCTTCTGAGTTTTTAATAATTAGTTCTAAGTCAATAAAAAGTAAAAACCTTTATCAAATACTTTTTAGTTGTATATATAATATATACATGGATCGTTCATTCCGATACTCATGAAAATGCACACAAATTAAACAACGTTCAATAACTTCATTTGTTTTATATTTAAAATATATTTGTAATTTAATTGGAATACATGAAAGCAAGTTAAAATATTATTCAATTAATATCGTTGCAATGTACATAATTTTTTTACCTATGTATTAAATTAATAAATAAGTATCAATAATATAAAAATGTATAATTATTTATAATAATAGAGTAAAAGTATTTAGAAACAATAATTATTACTAATAGCATGAGTAAACAATAAATCCTGTTGAGTAAATTGAAATGTTTACAATGAACATAGTAACAATGTCTACTATACAATAGGGGTTTTAATAAAAATATAATATTTTCTACAAAATTACTGTTTTTATTTTTATTGATATACAATTTGGAAATTACATTTTTTGCTATTACTCCGTTATAATATGTGGTGTCGGCCGCACAACATACACAAATAATAATCGTACATTTTACATAAATATTGTACATGTTGGTATCTCTTCGGGTGGCTGTTTGTCGAGTGGCTCCGTGTCGATTTTCGGTGGCTGTTTGTCGAGTGGCTCCGTGTCGTGCTCCCTCTTTTACCTCTGAATAATATTCTTTGCTTGTACCATGGTTATATCCTAGATAACATTTAATTGAGATAAAAAAATACCTCCCTGGCACCTTCTTATTTTTTTCAAATTTTTCATCTTAAAGTACAGCCTGCTATAATTTTTTTTTGAATAGTCTAATTAGCTCTTAAATTATATATTATACTATTTCGATATAGTATTAGTAATTTACGTTGACACACCAAATAAATAACAAAAACCTTTTTCAGTTCAGTTTGTAGTTTTAAAACTTAATATCTGAAAATTCGGCTTAAGGTAGACCTATAGTGGGACTATAACATACACAATTTTCTCAAACAAACTTTTTTTTTATGGAAAAACGAAAAAAAGGAAAAAATACACTGGCTGTAGTAAATTTCTAAATTGCCATATAATAGTGAATCAACATGTATCGAAAAAAATAATGCTTTTATGTTGTTAATTATGGTATGTAAGGTATTAAGGTATAAGGGAAATAACACCAAAAAATCATTGTAGACAGACGTTAATAAAAGCAATTTGAGAGGAGGGGGTGCTTAGGTACCCCCAAAATTTTAATAGCATCAGTACATTTTTTTTGGAACCTATGTTCTAACTCCTTGGTAGGTATTCAGATATTTGTATTTCCAGGATTATCTTGTTTTCGTAATGCTGAAGATCAACTCTAGTCATATCCACGCTAATACTATTTTTACTACATTATTATCATTGCAATGCTTTTATCGATATTTAATATTCCTATCATCTATACAGATGTGCATCGAAGCGTTTATTTTAAAGTGATTTTATCACATTCAGTTTTAATAATTTCTAAAAGTCTGTGACCTATCCGATCCTATTATGCTACGTCCACACTAAGCTCGACCCCACTGTACTCGTTTATGTTTTAATACAGAAACAATTTTGTTAAATTTTGCACGTACTATAATGTAGAAATATATTTTACAGTAAATGTGCTAATTTTATAAAATATTAGTATAAGTTGTTAAGATATTTAAGGAACATATTTCATTTTTTAACCCTATATATGAGATAAAGATCTTTTCGGTGTTTTTACAAGTATATTTGGCATCGTCCAAAATACAATTAGCCCGATAAAAGCAAGTGATCCACTACTAAATGCCAGAACGTCTCTATAGTAATGAGTACACTGCGCAAAATCAGGACATTTCCTACAAAAAAAAAAAATCACAATTATAATTAGACTATAGAGAAAATGTGGTATCTACTTACATAAACTCAATTCCTATAATGGCAATACCATTTATTAACTTATCAGAAAACGTGACTGAACTATATATAAAAGCACCACAATCTGTGTCTTTTCCAACGAGGTTTGCAGTGATACATAAACTTACGACTGATGTTATAGCATTTCCTGAACCTATAGAACAAATTACATCACTTTTAAATAGGTATATTTATTTATATATTTTGCTACTTTACTAATTATAATTAAGTATAATTAAAAAATATTAAATTAAAAAAAACTCTACAATTAGTCATTAGTTAGTGTAATATTTAAATATACAAATGTAATTACCAAAACATATAGCAGCCAAACATAAATAATGATAAGTTAATTCGTTATTGGGATTGAAGAAAACAAGTAATGAACCGCAAATTGATATTATACTTCCCAAAGTAAATACTATCTACAACATAAAAACAGTTTTTTTTAAATTAATATAATATTAAACAATATAATAAATATTTATATTAATTATCATACAATAGTGTTTTTATAAGCCCAAATTCTGAGTAATACGATTAGTAGGGATGATCTTTAAATCTATTTATTTATACATTCATGGTTGTAGAATACAATAGTTTAACGTTTTTATAATTACATTGTTATAGTATAAAACAATTAAAAACAAATTATTTTACAAAATTAACATTGCACCGAAGCTAAAATTATTAATCAATATCCATTTGAATGTAGTATTAAGACTTAAATATTAAATAAATTGAAATTTATTGTATTATAAAAAAAAATTAGGTAATTATTTTTTGTAAATAAGTATACATTTATTTTTTACTTACTCTATCAGTCTTGAAGAATATTTTAATATGTTCAATACTCATGGATGCTACCAGAGAAGACACAAATGCTACTAGCGGTATACTAGCTATAGTACTCGATTCGTTAACTGCCGATTCATTAATGAAAAGAGGTAAATAAATTAAAGCCATGTTAATTAAAAGTTTGCAAGATGTGAAGACAATAGCGACCTGGTACAACTGTACACTCTTACAGAATTTTAGCACTTTATCAAATTTTATTTTTGATCTATTCTTATATAAAATAATTTTATTAAACTTTGCAGTGTTAGTGTTTTTTAATAGCATTTGAAACAATAATGAAGAAATCACTCCAACAGTCGTAGCAATTAATGCTAAAATCTATAAGAAAGAAAAATTATATTAATACTAATCATGAAATTTTTGTATTATATAATAATATAATATGTAGCTAGTAACTAGTAACCGCTAACTAGATACACTTTTTATATGGTTTAATATAGTTAAACTAACTTGAAACTTGGGAGAATCTTTCGGTCCAATTAAATTACCCAAATCGTTGGGGTTTCTTACTCCTCTAAACACAAACCAAGCAATAATAAACATAACAATATTTGTGGACACAGTGAACACGTATCTAAAACATTTAAATATACACAATAATAAATAAATGTAAGCCAATTGTAAAGTAAGTTAAAATTAAAGAAACATTTATTTACCTTATTGAAGTTAATTTGCCTCGTTCTTCAGACCAAAGAGTCAATTCTGGGATCAATGACAAATGAGAGATTTGTACTAAAGCCCAGGATATTTGAAAAATTAAAATAGTAAAGATATAGAGTAAAGTTGTTGTCACCATAGGCAAATTCCAGTTGTAGTATATTAATGGAAAACTTAATACCTCCATTATGCTACCTGCAATATAAGTCAGTATGATTTATGAAAACCATGTTTTATAAATGTGTCTATACAGAATATACTTCATTCTATAAAACAACGCATACAAACTGACCTAAAAACATCCATTTTTTCTTTTCGCTAAATTTGTCTACTAGTAATCCAACGATTGGTGTCGATACGGCGTCCATTATTTGACCTGTAATGAAACAAAAACATATTTATGTTTCTATTTTGCTCATATTTTATGTCTTAAAAAAATGTCTCAGCACATAAAATGTGTAATATTATATTTATTATTTTAATTCCCGAATTCTTCAATAAATAAATTAATCACCTGCGTGATCTGTCTATAATAATTTATGTATAGGTAAGAATATAAATAGGTGTTTATATACATAGGTTATGGGTCATTTCAATATGTAAAAACAAGTAGCACTGACAGAACCTGACATTTTTAATTACAAAAGTACCAACTACGAAATAATATAGCTACTAAAAGAGCAATTGACCCACGCCATGGTTTATATTAATAACATATTTGGGGCATTCTGAGTCAAATCACGCGGTCATCGGCCTGACCTCCTCACATTTTTTTTTCAAACTTCCTTTAGTCTAATATAAGACCTTTATTTTTTGGAAATTTTTATCACTAATTTTTGCCCCAAAAATAGAGGTTTTTTAAGTTATTTTTCAAATAAATCGATTTCGACCAGTTTTAAATTTCTGAAATTTTTATCATAAAATCAGAGACTTAAATCAAATCTTTAGTCTAATAACGGGAGTGGGCCAAGATGTATTTCTATGTTTTTTTTTAATAAAAAAAAACATTTTTAATTTCAGTTTTCTTATTAAAAAAAAAAAAATAAATAAATAAAACATGTCTTGGTAAATTTTGATTTTTTGCATATTTTAGGAGTAAAAAGTGAAAAAGGGTTCTTACGAATAACATTAAAAATAATACGCAGGGGCATAGTGTGGGCGCAGTGGAGACCTCAGCTGCCACGCGGCATCTGAGGTTAAGCTTTGTCCGTTGCTGCTTGATCCAGGATGGGTGACCACCCGGGAAAATTTTCATTATTAAAAAAAAATAGAAATAAATCTCGGCCCATCCCCGTTATTAGACGAAAAGATTTGATTTAAGTCTCTAATTTTATGATACAAATTTCAAAAATTTAAAACTGGTCGAAATCGTTTTTTTTTTTAAATAACTTAAAAAACCTCTATTTTTGGGGCAAAAGTTATTGATAAAAATTTCCAAAAAATAACGGTATTATATTAGACTAAAAGAAGTTTGAAAAAAATAGGTCAGGCCGATGACTGCGTGATTTGACTCAGAATGCCCCATTTACATAAAAAAAAATAAAATAATAGTTGAAGTACAAAAATAGGCTCTCCGTTCTCGTTTTTATTAAATGTTAATTTTTTTAATAAAGTTTGGTAATGGGTATATTGATTTTATTTGTGCATAAGCGGTTAGTGAGTGACTTATTAGTTTACCTCATGTGGCTATGTTTGTATTTAATATTTATTTTTAGACATTATGAAGCTTTCTACTTATAATTTTAGTTTACAGAGTGTATTGCCTGTCTAAAAAAAAAATGTTTGACACATTACAGTTTTTTACTGTGGAGCCTTAAACAGGTTTTCTGAACTTTTATGGAGTTACGAATCGTAACTTATGGTATTATAAATATTAACATATATTATTATAATATTGTAAAGATCGACAATTTTTACTTACATCCGTATTTGACAATGGTTTAACTTATGAGTTATGACATTAATGCTGTCAAATTACATGATGAAATAATAGCTTTGCAGAGATGGTTCAATGCTACAGAAACAGGAAACTACTACCAAATTGTTTTAGAATATAGCTGCAAAAAGTCATTACCCTTTGAGTCGTAGTGGTATTATATTGAAACTAACTTTTTAATATTTATTTTGCATTTGTTAATTCATTCAATTATGAATGACTGAAAGGGATTGAACTGTTTCCCTACACTTTTATTGCTTCAAGAATCCTCTTAACGCTTCCTGAAACGGCTCCTCCCATAGCGGAAAGTAGTTTTATAAAATAAAAAAAATATTTACGATTCCAAATGTGTCGAGATCGCTTAGTGGGTCTTGCAATGGTTTTAATCGAGAAGGAATTAATTCCCAATTGAGCATTAGTTTGATGTGATTATAAGTTATATCTGATTTTACATCCATAAAAGTACAAAAAGTTAATTTTTAATATTACTTTCTCTACTGTTTTGTTTTATTAAAACTATTTTAAAATAGTGTTCGTGTACGTATACTGTATAGTGAAGACTATTAGTCTATATTTGTATTCATACATACTAAATCTCTAATAAATTATAAACTACATATATATAAAATTAATATAATGTATCCACACACAATTTGTTTATTATGTTTGTATAAACAAAGAATTCACTTATGTGTGTTAAAACGCTTTAGCCGGGTCTGGCTATGATTTTAATATTATCATTTATCAACACAAAAAAAATCGATAAATAAACGCAATATTATATTTTTTGGATTTCATTGTTTACTATAACATATTTTGACAGAATATACCATTTATCTATGAAAAATGTGGTATCTAGAGGAGGGGCTAAGATAATTAAACTATCAACTAATTTTGTAGAAATGTAGTAATATTCTAAGTATTTACTCAAAAATCTCGGTAACGAGTATACTTTACGAAAATAAACCACTTAATGCATGACGCATGTTAACAAAATTGTATACGTGAATGTTTCTCGTTATAGTGAGTAATGACTCATTACTCAATATCACAAACAAATAAAATAAGTAAGTATGGTCAAGTGTATAATATATATATTTATGAATATACAATTATTATGATATTATGGTACCTACTATGTTTGGGTGGGTGATCATGCATTGCAACTCGTATTTATTGGTACTGACCAATATATAGTTGATATGAATTAAATGAATATATTTAAATTACAAATCAGTTTATTTAGAATTTAGAAAAAACAAATACTAGCCGAAAAAAAGTAAAAATCCAGCCATTGTCGAAGGTAACCCGACGACGTTCTGAAGAAACACTAACGTGTAAGAAAACCAAATGGTCGCAGCAATATCGTTGAATACATGGCCCAGACCAAAATAAACTTTTTGTTTCGTTTCCATTCGTTGGTCTTGCTGGATGGACTGATTTTCGTCGTCCAACAACCGATCATATTCGTTGTTTTCATTGTCCATTTTTAATAATTGGCGAAAAATCACATTTAAAAAATATTAAGTACAAACTAAATTCACTACACTCAATAACGACCCGGTACCATTTTCAATTAGGTATCTTACACATCTAGATAATATAGGCACACGTTTATAGCACATATAAACAACACGCGGTTTACTTATAAACAAACGATATAGACGTGCATGATTTTAAGTAAATCAAATTACTAATGAATGGTGCATACCGGGACAGGTTTTCAAATGAAGCCATGACGATGTTGCGTAACACAAGCACGAGCTGACAATATAAAATTACTAGTGGGGAACACGAAGTGGCGTATCCGGTACAAAATATAAATATATTTTCTATAAGGACTACCTACAATTAACTAAGATGACGAAGAGCCTTTCTAAAATGATCATAATATATATATATACGCACATATTAAATGCATTACATAAATATCTAGATCACATATAATCAGTAGCGACGTGAAACTAAATATTAATAGCAGATACGAAAATAATATATTATTGTGATTTAAATTACGATGAATCAATTATGGCGAGTTACGGCTTACAATGATCATATCATGTATAATAGTTATTGATTATTGTCATAAATACCTATTGTATTTTAATGCATACTTGAATACCTTCTGTATTTCTTAAATATGTTATTTATATTTAATAAAAAAATAACAAAAAAATATTTTGAAAAAATAATAAACAAAATAAATTGATGCTGAATAGAACGGCGAAAGTCGAAACCCTAATAAACTAAGAGTAGTAGTCGTTTAAATAGTACTCTTCAATAATGTTGTAACTTATCGTACAGTAATACACTGATATTTTTTACAATTTCTCTGTAATTACGACCAGTAAAAAGAATAATCTGTAAAACTTCATTTTTTTAGTATTTGGTTTTATATGATATTGTGATGTAGTTCACCTTATCTTAAACAAACCTGTCCATCTAAGCTAAAACACTTAACACAAAGATTGAAACATAAAGTTGTTTTCATATTTTAGTGATTGATCCGTTTATTATATTTAATGTATTCAAATAAATTTAAAAAATTAACACTTGCACGAGTCCTAAGTACATTTAACTATAATATAATAAGATTGTCTTAAAATTCAATATTTTATTATTTTTCCAAAATACAAATAATATATACAAATAATCTATAATCTAGATCAATCAAAATCAGTCACAGAAAGAAAAACACTTGATTTAACATAATTTTAACCCCAATGAGCAAAATAGTGGGAAATGTGAGACACTGGTAATTAATGCGCACTAAAGGGTTAATATATATGTATATATATATATATATATATATATATATATCACAATAGTAAATTAGTAATAATTAGTTGTCTTCATTCAGGCCATACTTCATTTTTACTTTTTCCAACTCTGCTTTCTTCTTGTCAGTATCCAATTTTTTAAAAGCTTTGGTAGACTAAAAGCAAAAATAAAATAAAGTGTTACTATGGTCTATGTATATAATGAAAAAACAATGGGAACTTCCAGACAAATGTTTTTTTCTTATCAATTTCAGCTTAAGAACTTTAATTTCCAAAGATCACCCTTAGAGGAAATATAATATGTTGATATTTATCTGTTAATTAATAAAAAATTACATCATCATTACCTGATAATATAAAACTACTAAGTATCGGTTACAAACGTTGAATCCTGACAAGTGATCGCAAGCATTCTTAGCGTCAAATATATCTTCATACACAACAAAAGCTGTTCCTCGTGTATCTGGAGTATTACCACTGGAATATATATTTACAAAATTAAATAAAGAATAGAATATTTAAACTTATTTCTATAATTAATGACTTTTTTCGTGGTCTTCAAAAATAAAAACTTTTGTTTTCAATTAATTTTTTTATATAGTTAGTTATAATAATTGAAAACAATAATACTAACACTCTAATTTGACGAATAGCCCCATATTTTCCAAATATATCATACATTTCTTCAGCTGTTATTTTATATGGTAAATTTCTGATGTACAGTACTCTGTTTATCTCTGGAGGTAGTCTCACCTGAAATATGAAATAGGTAATCATTTATAAAAACAATATTTTTAATTATCAGGATAGTTCTTATATTACATTATAAAAAAAAAGTATAATCACGTTTTGTTTTAAATTTTTGAATATAATCACTTATTCTTAGGTGTAATAAATTATTTTTTTAAATCTATATTATTTTAAAGTATACCATTTTGATTATCAAGAATACACATTAGTATACATGCCTAATGCTTAAGTCACACACTGCCACGACTCACGAGTATACGAGTATAGCTAGCACTTTTGTCTCTTTTACCTTGATACGGTAATTCTCTGTTCTACGTCAGTTTATATTCCGTGAATAAAATAACACAAGATGAGAAGCAAAATATAGAAAAAATGTTAAGATAGCATACTTTATTTAATTTCTATACTCAAATTATTATTGTGTATAGAAATTATTGTAACTAAAGGCTAATATTGTAACTAAATTTACTAAACGCAGTTAAGGATATTAAATAAACATCAAAATAAAAGATCAAGCAGTTTATACAGAAGAATTGATACTATATTACTATTATATTATATTAATTATATTACTCAATAATGTATTATTATAACCAAATACGTCACAATAGTTTTGACTGTACTTACATTAGTTTTTCTTTGCATACTTGCAAGAGCCATTTTTTGTTTTTTAGTTTAAGAAAAAATTTAATTTGAAAAAATGTATGGAAGTAGGGAAAATTAGCTTTATAACTAACAATACACAATATTACCTAACATGTACGTAAAAATTAAATACATTTAATATTGTTATAAAAACAAAATTTTTAAGTTTACTGTTTATACCGTATAACAGAAGCATGAACGCTGAAACAAATTCATGATAACAGACATAACCATAAAAACTATATTATGTTATAGCGCTCTCGGTTCTAGGCATTTTTTATTTTTATGAGGTGTTTAAAAATTATGAGGTTTTTACAATAAATAAATTTACAAAAATATCTTTCACTAAATTATCATATTAATATATTATTTATAATAATCATAAATAAGATTTAAGAGGACGCTACTCAGGCCATTTCTAAGGAGTAAAGTATAGGCAATTTTTCGAAAAATCTTAATCAAAAGTTTGAACTATATAACGTATACTTAATAATACAGTAATGAGGATACTTTATTGATTGCCATTTTTTTTGTCAAACTATCAGTCATTTCTATAGGATAAATTACAATTTTTTTTCCATCAAAACTGCTTTGCGCGAGACAAGTATGTGAGAGTAGTAATAACAGTAGGTACCTATACTACATTTTCACAATGTATATAGAGAAGACTATCTATGGGGTAGCGTTTTTATATTTTTGATATCTACATAAACTTGATATTTTTTTAAAAACAAATAAAGAAATGAAAAAAAATGAATCTTTACCAATGAATTATTTTGATTGAGCTAAGTTATCAAAAAATTAAAAATGCTACCCTGTAGAAAAAATTCTTCTTTATCTACTGTAAAAATTTTACACGGTTATTGTAAAATATACCACCCTCGAATTCTTGTCTCCCGCAAAACCATTTTTCATAGATAAATTACGGGTGGATAGCGTCCTCTTAAGTCTTAACACAATTGTTCTTGGAAATTCTCTATTTCAGGTTTTTTTTCAGTAAAGGATTTACTTATTTTTTGTCATTTTAAAATAATATTTCAGCCATAATTATCAATATTGATTCTAAAAATATTTTGGATGATATACCTATTTTTAAAATAGAACAAAAATAGTTTTATCCTTGTTTTCTTATAGTACGTGCCGACAATAATTTGATATACTATCACTATAAACATAAATAAAAATGATACATAGACCATAGTCGGCTATTAATATTGTAGGAGAACATTATATAACCCTATCAATATGACATGAGTAATGCAATCGATACTTCTTTAGAGTAACAATGTTTGGCTTCATTTGTATACGGTTAAAGCGCAGCACTTTTCAAGTTAAATTCAAATTTCAATTCTATAAGCAAAGGCGTATTGTCGGTTGTGTAGTAATAAAAAAAATGGATTTGTCTTCAACGGTATTTTTTAATCCTAGCGATTCAGACTTCTCTACAACTCATTCACAATTAACTCCAGCGGACGAAGTAGGTGACGGTAGAACTAGGTACTAATATTTAATATTTTAAAATTTATTTTATTCTCTAGTACAAAATAGAAGATCAAGATTTAGCTTTATATTGGACAGACTTGAGCGTACAAACCGTTAATAAAAGAGATCGTTGGTTTCGATCAAGCTTAGAAACCAAAAAAGTTTTATTAAAAAACGGTAAGAAGTTTATAGTTTTAAATTTTAATTTCTATACTGGATTCATAATTAAATTTTATTAACTGAATTACAATATAATAATGGCAATGTATTGCTACAAAATACAATCCCTTATTCAAATATTTTTCCTAGTAAATGAATTCAATTATTAGATATAATAATTGAAGGTTTTCTATAATGTAATTTTAAATGGGTGTTCATTTAATAAAAATGTAAGAACGAAAAGCGTCAAATTGTTTACAATTAAAGACTAAAACGCGAAATAATTTTGTGAAATGTCTACCGAACCGATTTTAGCTATTTTTTTTTTGTTCTACAACATCTCTATGGGGGCTAAAAGACCGATTTTTTTATTTTCATTTTCAAACAAGTTTTATAAATATTTATATTTTAACTTTTTTATGTTTTTTCTAATAAATTTAATTATTTTTTTAATTGCTAAATCAAAAATTGGCCTTTTAGCCCCCATAAAAAGTAGTAAGCTTCACGTAAAAAAAAAATTGAATCCGTCCAGTTGATACGCCAGAAAATGACTTATACTAAAGTCATTTTTTATCAAACTTTCACCATAACTCGGAGAAAAATAACTTTTTAAGTATTATAACAAAAAAAATTTAATATTTTTTCACCTTAAAATTAGTCGGAATATTAATAATGACTACTAGATCAATTTTTGTCAAATATTGCCTATCCTTTGCCCCTTAATAAATAGCGCTTTCCGTTACGTTACGTTGATTGAAGATTTGTTGTTAGTTCTCACTAAAAAATTAAAAAATCATAACTGTATAATACATATTTTGTGATAATTTATTTAAAATACTTTATTTTATTATAATGACGTCTTTTATTTTGTTAAAGTGGAAGGTTACATACCTCCATGTTCACTTGTAGCAATTATGGGACCAAGGTATGTATTTTATACTAAAAAAATAAATATTTATTATCATAATATTATTAGTCAGATTAATGTTGCTACAACTTATTTTTAGCGGGGCTGGTAAAAGCACGTTGATGGGTGCTTTAGCTCATAAACTACCAGGTAAATAATAACAAATGTATAGTTAATCATACGTGTAGCACTATAATAGGGTCTATTACCTATAGAATTCACAGATTTATGGAAGAGGTATAAAACCATTTTTCGGGTTTTCTAGTTTTACCGCGTACAGAGTAGTAAATCGCGTTGATCTCATTAAATACTCATGTTGGACTTTTTTGGACAATTCCACAAGAAATCCCTCGAATTCTTTTTTATTCAATACGTAACGTCCATTTGTCTAAGTCTTATACGTCGCTTATAAACGGGTTATAGACTAATAGTTGAAACCTAAACAAGGCTGCGAAACAGTAAAAAACGTTGAATCGCAGTGTATAATAAAGCTGCATTTTTTTTGACGGAACTATTACAAATAGATATCAAAGAGTTTAAAACATAGCTGGATTTGGGTACACATGGTAAGGTTTTTGATTTATCAACAATTTGTATTCTATTAAGTTACTGGTAAATAACTGTAATCGTTTTGGTCTTTTCAAACAAACATTAATAATGTTTTACATTTAAATTATAAATATAATATAGCTCATTTGGAAGTCGAAGGTAATGTGAACATTGGAGGCGTTTCCGTTAATAAATTCATGAGGCATAATTCTGGATTTATGTATCAACATAATTTGTTCAGTGGGGTTTTTACTGTTAAAGAACATCTGTATTTTATGGTGAGTTTGTGTAAGAATAAAATCTATCGCTATGATATGTATAATATATGTATTTTCACTATTTATAGGCTAAACTAAAAATGGACAGACGAACGTCTGAAAAAATGTTAAGAAATCGTGTACTTGCAATTATCGAAAAACTGGGTTTAGGTCAGTGCGCAAATACAAGAATTGGATCTAATGGAGGCCACGACAGAGTAAGTTCAAAGCGGATCACCATTTCGTTACAAAATATTACTTATACCATGAGATTTTCATAGCTAATAGTATTATTATTATTTTAGGTTACATTGTCTGGAGGTGAAAGAAAAATTTTAGCTTTCGCAACCGAACTTTTAACTGATCCACCAATTTTATTTTGCGATGAACCGACAACAGGTGAGTGTTATTTGTTGTTTAATTGTATTATATCTATTTTAAATTTACATATTTTTAATTAAAAAAAAGGAATTAACTACACTACAATTGTTTTATAAATTAAAACTACTCCATAGGACCTATAGTATACCTCTATATGTATTTATTGTATACGTGATAAATAATATGTGGTTTTATAGGTTTGGATTCATATAGTGCTCAAAAAGTCGTTAATATTATGGAAGAGCTAGTATCGAATAATAAAAAGACCGTAGTTTGTATAATCCATCAACCTAGTTCTGAGCTCTTGAATGTGTTTCATCAACTAATTCTAGTGGCTGATGGTCGAATTGCTTATTCGGGTCCTGCGAATAAAGTAACATCGTTTTTTGAAAGGTAATTTTTCCTATTGGGTGTATGATATTGTAGGTATCCAGAATTACTACATGTCTGTATTAATATGTAATATTAGTAGTAGAAATGTACTTCCAGTAAAGTTATTTGAAAATAAATGTTATTTAAATTAAACAATTATAATGTAAAAGTCCAACAATTAAAAAGTAATTGTGTTGACTGTTGAATGGAGAATGGGATACATTATGTATCATACATAATATGTGTTAACATATAAAAAAAATAAACACATTCGTATTGGTTAATACTTATTAATTGTTAACTATAACTATATTATAATATAAACGTTTAGAAATTATTTTTGCTCTTTAGAGCTCGGAATAATGTAAATTTAATATTATGTTTACCATGTGTTCAGTATTGGTTATCGATGTCCTGAAAATTACAATTCAGCTGAATTCATTATGAAAATTTTATCAGATGGCAGTAGTTCCGTGGTTTCGGTTTGTGATGAATTCGCAATGAGCAAACACTCAGAACAAATACAATATTCTATCTCGAAGGAAATGTTTTTTGTACGTATAGATGATTTGTAAGCCTGTACTATTTAAACATTATAATTGTTCTATCACTAAATCAGGAACAGATTTTTTATTAATGTTTTTTTTTAGGAAGCAATAAACCCATCAATATTTCGTAACCAGTAAGTGAAAATAACAAAAATTGGTATTTATGCTGATATTTATTTTACTTCCTTAAAAAAGTGAAACATAAGATAACGAAAAGAATAGTAAGAAAATTTAAATTTAAGAAATATGATGAACTGTATAAAAATATAAAAACCAAGAAAAGGCTCCATAATGTTCAGAATGAATGGTGTATGAAAGATGTGGATAAAATAGTGAAAACCAAGAATAAAGACGGGGAAATGAAATTAAAAGAGAATTTTAAGAATTCATTAAATGGAAACTTTCTCAGAGAAACTACAGTGTAGATAGAACAAGAATTATATAATATGGCGATCTAGTTAAAAAGGATATAGTATGAAGAGAAAAATAGTAAAAAGCAGAATAAACATGATTAAATCAGTAGCCAGTAGAACCAGATGAGTTTGAGTGGAATTATGGAAATAGTTAGAAAACTTAGACGTGACCAGAGTTTTTTTTAACACTTTTTAACCTAACACTCAGTTGTTATCGAATAGCACAAATCTACTCTTATAAGTGGTGTAACGACTAAACTATGAAGATTATGTTATCATATTTTTGTAGCTTGTCACCGTTTTGGCCTGTGAAAATGTACCACTTAACTGGTCGTTACTTTCTGGAGAAAGTTCGTGATCCAACTATCGACGTCCATCGATTTTTACAAAAAGTCGTAAGTATTAACATTAAAACATTTTTAAACTGTGTATAAATTTAAAACCGAGACTTCCAAAATCTGGAATTTCAAAAAGATCTATCCTACTATTAATATGTATTACTCCGAAAATGTTAAGATATTGTATGAAAAAGTATTTTTAAAAATAAAACTGAATGAATAAAATAGTTGAAATCTGAAAGCTATTTTTATATTATTAGCATAATATACAATAGTTAAATACAAACAATACCAAGTAAAATAATAATAATTTGTCACATACGGGTACATTTTAGTTCAACTAAAAGTTTTTTTTTAATCAATAATTTTTGAAAACAAATAGTTAAAATAATATTTGTAGAACATTTTACCGAAAAATTATTATTATTTATTTAGTTAATCAGTATAATTTATTGTTCAAAAGTAATTGTAGTTGGGATCACTGTTATAAGAATCATCATACTGAATATATTAACTTTAATTCACTTTTTTTTTACATAATATTATACTTATCAGCAGTAGATATTGAACGATAAATACGGTTGATTATACTGGACATTGCTCTAAATTGCAAACTTAGGTATACTTTGATTTCTGACCATATACTTTGATGTAAATTAATACCAAGCACGCGATCCGTTCTACGGCGGTCCTTAAACCCTAAATATCGCGACCGTCTACCATGCAACTGTATAATTCGTTTACACCTAAAACTTATAAGTCTATAGAGTCCGTATTATAATAATATAATATAGCCTTCACGATATGGAAATTTAAAAAACAGCAATCAAGAAAAATGGTGTATATATAGTTTTTTTTTATCATATTGCTGGGCGTCGATGAACTACTTACAGGCACTGTTCTAGCTTAGAAATTTATCCCTTAGTGGTTTTTTCCTTTTTTAACATTTATAGGAGTATACAATTATTTTAACCACTCACAATAATTGATACTCATTTAGATAACATACTTAGTTGAGTTTCAAAAATTACTACCTATTCATATAATATGTAATTTTAATAATGGTAACGTTAGTTACTCTTAGTTTTTAAATTAACACCCTAAATTGTTTTTCTTTCATACCATAAGTAGTGAGGTAATGAGATTTTCTATTATTTTCCAATGCAGCCCTTTGCCCTTGTTTTCAGCCTCGCTTATTTTAGGGAAACTGCGCCCTGCCCTATTTAATTAAAATTAGAATGTTTAATGACTGATGAACTCATTGTATGTAAATAAAAACATATTTTTTGAAAAAGATACTTGTCATAAACTTGTATTCTTTCACCCTTAAAAAAATAACTTCTTCCCTTTTACACAAAAAAAAACGGTTATTGACCCTTGGCCAACCACGCACTCGATAATATTAAGATAACTAAAATTGATATAAGAACAAAAAACGGCGTTTGGCGCAGCGAAAAATATCTTACAAAATAATTTACGTAAAACATGAAAATGGTTATGATGACTTATGTCCTTTTTCACTAACAACGTAGAACTGAAGTCGACTTTTATCTGTTTTTTTTTTTTTTGTAAATTAACATAAGAAATACTTGTTTATTTGTTAGGTAATCGCGTTGATGGTCGGGCTGTGTTACTTAGGGACGATACAAGAAACCCAAGTGGCCATCCAGTCATTTCAAGGCGTTTTTTTTATACTGATCACGGAAAACTTCTTTACGCCCATGTACTCGGTGATGAGCCATCTACCTACGCAACTTCCCCTGTTTACCAGAGAATACACTTCTGGCTTGTATGGGGCCTCGACCTTCTACTTCGCTAACATGTTATCTACTGTATGACCTATCCGTCGAACTTATACCGAATCTACTTGGCTAATTTTTTTCTATAATATTAGATTCCGACGCTGATCATCGAACCGGTGGTTTACACGACCATTATCTACTGTATGGCCGGTCTGCAGAACGATCTTTACACATATTTTCTCACGGTAATCATCACGATTCTGGTGATGGCCGTTTCCACGTCTTGTGGTCAGTATTTACTCGTTTTCTGTTTTCATTGTAATTATCTCCATAAAATGTACTCTCCCTTTTCACTTGAACCTAAATATATTTTTACATATTCATTTTATTTTTGGTGTGTTCAGGCTACATGTTCAGTAATATTTTTGGATCAATGTCGTTAGCGCTGACGTTCGTCCAACCGTTCGACAACGTGATCATGATGTTGTCCGGAATTTTCCTGAACATAAGGTATTAGAATCGGTATTCATACACTGTAGATTACTGTGCAAAGTAAGATATGTTTTGTTTTCTCCCTGCTGACCCTTGAAATCAGCCTCTATAAATTTCTATAAATACTAGTCAAAAACTATTCGTGTTGATTAAAACTTATTTGTTTATATATAGGAGTATACCATGGTTCTTGCGTTGGGTGGTTGCCATATCGTGGTTCGAGCTCGGGTTTGAAGGCCTAACAATTTTACAATGGAAAAACGTTCCTTTCATAAGTGAGTAGAGACAGTTTTTTGTCATCTATGATACCATGTCATGTTAACTGTGAAATTTTTATTCTGTTAGAATGTAGCGAAGATCCGGATATCCCATGTTTGACAACTGGCGCCGAAGTGTTGGACAAATACGATTTCGTTTCGTCTAATCTAATGCCAAACATTTACAGAATGATCTGGCTGTTTACCGGTTTCCACGTGGTGTCGCTTACATGTTTCGTCATCAGAGCTCGCCTACACAAACTGTCTTAAAAATTGAAATGCGTTTTAATTGAATTATATATTATTTTTTTTTAACCAATCATATTCTTTAATATTTTCATATAATATATTTTTTTAATTTAGTCTGTGTCGGTTTTTTTAAAATTAAAATAAATGTGTAAAATCGAAAAACATAATTCAGAGACACGATTTTTGCAATACCAGCAGACTATTGCAAAAATTCGTCGGTGATGATAATGGCGACGCTGTAGCGGTGTAAACAAATTTTTATCTTCTTTTCATCTCCGGACTAGAAAGAGGGTCATCCTTTTTTTACAGAAGGGTCAGTTCCGTCTTTTATATTTGCGTATATGCGGTGTGTATTTTGACTACACGCGTATTGCGACATTTTTATATAGGTGGGAACCGTACTCCTATCGTTTTCTCACATACCGTCACACGAATAGTACACGGTATGGTCCCTCACCCTTTTTGGCTATCGTTCGACGTTATTACACGTGAGTTTGTGTGTATGTACTATACTCAGGGGGAGCAGCTGCCCCGTTGATTTTTACCAACAATCGCCACAGCGCGTCTTAGTCTGTGTACTTTTTTTTATTTTACAAGGGGCGTGAAATTATATAATATAATAAAATATATCCGCAATAATCATATATTTTATTTCCTGTAGACTTCATTTACAACGTAAGTCGAACGCCATAAAAAAAGTTTTAATAAAAATTAAAATATAAAAAAATGATTTCGTACCTAAGTCTAAAATTTATTATAGTTAGTATAAACTATCAATGTAAAAGTTTGGCTAAAATAAGTTAGACCACTAAACATGCAACCTTAAATACATCCATAGTATAGTGGAAAAAAGATAAAAGTAGAAAAATGTTGCAAAGAGTTTTGTACACAAGTTAACACAGAGGAATTTAAGGTAATTTGCCAAGTTACAAAAAGTGAAATTGGTTCTTTTAGACAAAAAATACATATATTTTCGACTTGTAGAATAAATTATAATAAAATATTTCGTTTTAACATAAATATCAACACGTCGATGAATACTTTTACTGCATTGCATACTTAATTGAAGCGTTAATTGTTACATTCAACAAATAAAGACATCAGGTATATAAATATTCTTTAAACACCTTTTTAGAAATGTTAAGTATCTATAATATAGAAATATAAAAAATAATATAAAATACAAACATGTATTATAAAAGGTTTTATCATTGTTGGAAATTCCCTTTGTACACTTAGCCATTTCGTCCAAAACGTGTAATTTGTTTTAAGAACCTCGAATAGTTTTTATTTTTTAATACACGTAGCAGCTGTCCGTAGGGACTTCTATATAGTAATGCAAAGTAACGCTTACCTACCTATTATCGACAACTGCAGTATTCACACTATACCTGCAGTAGGCAGTACAATAAAGACGCCATTTAAAAAACAATTGGCACCCTAGTGGTGCCGTGTTGTGCACGTAGTACATACATTTGCATAGCTCATTTATAAATGCTTTAAACATTTTCTGATAAAGCCTAATGAACTGTTTTAACATGAGTGCATTGTTAGTACAATCATATTAAGGTATAAGTAGTATGCGTTTTTTATTGTGTTTTTATACCAACACAACTCGTAACACTTGTTCTTTGTGCGTTGATCTTTCTGTAGTTATTGTAACGCGGTCAATTTGACATGTCATTTTAAACACTTAATTTCAAAATATTTCTCTATCAATGTCTGCGATCACTACTCTCAAGTGCAATACACGGAACTGCAGCCTTTTGAGATTTGCGTGGGGGTGACCGGACTTTGTTGACATATCCGGCAGGCGGCAATATAGTTCTAAATCCGCTTGGCATTGTAAACAATACCGCGACCATTAACTAATCTATGTAGAATATCTAAAACTTCATAAAAAAAAAAATCCTATATATATAAACAAGTCCAACTTAAATTTATAGCCCATAGGCTTGTTCTTTTTTTTAAAATTAATTCAATTTTTTATGAGGGGAATAACCGTTAGATTTTGCGATTAAGTATTAAACCAGTTCACTAAAAAAGTATCCGCGTAAATCTAATAAAAACAATTAATTTAACAAAAACTTTACCAACATCTACCCAATAAAATAATAATTCTCAATTCTTCAAAGGGATAATTGAATTCTTTGTTGATATCACAGTACCCATTGTAGGTTTATTATGTTAATTTATTATAGACAACTGAGTAGTAGTGACTGAATAATTATTTGGATGAACAATTGTTTTGTATATTTAATAACTTTTTAAATACTATATAATATACTTCATATTATAATACATTTATTAATTGCAAAGATGAAAATTGTTATCTTAAGTAATAACAATACTGAGAAATAAAATTATTTATCAAAATGAAAAACATTTCATTAATCTAATTATACGTTAAGGCCTCATTCAAGACGAGAATAAGCATGCAAACTCAGTTAATCTAAAAACGTTTACCTATATATATATATATATATATATAATTATTTTTTTAAATCCAAATTTTTACTGTTGAATGACACATAATAAAAGTTGGGACCTGAATTTTAAATGTATTAGTGAACAATTGTTTCGAACACTTTTTCGAATCGTACCACTCTGTATGCCTACCTATATAATATTGTGATGCCGAACACGCCTCTTCTGGATATAATACAATATCGCTATTATGAAAGGACACCTAGTCACCTCTTGTGTATTTTAATGATTGTGGTCCCGTTTCGTGTCACAGTGAGTGGTTGCAAAACTCGGCTAAACAGTCGGTGCCTGGGCGTATCGGTGCACACGACTTGCGGTGCGGTTAGGCTTCGTACGTCTATCGGCAACAGGTGACCTACCGTGGGACCGGTGGGTTTCATCCGTATCGGTATTCCCACGTTTCATAGGTATAGTATACCGGCAGCAATCCGTTCGTTCCCGGTTGTTTAGACGGTCGACACGCGCGCGGTGGAGATGGCAGCACGCTTGTGTGTTTATCCATCGACAAATTACGACGGTCCGTATCTTAGATGATCCCCTTAAGAATGATATTGAGTCTAAAAGACCGTCCATCGGTTTTTATACATGTACAAAGCGTCGCATTGGTACCTATCTATGGATTATACAGATACGTCGACTGAAAAAGTACGCGTGTGCCTTTGACGCACAATATACTTACCGCCGGCGATTAAAGCTAATTTATAAAATATTATAAATGTTAAACAGCGTCGTACCGTTGAGAAATGACCGAAAATGATTTTCGTTACCAGTTGTATTGCCTTGTACAATAAAACTCATTGTTTTTTTTTATTTCGTCTGCAAAATATTCTATTACAATCACGAATGGTGCTGAAATAGCTTGTGTTTTCTACAAGATTACTAACGAATAATATAGTTTTTTTCATAATCATTAAAAATATAAAACACATAACAATATCAAAGCTAAGAAATTATAGCTATTCATTAGGTGATTATTTCTTAGGAAAATGTATGCAATTTCCCTATTTTTCATCCTAAATCCTATGTTTTTGTACATACATTGTTACTACTACTGTAGTTGTAGTTACTAGTAATTTAATTATTTACTTTTTTTTCTGAGAGTAACACTAGTACTTTACAAGTTACTGAAATGACGTAACTTACCAGCTGTGAACTTCAAATTAATTACTTATTTTCTCAGTCGTTTATATTTTTAACAGCTCTTATTATGTTAATAAAAAGCTCTTAAGCTAACAGCGACCAGGTAAAAAAAAACCAACTATTGAATAACAAATGTTATTTACTGACTAAATGTATTCATTAGCCTGTAGCCAACTTATGACAAGAGTTAACTGGGTATTTATATTTTTATAAGTCACAACAGGTAAATATTATCATAGAGAATTTTTTTTTACTAGTTGAGCTACTATGTAAATACATACAACAAAAAAGATAGAATATATGTGGAACGTTATGTCACTTATATGTTTTATATATATGCTTTTTTTTAACGCCCAATACTATGACTACATTACTAAAGAATCATCCCTGTCTGGTATATACAACAATAACGGAGAATCGTCAACCTTTTGTCGTTCATTCCGGTCTTTTGATTACACCGATGATTACAGCGAACGGTACATAATATCCCTGTTTTAACTGGATTCTTGCGGCATGCATCATAATCGTCTTTAGTAAGTGTACCGGAAACGAGTAAGGGTATTTTGAATGAGTATAAGACTATATGTCCTTGGTCTACATTAAACCCTTTCAGACGTTTTTATTACACCGATAATCTCGCTGTCTGCGAGTATTTGAATGCGTTATCGGTTTTCTCTCTAGACTCTAAACCATAATAATATTCGTATTTATTATTCCCACACTGTCGATAGGAACGTTATATTGGTATAGTATAATACTGATGAGCATTTCCCGTCGCAGGGTATGCCAAAATGTCACAGTAAAGATTCTAGTTCAGCACCTATATACTTAATTATGCGTGCAACAATTTGGCGAAGCTGCAGTGTCAAACAGCATAATATTTTGAAATTGACATCAGTATGTAGTGTGATAATAGTATAATTTTACGGATGATTCGGTTAGTTAAATGTCTCGCGGTGACAACATAACGAATAGCAACGGTACTAGAGTTTATATTTGTTGATTCCGTTAAACTAAATCGTCCAATAGTTTCCTAGATTTTATATAAAAAGAATATAAATATATAAATTTAAAACGCTGCATTTTCGTGAAACGAAAAATCCCGGTACTGGGAAAAATTGTACAACATTATAACGGACAAGTAAATAGAAAAATAGTATAATATTATATCAATTGAGTCGATTACTAATGCTCGGCATGAAATAAATAATTTGATATTTTCGAGGATTACAATAATGCTATGTAGTATATATAATATACATTATACATAGTCATCGAATTGTATTGTGTTGCAGTTTAACTATGTTATTGTTTCCTTAACGATGAAGCTACGGTTCCTTGGAAAATTTATTTTTTCTCGAGAAATCTGGAAATTTGAAATTAATTTCGGGATGGAAGAAAGACCATTCATCAATGATAAGACCCTAATTTTCTCTTAGACTAATTATAATTTTGCAGTTTTTCTTTTTGACATTATTTTTGTTTATCTTATTTTACAATCTATATAATTTATAAAATAAGAAGTCTTGACTGATTCATAATCAACACACAGCCTAAACTATGATAGCTAGCGACTTGATATTATATAATTATTAAGATTTACGTTTTTTAGTATTTTCCATAACTCTATCAACTTTTGAAACTTAAATGGTGACGTATATAATGAATTAACTATATATTTTCAGCAAATTATTCTTAATTTAAAAAGTCAGTTAAACATGTACGTTACCATTGGAGTTTCAAAAGTGGACAGAGCTCTGGAAAATACTAAAACAATGCAAATATGCATTAGCAACAATACACATAACTAATTTCACGCACACGCTTATTCAACCGTTATGTTTAATGAGGATTTATTTATATTTAAATGGCTTAAATATCGGTCGCCGCGATTACGGTGGTCCATATGGTAATATTTAATTGCAAGTTATAACACATAGAAACGCAAGTCAAGTACAGTAGATCCGTCACGAGTTTTCGAAAATAAAGTATTAGGTGTATGTATGCATACCGGAAACTCGGAAGCTATAGTGCGTTCTTCGATGTGCTCATCACACAAGAAGACTAAAGGACGGAAACGATTAAAGCGGCGGCGCGCGAAGAGGATGTGTTTTAGACGGTTTTTCAGAGAAAACAATCGGGTTTATTAGAGTCGAGGGGGATGAAGACTTCCCATAAAATATATTATAAAGACAAATCAATTTGTGTATACCGCGCTGGCCACGACGCGTTCGAAATTGACGGGCCGTAAAAACAGTGGTAAAAAGTGAACTGTAGTAAAAAAAAGCGAAGGGGATGCCGGATGATATACTCGTGGAACAGGTGACCGAATGAGCATATTAACCATACTATGTGTTGCATGGCGGCGGCATATATTATTGTTATTCCTGTTCGTGTTTGCCCTTCGGCCCGCGCCCACCCGGTTAGCTCGGCCGATCCCGTTCCCACGGCCGTGCACTGTGCAGTCACAACTTACAACGCACGGTCGTCACTACCGCTACGCTACTACGTTACTACTAATATGTATTACGACGATGACGACCGTTGCTGTCTATAGTACATACGGCAATTATAATACGAACATGTGCGTTTTATAATAATATGCATCCCCCACCCCCACTCCATCGCGATGATGATGATGATGATGATAATTAACCTATCGGCGGGTCCTTCTTTCCTAAACACGATCATCGCACAAACGGCGCTGGTCCCATGTAATACACGTTGCGGCATCCGGGGCAGCACATACGCTCACAGAGACTATACAAACGCACCGGTTGACCGACCGACAAAATTGCCGGACTGCGGAGGGAGAACGCCGTGGACCGGAAACCCGATCGCGGATCTCTCACGTTGACTCCGCACCGGAACGGAATCTTCGACCTGTGAAAAGCCGATAGGGTGAGAAATCTACCGCGTCGATATGCATGCGCCTCTACCTATAGCGCAGTTACACTCCAAGCCCCGCGCGAGGGTTGCAGTCGAGATCCCGTACAACAATTGAGCGGGACAGAATGTTTGGCAAAAGTATTAGTTAAAAAGTCATCGCCACACCGCACCAACAGGCTTACAATAAACGTAGGCCTTGGGTTTTTAAGCTCACACGTATTTTTTTAGAGTAACTTTAAAAAAAAAACTCAAGTCTTAGGGGAAAATGATATTTAAAAAAAACGGAGTTCAATTTGTATTATTTCCAAAAAATACATAATAAATGTGAACAATATTATAGATAAATTCTGTTACAGTCAACATAATATGTTCTATGAAATATTTGTTTTAGCTAAATAATTATTACAATAACATTTTTATTTTATCTAATGATCAAAAACTTCTTGCCTTTACTTATACAATTTATTTATGGCCATTATCATTTACAGTATAAATTATAATGACTCAATAAGTACAATATATCCAAACTGGTTATCGCAATGATTTTTTCTCATTATACCATTTTGTTTTTCATAGATAAATCAAATTTTAAGTTCCAATTTTACTTTTAAAAATTGTATTTTGAACTTTTATAATAATTTTGTTTGTAACTATTTTTGTTCGTTTAAATGTACAATAAATACTTGAATTGGAACTTTTTTAGTTATAACATTGCTGCCCATTTTAACCGTAAAAATGAACCAAATTCGATTATTGCTTTCTTCTGTGATGGTAAATACATGATTTGTATTTTTTTAAAGCAACTAAGTCGGGTTATAGAGGGCACGGAGCATAGTAGAGTCTGAGAAGTTGTACAGACCTAAGAAATTATTATGATATTTTGTATGTGCATCCTAGCTACCAATGGCTAATGGTATTTTTTTGTTTTCGGCCCTATCTGTATTCTGTAGTGCTATATGTGAAAAGCACCCTTAACAAACTTGAAACACATTTTTCAGAAAGTTATAGCGTGCCGTGTCAAAAGTGGAAAAATTGGCATGTCAATATTTAGGGCGTTTTATTTGATTTTCGAGGAGGGGTGAACATTTCTCACATTTGGTCTTAATAGTGTGAGTTAGATATTATACATAGACTGTAGTATATACTTAAGTTCAATAAATCAAATGTTATTGTGGATCCAGACGCTAAAAATTCAATACATTTTCAACAGATTCAACTCCTTGTGGATTCTAAAATACGCGGTAAAAGTAATTCATTTTTATTGTAGAAATTGAATTAAACAGTTATCTATATATTTCAAATAAGTTCGATCCCATGTTTAATAATTTATTAACAAAAGTCTTACTTAACTTTATTGTTAATTTAAAGTCTTACAAAACAAATATCATTTTGAGTTTTTGTAATTTAGTATTCTTATTGTTAAAATACTTTGATATTCATATTTAATAATTGTACTGCTAAGTGTTAGGCCTCAGCCTCTGCCCTCCACATAAGTACTGGGACCGACTAAGCTTTTGGGTCAGTGGGAAAATTTCCACTGAGCCTTTCCGAGTACTTAGGTTGTGTGGCTGGTATATAATAATATTAGTGGTCGATTTTATAATAAAGAAATTAACGGTTTTTAATTTGTTTTAAACCTTTTATGAAGTCATCTATAGCGGTATTATAAGTTTTTTTATAAAGGCAACGCGATCATCATGCTAGATGAGTGTAATTTTACAGAAAACGATAGTACATAATATAACATTAAATATAATTACTATCTGTAATATTCTTTAATTGTAACGCATAAACATATACGTATTTATTATTATATAACGATGAATAACACCCGATTCACCAAACCGTACATTATGGATTGAAGTTAACTTTTTTTTTTCGTGTTGAACGAGAGTCGATTACAATATTATTATATTGGCGAACCCGTTAAAAATATATATATATATACAATATACATACATTAATAGTGCAATATTATTATTATTGGCATTAACTAATAGTGCTACAGTTGGCCGCCATATGGACGCGTTTAAGTCTGGGATGTTGTGGTGAAAATTGCATCACGCACGATAAAATGTCTATATTATTAAGTAGTATATTATGTTTTAATTATTATTATTATTATTATTATATAAACATATAATAATATTATAATACAACGGTCTGTGACGGACAGAGTATACATGTATAGGAGCGCGGTAAGCGCACGCACACACACACTTATGTGTTACATACAATCGTGGCGATAGCGCTGCACTATCGATAGTGGAGACGGTGGTCCTCGTGCACAACGTGGGAACTCGCGCCCCGTGCCATTAGGTTTTGAAATAACCGAGCAGTATGAACCGGTTCGCTTTTATCGGCATTTCGGATTACCAAGCGCGCAACAAACCTAAAAAAATCCGTATGGTCCTACGTTTAAGGGCGACCGCGAAACGCCGATAAATTTTTTCAATCACACTTAACACTTAGTAGTATAATATAGTATAATATAATATAAATACATATTTATATAAAATATTATAGTCCTAGCGTTTTGGGTTTTCGAGTGGTTTTATGAAATAAAAAATTTAATTTTAATTTTAAACGAGTGTAATTTTCATCGAAACAAACATGTCGTCGACCAACAACGATTCGGACGACGAAGACGCCAGGGTACATTCGTCGGGCATGTCTTCTCCCGGCCAGGTCAGACGTTATGAACTTTCAAAATCCGAACTGCGAAAGGTAAGAGCGATTGACTAACCTGACCTATATAATATACATATATGCATCGAATTTTATATTAAAAGTTTAAATTAGTGTATGATAGATTCACAGGCGCAACAAGTCCCCCCCCCCCGTTGCACTCTCATCGCCCTTTACCTAGGTTTGTACTCTACTATAATAGAAAAAAAAATTTAATATTTAGAAAAAGCCAAGATGGACATGAATATCGAAGGTACGGATAAAATCAAATTTACTAAAAAATATTGAAAAATGAAATCTATTTGTTCTGGAAAAGTTCCCGTGAGAATAAACTCGGTCAAAAAAAATGTATTTTTTAGTTTAATGAAGTTTATTCGAACGCTTGATGAACACGATCACCTTCTTACTGGGGTCTACAGCGGTTCAAACTATTTTACTATTTGATTATTTTGAAAATCATGACCAATATAATGATTTTACCATTATTATTATAACTGGAAAATAGAGACACCAATAATTGATACATGAGCTTAATTTAATGGTATACAGAACTGAGAAAACAAGAGAAGTATCGACAATTTCAAAACTTTTGTTGCGTCTTAGGACATACCTACTCGTATTACAAAAGTTTCGGCTATCCCAAAGGGTTGTAGAGTCTCTATTTAAATTTTGGGCCCGCCGCGCCTCCCGCAGGACACCCTGTTATTGGACCAAGACTCTAACAACGAAGAATGAAATATAACTTTTTTTTAATCTCACTACAGTCTACATGACTACATCCTTTTTGTAACTAAATTTTCATATATCCCCAAACTAATCATTGTTTTTCTACACCTTGTAACACCATAATGTATCTACTTATCATACTTGTACAAATATCTATAATGTAATATATATATATAAAGAGAGAGAGAGAGATTCTATATGTTAAAAAAATTATACTTCTAATAAATTTGAAAAAAATTAAATTTTTTATGTACTACAAGCAAAGACACAGACATTTCATACAAAATGGGGTTTTAATACCGAAATTATTATAAACTTGCTAATTTCAAAACTAGGTGTACTCAGCATTAGTAAACCCATCCCGAATTTCGCATATGACATACAAATAGATAAATATTCGTGTTCAACCCTTCTTCAATGTACCCCATGCAAAATAATTCAGACAAATCCTCTCACTCCGCTCATCTGATCGAGTCTTTATTTGCAGCATCCATCTACTTCTTCTGTGGTGTACATGTACATCTAAATTCCCCTACGCTAATTTCTATTACGGGTATTACGCCATTTTACTATTTTATTATTCTCCCTTCTTAATAACGTGCTCATCATACATTTTCTCTGCTTTGTTCTCCTATAGGCATATATCCAAAATCTACCTAACGTTGTCACTCCATACAATTCCCATCTATCTCAACATCCCTATTTTAATTTCCCTTTCATCCCTGATAAACACTCGCTTTCATACGTCATTGCTGGTATTTAAGTACTAAAAACATTTTCTTTTAGTCTTAAATATTCCCTTTCGGCCACACAACACCTTTATGTTGTCTCATTCCACTCCATCCAACCACACTTTAATCTACTCACACCATTGATAAAAAAAAAAATGTAATTTCAGATTTACATTCTTTTGATTTCAGAACAACAAACCTATTATGGAGAAAAAAAGACGAGCTAGAATTAACCAATGTCTGAACGAGCTGAAGACGTTGATACTGGATGCGTTGAAAAAAGACGTAAGATAATAATAATTCTTAAGACTATAAATAATAATAAAGACGAGTAGTAACTTATAAGGCTAATGTTTTGCTTTTACACCACCAACAACATCAAATACGATTTCATACTTTATCTAAAAATAACTTACTTTTATTGTTAAAATCAGCCGTTTGATATCCCTTATCCCAACACATAAAACATGTATCAACATATTTTGATAACATTTAATTGTCAAGCGATCCTGACAGGAACATCCGAAAAAAATACTTCTTTAGATAAATTCTGCTGTCATTTGTCAATACACCATAGCGTCAATGTGCCACGTTCTTTGTCACAGATGACCTTCGTTTGTGAAGATACTACATGATAACTATAATATTGCATATAATCAAATTGCAAAACAGCTGTATAAACTGCATATAATCGCCTAAGAAAAAATCAATGCATCGTTATAGGGTACCAAACATATTTCTGATAATAAACATAAATAACAAATAATGATACAAAAGATAAAATTTACTCATATTGTTAGATTATAAGCGGTTTAGAGTTTGACTAAAAATGAATAAGTTAACTGCATAATATAAGTTTGTTTGTAATACCTATAGTCAAAAACTAAATATTAGAGAAATTCAAAGAAGTCATGCGGTGAAACAAACAAGCGTAAATTTGATCTCAGCGGGTTTTACTTACTCTCGAACAAAATATATCAATTGAACGTAGGTACATCTATTGAAAAAAATACAAATATTAAATTGATGACCTCCAACACAATATTCTATGACCCTTTTGTCGATACTGCCATAAAATCATAAATAGCACGCAGAATGTGTTTTTTTTCGTTTCTATATTTACCTATATAAATATTAAATGGGATTAGAATAGACAGCTCTACTAGCTTACGTTATAAAAAATTATAAAAAATTCACACGAGTGAATACAAATTGACCCCTAAAACCGTGCTTTGAAGTAAATAAATAAAAACAATTGAATAACAATTTTTTAACGTTTACCGCTCATATAACAGTACATTATGTAAGAGTCAAAATGTGTTTTTTTCAAGCCTGCAAGACACACAAAATTGGAGAAAGCCGATATTTTAGAAATGACCGTGCGGCATCTGCAGTCGCTGCATAGCAGTCGACAGACACCGGTCGTAGCGACACCAGCAGTCAACGCACCCCAACCCGTCGATCCTTCGTCAATTGTCGTGCAAAAGTTCCAAACGGGTTATCAAGAGTGTGCGGGCGAAGTGAACCGTTTCGTTGGCCGGTTAGACGGCATAAACGACGACATCAAAAAACGACTGATGGCTCATCTGGACTCGTGCGTGGCCAAAATGCGTTACGCAGTACCCGCGACGGCGTCTCTGTACCACCAACACCACCACAATCCACGTCTGGACGCAATCACCGCCGCGGCTTTGGCGCCCAACTGTAGTAGTCGGCTGTTGCCCACGGGCGAACTGGCCCTCATCTTACCCACGACGGCCGCGGCTGCATGTCGGAACAGTGCGTTCACTAGTGTCCGCCAGGACGACATAACGCCGTACGTGTACACGGACGAACCGGTATCGTCGACAAGCACGTCGGCTGAGGATACGCACGGCGGCCGAAACCCGCTGGACTTCTCGTTGAAGAAAACGGCGCCGGCGGCCACCGCTAAGAGGCCGCTGGGCGACATACCGGTGAACGTTCCCAGTGACCCTTCGTCGTCGTCGCAAGGCGGCAAAGCGGACAAGAATAATATGACTGAAGGCCAAAGGCCTGTAGCGGACAGACCGAACGTCGTGATGAGGATCGACAGCCCAAGAGACCCGAACATGTGGAGGCCGTGGTGATGATCGCATCCGCCCACATAACGACGCTCCATTTTCGCTACAACTGTGTTACTAAATTTTAAAGCTATCGTTTTATAGCTGTTTGTAATCGAATACGTATGTATTCGGTCGGTTACCAAAAATATAATTTTATTTATAACAATAACTACCTTGGAAAATACTTTATAACTTTTTACTTTTATAACATGTATTCTTTACTTCAATTTATTTATATTTATAGTATGACAACACATGTTTTAATAATATATGTTTTGCATTCATTACTTATATGAGTTATAAATAAATTTATTTTTATTTACGAAAGAATACCATCAGGTATTGTGTATACTGTATAGTAATACACATATATATTACTCTATTTATATATTATCGTACAGACATTTATACATAAAATTGTTTAAAATGTTTAGTGAAGTTAATTTTATTAAACAAATTACGTTTCCAGATTTTAAATTAAATTCCCAAACTATGTGTTTTTTATTTACCAAAATATTATTGTTGTGTAATTTTTCTCTCATTTATTTTTTGTAAAATTAGTTTTTTTGACGTTATTTTCTTAAATTTAACACAAATATGTTTTTTAATAGCTTAGTGAATACTGTTGACAATACGGATCCATTACCAAAATATATATATTTGTTTCACATTTTTTTTTATTAATGTGGAAGGAAGTCGCTTTACTAACTTAAAGATCAAACTAATTTCTTACTCTTAATGGTATGAAATATATATTTTTTTTTCACTAGGTTCTAATGAAACTACAGCTTGATTTCAAACACTAGGATTCGTGTATTAGTAAACAATAAATTGCTCATAATCAGTTATTTATAAAAAAAAAAAACACATTTAATTTGGTAATAAAATTTTAATTAGTATATTTAATTTAGCAACTGATAATTTTTTAGTTTAATAATTTACACCTCTCTATTATTATGCGTAAAACTATAAAATTTGTACTTAAAATATAAAGCACAGCGTCTAACCTAGAGGAAGTCAAGAAAATAATGTATATTTTTATTTCATTGGCTACGACATTTTACATTAGTTTCTATAATACTAGAAAGTATTATATTTACTTTTTAGTTAAACTGTTAAATCGACTTAATGCTATCCATTTCTAAGCACAAGTTGAAAATTAATATATAATATAATGGTAGAAAGTATTTACGGCGAATAGTGTAATAAAACATTTAATTAAACCATTCAAAACTAATAATATACAAATTAAATACAATTTAATAATGATACACTGGCAAAAAATACCAAACAATGTGATAGGTACATGAAATTATTTTTAAAAAGGTGACATTATAATTAGGAAGTAATAGGATATACAAATATATATATCTGATTATCTTTTAACGCCCTCGGTTAGGTCCTAGGCCCTACGCCAGTTTTCTCTTAAAATAATTGATATTTTATAGTTTTTCTTTTTTAAAACATTTCTGTTTATACTATTTTATAATATTAGACAATATTAAATGTTTTTTTTGTATTTTCTAGAGCGTTATCAACTTTTGAAACTTAAATAGTAATGTAAATATTTGATTAACTTTTTAAATTAAGAATAATTTACTGACAATGTTGAATGGTCGATAACCAATTTTGATTAAATAATTTTAATGTTATAAAAGTTTAAAATTTAGTAATTATCTAAAACTGGTAGACCAAGAAAAATGTTCAGCCAATTATTCTTAATTTTAAAATTCAAATTAATACATATGTTACCATTTGAGTTTCAACAGTTAATAATGCTAAAAAAGATAGAAATAAAAATATTGTCTAATTATGTACTAGACCATAAATAAAAATGTTTTCAAAAAGAAACACTACAAAATTGTAATTATTTTAGGAGTAAACTAGTGTAGGGCGTTAAAAAATTAATGGGAATTTATAAATACTATAGGGTAGCTAGTTTAAATATCGCTAAAGCACATAAACGAGCTTAAACAATTTAATCGCTTTCAAAAGTGAACAGTATTAAAATATTTCAAGAAAATTCCTAATTTTAATTCTTATGTTATTTTATTTATTTCTCATGATTGATTTACTGTATAAAAAAAACTAAGCATAATATGGTGATGTGCAATAGATACACTCAAAAAAAGTAACAATAATCTGTGGCATTTTACATTTAAAACGATTTGTCACATCTAATGAAAATTCAATTCATGCTGTACTTTACATTTACAATAGTACTCTAATCACTATTTCGTTACAAAACATCCAAATTGAAAAATTTTGAACCGTCAAATTGAACCTCCACAACATAACTGGATATTTTTAAATGGGATCATGATGCCAACAATAATTTTCAACATGATACCGACCATAACACGGAGCCATTATAGAAAAAAATTGTACAAAGTATTATTCCAAGATGTGCTCGAATCGAAAAAAGTTGAAAATTAAAAAGTTTTCGAAAAAGTTTTTTCCTGCTTATCAATCTTCCACCACGTCCCATAGCATAAGTGAGGCGTCTGTTCCACCGACAGTCACCACGTTTCGATCGTTGTACAAGAACCTGGCGCTAGAAATTTGTCCACTGTACACCTTCTCTTCGTTGTATTCAGATTTGTTTTGAATACACGGATACCTGTGCATACAAAAATATGGGATACATAAATGGAGTTAAGTACTGAGTTGCTGTTATAAGAGTGTGAAGATAGCCTTAAATTAAATGTAGTTAAAGAGGTACACCGATATTGGTCTAACCTATTTTCATGGGGGAAGATAGAAAAAAACGTTTCAAACAAAAATTATTATTTACTTGATTCCTATAAAGCCTTTTGATGAAATATAATACAAATTATACGCAATATACACGTACCTAAATAATCGAAGATATCCGTCTGTGTCACCAGTCACATATAGGTCGTGAGCTGCTGACCTGTTGGCAGTGCTTATTAACGATGTCGTTGGATAGAATCTGTTGTGCCAAATTCCTAAGGAAAATAAACGAAATAAAAACCAAATTAAATTGGCCAACATTAGCCAGTGTCCTATACCTTGTTTACCAAATTTTGGCCAAAACTGAAAACTATTATGATGGGTAGAGCGTCTCGAATCTGTTATTTATTTAAGACGCAAGCCCCCCTCCTCCTAATATTTAGCTAGGTTTTCGCCCATGTTTATAGAATTTTGTTTTGGATTAATTTGTAAGTTATTATTACCTGAAACCAAATATCCAACAGAAGAGTTGTACGTATACCACTTGACATCTTTCATGGCCGGCGCACTCTTCTCTTGCATCATTCCTTTAACGTCCCCTGAAATCAAATATCACGTTTAATACAAACCGAAATAGTAAAATAAAAACATGTTCATCATACAATAAACAAGGTCGTATTCGGCAGTGACAGTTTGCAGATAATGGCCGTCCGTACTCCAATCTAAATGCACTAACGGTTGGACCCCTCTTATTTTGTTGGACTTCTTAAACGTGAGACCATCTCGGCTCACTCGGTATAAGTATAAACTACCGTTTTGAGATCCGACTGCTACGGTATCGCCGGCTAAGATAATCCACGAATAAAACCAATTAAGGTTTGTTATTTGTAAAAAAAAAATAATAATAATCACCTGGATTGAAGCCCATGCATGTTAGCGCTGATCCACACACCCTAACGCTAGACACTACCGCACCACTTTCGGCATTCAATATGACTAAATAGCCTTCGACCGAACCAGCTACAAGAGCAGTGCCGAAAGGATGGAACGTTAGCGATACACATTCATATGTTATCTAAAAACAAACATTTCTAGTATTAATGTCTGAGCATCAAACGATGTTATAAGATCTATCTTGATAAGATTGTGAATTAAATTTATCAAGAAAATTTCACAAGTCCAAAGATACCTAATTTTATTCAAAATAAATGCATTTGGTGATTAACTTGGTAAATTATTAACCGTAAGTGTAAATATGTTATAACTTATAAATAAAAAAGAAACATTCCGGTTTACCTGAGTACTCCACAGCAAAGTGTGTCTCTTCCATAAAGAAATGTTTTTATCGTAGCCGGCAGTGGCAAAAAGTTCGTCGTCAGGATGTACTGCTAAACCCCACAACTGTTTACTATGTCCAAAAATTATCTATACGAAATTACAATGTTATTAAAATACTAAATGCATATTTGTTTATATTATAATAAACATTGATTTGGTAAACGTATAAAACTTTACAAATGTTTTGTTGAGGACAAGTGGAAAGTATTATAAGTGCTAAGTGTAATTGATTCGCGGTTTTCAAAATTATTTATGTACAATATTGATCAATTTATAATATTTGGAAAATATTTTCAACATTTTTGTGACATTAATTTTTAATTTGTTGCTAAAATATAATGTAAAATTATAGTGGAAATTATAAAAAAAAAATATACAATATTTAAAGTTGCAACAAATTTGTGTTGGTAAGCAACAAAACCCAAAAGTTGTGAAGATTTTAATAGAAGTATTATAATAAAAAGTATACATATTAATATCTTTAAAATATATTATTGCAGTGTGGGACAGTTAAAAAAGAATACATATGTTGGTTTTGTATTATAATAAAATATCATTCGATTGAAATAATTATTTATTATTCAAATGAAATTAAAAAAAAAAAAAAAATTGTATAAAAAAAAATGAATAAATCATTTTTATGGAATAGTTTTTAGTCAAATAAAATATTATCTTTTTATTTCAATTATTAATACGTTATTCGATTTATTTTAGATTTTATTAAAAATACAATTTTTTTTGTGTATATTACTAAATAATGGTGTATCGTGTAGTTTCTCATACCTTGCACTAGTAAAAATGGTGGTACTATATTTCAATGTCGTTCTCCTTGTGGTCATACTCAGATGTTGTTATGAGCAGATTTAGAATAAAAAATGTTTGAAATAGGAAAATCTATCTTACTATCTTGCATGTTGTATGACCTCATGGAGTGCGACATTAAATTCCTGAACACCATATTATATAAGTTGTAACTTGTAACCGATCTTACTCTATTAAATCTCCTCTGCATCGATCCTTCGAGAACGTGATTCTTGATCGTACCTACGTATATGTTACCGTCATTTCTTCCCGGGCGTTGAGGACACAAGCTTCTAACACCACCGAAAACTTCGGTCAACTACAAAAAAAAAAAAAATTAAATAGAGTGTTAAAACAAATGGGTTATTATTTTCCTAAGTGGTATCCTACCTTGGTCTCGGTAATTTTATTGTAATTTTGCAATGAGTCCCAAGCAATGATTTTGCGATCCTTGTCGCCTCCGGACAACAAAGTACCTTCCGGTAACATTATTAAAGCGTTTATGCCTTTGTTGTGAGCCTATAAAAGGAAGTTGTACGTGAACTTGAATAACTCACAAACACAAAATATGTGTCGTATCATAACCGATGTAGGTTACCTCGAATTCCATCCTGACGTAGTAGGCACCGTCGCTGTCTACAGAGTACACTGTAATGAACCCGTCGCCGTCGGCTGTAATAACGTCACCTTCCTGTTCAAACTGTAAGCTGGTGACAATAGTTCTCGAAGGCTACAAAAATTAAGTGCATTAGACAAATAATATCATGCCCTTTAGTATAAAAGTTAGGTTGGGAAATCTAGATCATCAAGTTTTTGTTTTTTTTTATATTAAAGGAACTCATTTTTGGGACTACAGCCAAGAAAAATAACGGAAACTTCAATTATTAATCTGTCCCTTGCAGACAAAAATGGTTAATATTAATTTTTACAGAGTTACCTGAGCTTATCATATCATATATACTATCGTTTATCATACCCTCAAAAAAGACCTCAATTTGTTTACTTAAAATGTTCTGTATTTTAATAGTAAACCTAAAATTGACCGGCTGTTATGGAAACTTAAAACTTAACCGCACATTTGCCAAAATCTTCAATTAATATGATATTGGTCTACTTGGATAAAGGTCCAACCTAGGTATCTAGGTACCTTTATCCAAGGAAAAGATTTATTTTCAACAATATTGTTATGTTGTCTGTATAATATGGTGTACGCTACCGCTTTGATTATGTCGATTTTTTCGAAAAATCCGTCCTTTCGTCTAGTCCAAAATGTCAGATGGCCTTTTCCATAAGTAATCATCAAGTTGTCGTCCAGAGGGTGGAAAGATGCACCCAATATGTCTTCAGTTTGCATTGTCTGTTTTTAAAAATACAAATTTTATAAAAAAAAAAAAATTGTTTGTACAACAATATGTTCACAAAAATTATACTTGTATATTTTCTAACTTGCATGGAAATTTGATTGACACTTATAAATTAAAACTTACGGCTACTTTTCCAAGCAGATGACCCCATTGCCATTGCCAAACAGACAACATTTTTTCTCTGCCACAATCAACAGCCAACAAGTAGTTTCCGCCCGTCTACATGATATAGCAAAACGTTAAAAATAAAATGTGATTTTTATCATTGTTCATACTCAAATAAAACGGCCTTCCTTTTGCAACTTTCGAAAGTGCTCTAATACCGTTTATGTTTTATAAATTAAGAAATCGCTATTGATATAAGTACAGCACTTACTAGTTGAGAAAAGGCTATTGCGCTTACTCCTTCTTCGAATTCCCCGTTGCCAACGATATACAAAGTATACAGCGTTTCAGGACTCCATATTCGTATGTGAGCTTGTGTTTTACGCGTCCTTCCGCCTTTTTGAGCCGAGGCCACCATTTCTTTTGACGGGTGTATATCCATACTACACATACAATTAACGCTAATAGATTATACAAACCAAATTGTCCGTTAAAAGTGAAATACATTTGTTTTTCAGTACCATTGGATGTCTTCGGTGTGTCCGATATAGTGTCGTTGGGAATCCTCGTCCCTGTCATAGAGCACGGCTACTGCGGCTACATAATACAATAACTCTCCCGTAGGTAACACCCAAAGGTTCTTCCTTGTGTCTATACCTCGATATCCATAACTGTTGATAGTTGTTTATTAAAGAAGATTGTTTTTTTTTTCATAAAACTAATATGCGCCCGGACCTAAGACTTGTAACTACAAAAACAACATTCCTAGTCCTGAACCAGAATAATGTATTATTAAAATTTACATAAGTTACTAAAAAAAACGTCCAGCAGTTGTTGGTGGTTGATTCGAATAGTAAATAATGTTGTTATCGGGAATAAAAGCTCTCACATAAAAAAAAGCAAACACGCTATTGAAATAGGAATCTTTTTTTTATACCAACAATTCTACATGACTAGTATAATTTATATCTATCAATATTATCGTATAATATAATTAAAAGGATACACCCAATTCAGTGTAACCCTTTTGTCGGGCGGAGAATCGTCCGCTGGAGGATGTACCATTGGTGGGAAATATGTTCTTCGCGTGCCCCTTATTAAAACTCGGATAGGATCTTCTTTCATCACGTCCAGAACAGAATAATCTTAAAACAATACAAGCTAATTAGTTAACACCTAATTTTACGATTTTTAAAGTTTCTACCGTTATGTCGCCGTCGATTACCTGGTGGGACTTTGACAATATCCGTGTCTGCCGCGTACAATGCACGAGGACGGCTCTTGCTCCTAGCTCTTCTCTGTCTGTCAGTTTTATTAGATGTGTTAATCGGCTCGACCGCCAAAGCTCCTCTAGATCGTGATCTCCTAAACGGCGGCGACATCACCCGAGACTCGGATGTAATGTAAAATGTATCAACGTCAGCATATTCGTTTCTCAACTGGGAAAAACTGCGGACCTATACGTAATCAAATACAAAAATAATATTAGATAACATTAAAAATGATAGTATCAACAAATTATAATACCTCTTGGTTAGATACGGTCAACATGCGTTTGGCATTATTCATTTTTAATACGTGTCCTAAGTCTTCGATCACTTCTTCGAATGGCTGTGTGGTTCTCAGGTTTAGGAGAACGCGACACTAAAATTCAGAAGATATCCAGACAATAACAATAAATAGAGTAAAACCATTGTAAATTATGATTCTTAGGCCGGTTTACACACAGGGGAAATTTGTTTCGTGAAATTTATTTCTGTAAAGAATATATCTTGCAGTAGTTGTAAGTTAAAAAAGATGTAAACTTTTTGAACGTTTCTCTTGATTTTCAAAGGGAAGGGGTAATTTTTTTTAATTTTTTGCCGGATTAAGTACCTTTTAGGTACGATATAGACTTGCTACTAAGCGATTTGGAAGATATCGTGGGTCCAAGCACAAAAAAAAAATAATAGAAATACAGCATTGTGAATACAATACCTTCTCAGTTATGCATCAAAGCTAAAATAAGTTAATTTAATGTTTATTATTTTTTTTAAAAATTATGATTTTAAGGTTGGTGAATTTAATAAAAACTTTTTTTTGTAAAACGGTTTTTTTTAGTATAAACATTTTAAATTATGTAGATATTCATTGGTTTATGATAAATAAACTAGTGGAAGGCGTTCGAGGTATGCAAAACAGGAACATGCGTGTCGACGGTCTCTTAATAGTATACGGTCTACTCATTATTCAGATTGTGGTTTTTAGACACAGCTACGTAAGCCCCGTTTTATCAAATATTATTTCACAAGGTCACATGTATAGGGTCACGAGGTGCATAATTATATATTTAAAAATGTATTAAATACAACTTTGATCATTATTTTTGTATTAAGTTCGAGGATAGAGGAAACTAAATAAAATTATGTATTGTGGGGTTTTTAATGTTACCTAAAACATTGTATAATACTACTACAATATAACAATATATCTAAAATAATTATGTATTACTAAGCAAAATCTATTAGATAATGCAAAAATTACGAAATCCTAATTTTCATTAGAAAATAAAATTAATGTTTAATATAAGATGATTAACTATATTTAAATATGGCAAATTTAATTTTAATTTTAAGTAAGTAAGCGTCTTGCTGCTAATATTAAAATATATTCCAAATAAACACAATAGAGAATTTATGACGTTAATTATCTTATAAAATAAAATAAGTAGTTTTGTAAATTATATATTGAAAGCTGGTTTGACAGCTCTTTGTAACGAAGATCTCATAATTACATTTCTTATTTACTATAGTTTTTATACTCTCCAAAATCAAGCAGTTTTACAAATTTATATGGCGAATAAAAGTGGTGAGAACTGATAGGATTGCCTTTACAGGAAAGTATGATGGAAGTCATATTTTTTATGCGTTTTTATAGGTGAAGTTCTATATTACCTCTTCCTAAAATAGACATAGATCGAATTAGGTTTCTTTGCTAAATACTGTATATTTAAAAACTCGTATTTAATACATTTTAGCTGTAGCATATTGGTTCCCATCTCATCAACTATAATTGACTATTAGGTAATTTAAATTGATATTATTAAATATTAAGTATTAAATCAGATTTGTTGCAACTCTAAGTGTATTTAAATACATACATACCTATAGACCACAAAACAACTATTATTTTTAAAGTTATAGCGAACATTTTTATCTATTTTGAAAGGATTTTGTAAAAATATATTATATTCATAAAATGTTTACCATATTATAATATTTTGGAGTCTGAGATATTTGGAACTCACCTGAACTGTGTGATCAAAATTATTAATGATTCGTATGACTCTAGTAGTTGAAGATTTTGATATGTTGAGGCCTGACGTGGCAGTGTTTAAATCGTTTGGGTCGATTACCGACTGTTTTCTGCTCATAGAAGTTTGTCTCGACCAACCCGAACCACTCGCAACCGTTGTTGAATTCCAACCACTAGTCTTTTTGCCATAACTTGTGCTCTGTTAACATATATAAAACATCTACTGAAAACTACATACAGTATAGAATTATTATAAAACACATTTTGACATTTTAACAAAGAACAATAATTCTAATAATATATTCGTATTATAATCCCGAATATAACAATATTTAAAAAATAAGTTTGGTTTTGGAAAGTCAGTAAATTATGTAATCATAGGCTAGAGGAGAGGATTTGCACATAAAGCTATTAAGAAAAATGTTTAAATGGAAAAAAAAATGTTTTAACATTAAATCTGAAAATTATATAATTCGTACAGTTTTTGATTGTACAATAAGCATAAGTGATATAATTTAGAAGAAAAAAATAAAAGATAAGTTCGCCTAAAGGCCTAATCGGAGAAGTCGCCCAGTAGCGGTACTCCGGAATTGGAAAACATTAGAAGTATAATATTGATTGATATTTTGAAAATAGTTAATGTAGTATTATAAAATTTAGGATATTTAGGAAGTATTATGAAACATATTCTGTAAAAGTGGGAAGTTCAGATTTTTCAAAACTCTTCACTCTTACAGACATTGTTTTGGGAGCCTGAACGAGTTTTGTAGGATCGGAACTCCCTAAGCCCGTCCCTCAAATATATATATATATATATATATATATATATATATTTTTATGTGTCGAACACATTAAACTCAGCGTCTCCGCGGTTACGTACGTTTTCTTTGGAGATAAATTTACGGCAAGGCGCTTCCATAGTGTGGAATCAATAGGTTTGCCGTCGAGCGAGGTACAGACCATTTCGGGAAAAATTTCTATAAAATTTGCGTCTTTCAAAGACCGCGAAACGACGTTATAGTATATTATTATGTGTATTCATAAATGCACACATCAATACCGTTCGGCGGGTATTATACAGAGACAAAGTTAGGCTACAGTAGGTTGGCGGCCCAATACCTGTTCAGCGAGCGCGGCGATGGACGAGTGTAACACGGAAAACGCGACTGCCATTCCATTGGTGTGCGGTAGATGTTGTTATGGTTTTTTATTTTATAGAGAACAAAAAATAAATAAATTCTAAATAAGAACTATATTTTAGGGAACTTACAGCGACCGCACTACTCGTGGCCGTTCCGAACGTTAGTCACCGACTGCAAAAGGGTAAAGGACCGGCGCACCCTAGAACGTGTGAAATGTACTTACCAAGTGGTGCGGCTAACTTCAAGGTCGCTCTCGGTGTGTTGTGTCCGGCCGACCGCCTCGAGACAACCGAAGCCCTTGACCATCTTGGCGAATTTTACGACCACAATAATAACACATTGTCTTCCTCTCCCCCCCCTCCTCCTGTACCTTCGGCCAAGCCTTTCTTATGTTTATAATATTATCTATACGCCGAAGACGATAGCAATAATTATTATAATCATCGCCGACATGCAACGGCAAAAAACGCCGCGTACCGCGTGGAAGGCTTACTCCGCATCACCTCTCGGGACACAGGAAGATATGCACAACTTCCGGACTTCGTAAACTTCCATCTGCGTAAAACGTTAAAACGCCATATCACAACGATAATATATTAAAACGTCTCAGTACAGAGTATTAAGAATTATGCAATACAATAATTGTTCTCTACGAAAAAAAGGTTCACAAAGAAATTCTTGAATGTTCAAACAAAAACTATGTTGTTATGTTAAGAATATTTGTTTAAGGGAACGCAACGCATGCAGGTTTTTTTGGGAAATCTAATACCAAAACGAAATATCAATATAGAATCTTTATTATTCGTTATTCATTACTAAGTTTGTTAAGAAGTTTAAATTAATAAGAGTATATTCATATAATCAATAGCTACATCAAATTTGAGAGTGGTTAATACTTAGAACTGAAGTTATATTAATAACATACAGGTATGAAATATAATTATAATTATGAAAATCATTGTTAGTTGATAACGTCAGTCAAAATACCAAAATGTTAAGTCCGATTTCTACTATAGGTAGTACCGTTATTAAACAAGCTCTTATCGAAAAGGTCTGAATTTATGATGAATTAATTTAAATATATTTTCATCCCTGGGTCACCCTAGTCCATTATTTGCACCGTGAAACTTGTGCCCGGCAGTCCGGAATTAAGCAGAGTCCTTGACCGCATTCGAACATACGAGTTCTTATAAAATAATAGAGTTATGAGTGTGTGTATGAAACACCCGGAGATGTTTTGGAAAAATGTATAAGTTAATTCGAAGGTCGTTATAAAATGACCGCCGACACGAACAATTATGAAACCATAATACACACCACTCACCAGTAGCTAATAGTAGCTTTTGATATTTAAGACCCCCACCGACAATAGGCTAACACAACACGAAACGAAAGTAATTAACTTAAATTATAATACCTGCTATTACTTTTGCCGTCAAAAATTGTACAACTTGCTAGACAAATGTTTATTTTTTTCTTCTAATATATAATTTATATTATTATAACGAATTATCAATTAAATAAAAAGGCTATTCCAATAGAATGAGACCATGATATTGATAAAACAAAAAAATCCCTTACAATGTATATACTGTAAGGGTTTAGGCCATTTTTCGAATCCTATTAAATTAAACTGACGTGTAATACTCGACTATTATAATCTGAATTATTTTTAAAAATGCCTGTTATGTAGGATATGTATGTAGTCTGATAGTCTATGTATTATAAAACGCGAACGATTTACTGTTTGATTAATGTAAAATGTCTTTTAATTCATCGTAAAGTTTGTTTAAGTTGCAAAAACGAAATATTGAAATTAAAATTAACTTCTTAACTATTAGTAAAAATAGAACTTAACATGAATTCATTACAACGTCGAAAATCAATAAACTGATGCAATTGTTGTGAATATAATTTATGAATTGCGCATTATAAAAAATCTATACTGTCATAAACCATAACTTTATGATGAATTGATTTTACAGTGACATACATATAGATAGATAGAACGTCTTCCTCCCATTTAACTTATGAAAAGCCTAACATAAAGTATACTATAATTTAGATGTCATAAATTGTGTCCCTTTATGTCTCCTGTTAAATTGCAGTAAATTAAAACATTTTTTAAAATTTAAATGATATACTTGGACAATTAGCGTACATAAAATAACATTTATACAACATATATCAGGTACTAATTTATGCTGCATTTAAAATAGAGTAAGGGTGTAGTGTATCACGATATTTAAATATTTAAATGAGTCCAACCACTTAATGAATTCAATATCAAACAATAAATTATACTTAATGATAAGAAAAACTAAAGTTATTGCTTGTTATTAAATATTATTGAAGGTAAAATTAAAAATGTATTATTCATTACATTTGTATTATTCAAATTAGATTTCAAAATTCTAATTTATTAGATAAAAAAATAGTTTTGTAATAAAGGTTTTAAAATATTGTTAAAAGAATCGTTTTTTAGCTTTTAAATGATTTATAAAAAAAAATCATCATAGACCATGGTCGTGGGTATACAAACTCGTTAAATTTTGTTTTTCATAGTTTATAAATGTTTTATATGTATATAAATATAATTATATACTTATAATATATGTACACACATAAATATTTTTTAAATATTATTTATACCAGAAAAACAGAATGATTTTGTTTAGTTCAATTAATTTTAAAATAAAGAAAAGTTCTTTTAATCGGTAGTCTTTTAAAATTCGATAAAAATCTAGTTTTTAAATAAATCTTAACTCTAACTAGAAAATAAAAATGGTATTTGTAAATTAAGAATTGAGTACTGATTAGTTACTGTAGTATTATGTCGATACGGCATTCTAGTTATGCAATTGTAATGCATGCACGTGTATAGTCTATTTGCAAAAACATATTTACTGACTCGACTATTTTACTATAATACACTTTAATTGGTATACAATTATATACATTTACACATAAGGTACAGCTAAACATACTAATAAGTAGAAAGGCCAATAAGAAAATTGAAGTTAAGGCAGATTATTAGTTGTTATATTAGATGATTAATTTATTGTTAATAAAAAAATCATATTTTTGTATTACTACCTAGAATAGGATATAATCAAAAAGATGTTATGGTAAACAAAACTTAAATATTTTATATCCAATACATATCTCAATTTTTTAATTCATTGATCAAAACTTGATGGTAAAAGAGCTAGAATCTGCGTATTTTGTACATTTATTCAAAAAAGGCTGTAGAATAATCTATAATTTACAATTTTATAAAGAACTTCTAAAAAAAATAACATGATGAGATCTTCACTATCATCACAATAGAAATTTGCCTTTTAACAGAGGGGCAAGCAAGTTTGGAGGTAGCAATACACTGAATAGATTAAAAATTGTTTTAATTATAACCTGCAGTGGGAATCTATTATTTTAGTATTTAATATTAATTTATTTATACATAAACGCCCGAAAGCTTAGAGTATCAGTACAAATTATAACTAAATCAAACAGTAAAAATTGAGGTAAACATTCAAAAGATAGGTAAAAATTCAAATAATTAAGAGAAAGTAAGGGTGGATTTTTTTATCTTGTTTATATTATCAAAAAAAAAAATCAAATTTAATAGAATTACAGATGGAGAGAGACCTATTGTTAATCGATGAGTGAGTGCCGTATAGTATGAGGGAACCGTAAATTAAACTTAATTTATTTAATGTCTTCAACTAATACATTATATGTATGATAAGCAGTGATTGGAAAATTCCTTTAAAAAATTAATGCATTCCCATTAGGGAAGCCCATTAGAGTAGCTGTATGTAAACCCTATACGTTTATTTTGTTATAATATTCCTTTATATAAATGTAGGTAGATTAAAGATCGACCAAAAGACTACTGACTAACCAGTTCATTGAAGCTATTCAAGTTTTAGCTAAGACAGTGATTAAAAATAATTCTAGTTTTTTTTGGAATTCCATTAATTAATTCATGACTGCATTTCTCTAAAAAGGAATAAAAATTCAATGAATGCATTCTTTCCAAACACTGATGATAAGTATTATAAGTATTTTATATCTTAAACCAATTATAAAATAGTATCCCCATTTGTAGAAGTTGTTTTCTTTTTTTAAAGAAAAGTAATTACATCTCATCAGATGAAGAATAAATCAGTTTTTTACGGGAATAGAACAAAAAAAGTAAACAACTTATGTGTTAGCCCTGACTATAGAATATTATAGTTCTAGATAACTTTAATAGAGTTTGCCAATTTTTTCAAAATGTTTTAAGATCATAATTTGGCAGTAAATCAAGTATGTAACAACATAAATATTTCTTAATAAATACAGACTAAAAAAATATGATACATTAGTTATTTCTGAAACCTTAAATATAATTAATTTTAATTGTTCTCATTATAAGGGGAATAACAGTTTTATTAGTAATAATTAATGATAAATCTAAGCTAAGCGAAATAATTGTTATTTCTTAAATAACAAAATTGCCTTAAAATTAAGTTGTAATAATTTATAATGCATATTGTAGGGGTTGACTATCCTGATATCCAAAACATTATGCAAAAATAATACCACGATACTCCATAGCTTATGTAATATTAATATTATAAACTATTAAACGATTTTTTAATTAGTAGGTATTTAATAAATTATAGTTAACTCGTACAGCAAAAAACTAATATTTTTAGAATGTTATCAAAAGGTTGTTTGAATTTTTTAAAAATGCTTACAATATTGTTTTGACAGAAGATTAAACGTTTAAAAATAATAATTAACAACATTTTGTTTAAATATTATTAAAACAAAGGAAATATTACATTAATGTTTAAAAGATAATTGAATTTTTGAACTTATTTAATTTATCACATAACATTTTAATATAATATTTTTATAACAATTGATTTTCTCTATACATGATTAAAAAATATTAACTACCATTTTAAATATTATATATTTTTTTATTTATAAGTGATAATTAATAATAACTACTAATATTCGGATTATATTGAATAATACTCCAAGTAATAGATAATAATACTTGCCGATTTTTATCTATTCCCCCTAAATCAGATTGTAGAATTTGGATATTTGTAAAATTTAATTTTTACCTCACTACTCACATGTAGTAAAGAAATAAAATAATAAAATATTTAAATAAACCCTTGTCTACACTTTATATATTGAAACAAAAACTCAAAATATTTAATGTGCGGAGTGTACCTACCAAAATGACTCACGTTTACAACAGTAGCTTAATTAATTGTGTTATCGAATTCAAAATGACCAACATTAGTTATTTACCAAAATTATTAGAATATTATCTATTTATCATATACGGCTTGTTACCATTCCTAAAATAAACATATTGGTACATTTATTATTTGTATTATTATGTAAATTTAGATCCATTTGCCTACATAATGAAAAATTAAAACCCTACACCACTAAAACTGATTTGGTTTGATTTTTTTACTTAGGGTTTTAGTAAGCACAAACAAATTATTTAACAATAATTCATTATTCTTGGATTACAAATTTACTTATTGTAAAAATGTAAAAAAAAATACATAAATATACACTTGTATTCATTTTACTACTCAGTGAAACACTTTTTTGACAATTAAATTTATGAATGGTCAAATATTAAATTCATAATTCATTTTAATATATTAAAAAAAACAAGTTCTCTTAAAATAGTTTGTCGCAGAAGTTGCGCTTTTGACTTTTACGCTTATCATATTATGGTCCAAATTATAGCTTCAAGTATGACAGTATTAGATACTGATACTATATTTACCACATATAGTTTCTAAAATATCCATCTTTGTCAGGCTAAGTATTCACCAACGATGTAATATTTACACACATATTACCAAAAATAAATATATATATTTGGATGGTCCTTATTTTGTTTAATGGGATTAGTAAAACCCTAAATTGGTTCAAAACGGTTTAAAAAAACATCGCCAAAGTTTTAGATATTATTTTGAAATTAACACATGCCTCACGACACATACTTTTATCTAACTGTAAAGGCATCATAATACTGGTTTGAAACAATTAATGTTACACAATATTATACGGGGTTATATTCAAAGGGGGAGTTATAAACAGATTTTCAACATTTTGGTTCTATCTCAATATTGTTGGCTTTTTATTTTTTTCATAAAATATTAGTCTAAACATAAAATTAACTGTTCTGCAATTTGTTTTACAAATTATTGTATTATTCGAAATTTAAAAAAATTAATTTTTTTTGAACATCATTATTTTATCTCTATAAATGCAAAAACTAATTTTTATTAGTAATAATTGCCATTTGTTAATAATAAAATAGTTAAGATCTGAAACTTTAGGGTCCTTTTTTATCCAATTTGAACTAATTTAGGGGACATCAGATATATGTAGTGAGTACCTTGAAACTTTTATAAGAAGAAACCACATACGATTGGTCGTCCTCTAACTGATCTAAGCTAACAACCCTGCTCCCGTCCATTGAAAACAAGTATCTTGCACCTCTGGGCAAATCCATTCGTGAAGATAATTTGTCAAATAAAGCTTCCAAATTTCCAATATCTCTACCAGGCCGAAATCTTAGTTCCAATCCCGGAAAGTATGGATCTCCATTTTTATAAAAAGTAACCTATAAAAGTACAAATAAGTGTTACTAATAATATTACATTATCATTTAAATATTGTGTATTACAATGTATGGTTCATTAAAGAAAGAACAATTATTTAATCAGGACATTTAAATATTATTCCTTTGTTCTCTAATTTATACAGAAAAATACCAAAAGAATACAATCATCCTACTCAATCTACTCAACACACGATCCGTCATATCTTTTACACTTCCTTCGCTAACCTCATATATTTGTTCGCTCTATAGTCTATATCTTACTTCTACAAATACTTAGAACCTGTCCTTTATATTGGTTATTTTACCATTTAAGTCTATTATTAACTTCTTCCAAACTGTCTTCTACTATCACTATAAAATATATTTTATTTTATACTATTGGCTCACTTTTCTAGCTTTCCAGTATGAGAGGTGATTGTATTTCTCTTTGGAAATCCTAGAAGCCGCTAGACCAGGAACCGGTGCGGGCATTACCGAAGAAGTTTCACTGGCATTGTCCATTCCTGGACTAGCACCTCTACTGTTTGGTACACTTTGCCAATAGCCAGCTGGCCCGAGTCGACCCATTTGCTGCGTGTGACGTGATACCTATAAATTACATATTTTATTAAAGTAATGAATCTTAATATTATTACATTGATTTATTGATATCATATCAACTCGGTTAGTTAAAATTTGTTTTTAAACATGGTATTTTTTTTAATAAAAAAAAATACTTCTTTACTTTGATGGATGTTCTAGATACTCTTCTGTATTTTAATTAAAATACTACTTTCCGTTTTTTATAAACTTCATTTTTTTAATGTGTATTTTTGGAATAACATTTAACGTGGCTATGAATTTGTACATAATATGTTAACGTCGTCGACATTTACCCAATAATCATTTGTAAAATTATACAAATTCTAATCTCTTGTAATTATAATTAATAACTAATCGTCTAGATTATTATTTTTTAAAATTAAATTCTCACTTCTTGGTCTTCTTCATCTTCACTTTCAGATTTTTCGGGCTGTAGGACGTTCATGCGAGCTGGTGCTACAATTTCTTTTACATTCGGTTCATGTTTCTCTTCGCTGGGCTCTGAAGACATTGTAGGTTCTCGTTCTCCCATTGTACTGGACGGACGAGAAGACGACTGGACAATGACCGTTGGTGCTAACATTTTGGCGGACCATCAAATATCTTTCTCCTAATAAAAAATGTTAAATATTAACCACTGTCGAGTAAATTACCCAAAATTCCGAAATTTGGATTTCCGTTCCATCACTAATTAAAATGCTTTTATGTATGAATATAGAAATGATAAAGTATAAACAAACATCAACAAAAACTACATTTTTACTTTTAAAAAAGTCAGTATAATTGCATAATTCATACTCTAAACTTTTTCAGCTCCACACCAAAAAAAAAAGTAGCAAATTATTGGCCTACTAAACTAGTAGTAGCAAAATGGGGCTTTACCGCCCATTATATATAAATTCTAGTTTAACCTTATATATTGTTTAGTATAGAAAATTATTTTGCAACATTGAGTGTTTTACTAAATAAGAAGTGGAAGAAATAAATCATATATAAAAACATGTTTCAAATAAACTAAAAATGACTATAGTTTATTTGAAACATGTTTTTATATATGATTTACTTCGTCCACTTCTTATTTAGTAAAACACTCAATGTTGCAAAAGAATTTTCTATACTAAACAATATATAAGGTTAAACTAGAATTTGTATACAATGGGCGGTAAAGCCCCATTTTGCTACTACTTAAACTGTGTTCGCAGAAGATATTCAAGCTAATATTTAAAGTTGGTGTAATTTAGATTCTGAATGAAGTAACTATTATCATATGTCTAGTATTAGCACATATATTTAGAATATTGTTGAAGAATACATAATATCTCATAATATAAAAACAAGGATTCGCAACGTCGTCGAGTGGTCAAAACAGTTTGGTAACCACGTGTTTTTTTATTTTTGCTATCCGGGTTCTGTAGTTGGGCGGCCATAATTAATTAAACCTGTCTACAATTTGATTAACTATGAATATTTATATAATTACCCTATTTATCTTCAACCTTCGGGCTGTACAGCTCGATTACAATTTAGAGTGAGAATTACAAATGTTTTATTATTTAGGAACAATGTATTTTATTATTAACTTGTATTCATACCGATATGTATCAATGTCCAACGGATTTTAAAGTATACAATATATTGTTTTAATGTCCCCTGTTAAAATTTTACAATTAGATGAAAATATATTTATTATTCACTTTTTTCAAATCTATGTTAATATATATATATATATATATATATATATATATATATATATATATATATATAAATAATAATAATATATAATTATAATATATAATATATATATATATATATATATATATATATATATATATGTACATAATATATTAAGGTCAGAACTTTTCATATGGAGTTCTCAAAACGTTTTACAATTTAACGTTTTTAGGAAATTATTTTTTTTAATTATCTAAAATAGTATTCAAAAATTATTTTACATCGCTAAAAATTATGTCTTCTACTACAAATACTGTATGCCTTTTTTCTACATAGCACATTGCCCGCATTTCTCTTCTTATACATATTTATCACAGTTAAAAAACACAAATTTTTCTATACTTTGGGTCTGAAAGATCAATGGTAAATTTATTTTTCAAAAATAAGCTACACTAATAAACAAATGAATTAAAACAACCTACGATTTTATTTTTAAATGACACTCCTAAACAAAAAATGTAAAGAAGTTTTCAAGAGTTTTGTAAAATATTTACTACAAATCCTTCAGGGATAAAAAAACGTTTAAGCATGATTTTCCAAAAGCTAATCTGGATCTTCTATACCAGAGACAGACATCCGATTTAATATTAAATGTTAGGCCGCATTACAAACATTATACATTTCGCTAATTATAATATTCAATGAGTTACTGTGATATCAACCAAAAACTGGAGTTTGATAAATTAGTAAAAGCTAAAGTATTTTTATTTATAGTAATCAGAAAATAGTGTTGTTGTTGTATTTTAATCACATTATACTAGGCACATATTTTAATAATGATACAATAATTTGTATTGTTATTAATTTCGATTTGTGCAAAAAGTGTGAGAACTTTATAAAGTTAATAAATAATTAATAACTTCAGTAGAAACTACGTATTAGATACTTGCCTTTAAATAATGATAATAACCAATCGTACAGAGTTCGTGTCTTCTTTCAAATGTTACACGTTAGGCATAAACGCCGATTAAAATTTCACGCACTACATCGATACGAAATACGACCTAATTTGTTTTTGCAAAACTATGTAAACGTCTACAGCTTTAATCGGGCACTAAGGTTGTACGTTGGTAAAACGTCGGATGGAATTAGGAAGGCTGTGGGAGCACACCACCCCTTGCGCTGACGCCGGCGACTGTTGACCGCCGGTCACGCAATTCTTAACCAACCACGTTTGTGCCTAACATCGCCTTGAGCTCGATAGCATTGGCATGGTCATTACACTATGAAGGGTGTTTAAGAGGCAAAAATATGCAGAATACTACATCAACACGTTCGCGTCATTAACCTGATGCGAAAAAACTTGACTAAGGTGCTGGGATAATATTTTAGAAAAACATGTTTATCAAGATTAATTAAACAAATGTTTCAACACGGGTAATTTTTCAGGGGTGGTTTTTAATTATTGATGTAATATTCAACATAATTATGGAATTATGAATATTTTTCAAATCCAATAAATACATAAAAAAATAACGACTGTTGATGACCTCGGTTTTAGCTATTTATTATTAGGAAGCAATGTTTGGTTTGACAACTTTTTTTTTATAAATTTCTATCACGAGTTAACTGACTTTTAGGTTTAACCAAATTGAAATTTCAACCCTAATTTTTTTAATAAAACACAAAGCTACTCCAGAAAACAATAAAAACATCTGTAGTTTTTTTATTATTATTTTCTTCTTAGCCTAATTAAATAAGACTTTCTAGTAAAAGCAGCAAAAAATTAACGAATAAATGTATAATTTTCACTTTATAAATTTAAATTTCGAAGAAAAAATTTAATATTTGATCCCTATTATTCCTATTCTTGACATGACATGTTTTTGAGCTACGCAATGCACAAATAAATTGCAATAAATATCTTAAAATTTATTATTTTCTTTGGTTGTATAAAAACGGTCTTTTTAATGTAGCTCTTCATCAATTTCATTATATTTATACTATTATAATGATTTTTTACTACACTACTACTGTAATATATTGGTTCACAATACCAAAAACGGAAAATTTAAAAATACTAATTTGGTCAAAACCAACGATGGCATGTGCTATTTTTATTTTATTTTTTTTAACTTTGAAGTATCAAAGTTAAGACGTAGCCGCTACGATTGCCACAGCAAATGTGCGTTAGTATAGTAAGTATTCTTTATTTTAATTTCCCAATAACGCATTAATTAACTTTAAACGGTCCAACGCATATTGAATGAAATTGATAAACGAGCTTTCGTGACTCCGTCCGGTTGTGGCGCATATAGTGGACGGTGGCACATTACTCCCCTGAAAACACGCCGAAAATCGCAGTAATCGCGTGGTCAAGAAAATACCACCCACTGGCCTAGTTTTCCAACAGTTGAATGTGTGCGTTTGCATTTTCAAAACGCGTAGAAAACTAGCACTATGTTTGGTTATTTAAACATCTCACGAGCAGAACATTTGAACAAAGCTCGTGCGGCTAATGCGGTTTCCCCCCCCCCCCCAAAAAAAAAAATGATGTACTAATAACCCATATTGTTAATTGTATAAAAAAAATAATGTAAATTTCATTTCGTGCTCGTGCAGCTATTTTCAAACATAATATTATACGATTTTCAACCGTACCGAATTGCGATTTCCTAATCAAAGTCACATAATAATTAAGTAAATAAATACAAATTTAATCGTAGTTCAAAATCCACATATTTTTTACATACTATTACTGATTTTATTTTTTAAAACTTATTAAAATCAAAACAATAAAGGATTGTTAAAAAAGGTAGAAGAATAACGTCCTAATGACGCATGAACAAAGCTTATGTCCCCCTCTATGGTTAGATATTTATAAACGTCTGAGAGCAGCTCTCGGCGAGTGGGATTTAGCCGATTTACTCAGAGCATCAGAACCGTCTCGTCAGTTAAATTTCTAGTATTGTTCTATGTTCTAAATAAATATTACAAAATAAAGTTTGGTGTTAAAAGTTATTTATCAAATATAAATCCTCATTGCGACATCTACTCGCTACAATATTATTAAAATCCATAAGAAAATTACACTAATTAATTTTTTTTTTAAATATTTCATAGTTGAACTGACGTTTGATCGCATGTATATAAATTAAATTAATATTCAGTATAATATATAAATATAAAATATGGACTATTATAAACTAAATAGTAACTGGATCAAGTTGAATACCTTTATAATATTAAAAATTAATTACTTGCTTTTTGAAAATGATTACAAAACTCCACTAATAATTTTCTTCTTGGATCCTTAAGTGTTCTCTGTAGTTGAATGGATACACGCAAACGGGCGGAGTTATAGACTTAAGTGTTCTAATTTTAATACTTTTTTAATTTTTCTCTTTTACTCACTTATTTTTTTTTAGAAATCATTTTTTCTTTAGTTTTTTATTGTAATCAAAGCGTTTTGATTTTACGATTTCGTGTTTACTAGAATTTCATATTTTTATACTTAAGTTTTCGGTATTAACTATTTTGTTTTTTTGTTTAAATACCTGAAAATAAAAATCCATCGTTGTAAAACCAGTTAAATCAGCTAAAATCGTAAACATTACTATATTGTGTGCCGTATAAAAGACAATCATAGAAGTACTATATTGTGTAGAAACAAATAGGACAACTATTATTATTATTTATTTATATTTTTTTATAAATTATCTAAGAAATGGTTGCAAAATTTGTTTAGCGTAATAATTCAATCGAGAATGTCTAAATTTTTTTTTAAAAAATTGTAAGGGGAAATGTTTATCGTTTATATTTCTATTTGATACCCTTAGACCGTAGCCGAGGCGGATCCAGCCTATAAAAAACTGAGGAAGGCAATCTCATTTTTTTTGTTCTGGTATAGCCTAGATTTATTTAAGGAGAAGCGATTTCACAAATTAACAATGACGCCCACGCTTTAGATTTACTTCTATATTATTTTATTTTTTTAAATATTACAACTGTCTAATTTATACATTTTAAAAAAAATAAAAAGGTAATAATATCCAAAAAAAATACATATTAAGCTTACTACCATAATTGTAAAAAAAAAAATGTAATTATCATACATTATCCGTGTTGTATGTTCGTACGTACCTACCCTAAAACTCGCAGAAGACACGTCATAAAATTTGTATGTTTGTGTACTTAAGTCTCACATTTTTTTGGCACTTTCTTGTAACACTGTTCGCGTGTGCCACAACCACTTTTATTACGTTGACCCCGTTAAGTCGTCGTTTTAATATTTATAGTATGGTAATTTTACATTTTTTCTTTCCACGATTTCATAACTGAACATGTATATAATACACTAACCGAGAGCTCATATATAATAATAATAATAATAGTGGCTTTCCTTTTCATAGATCGATTCAATGATACATTTTTTTTGTATATTAGAACATGCAGATCACGGCAGGTACTATATGCATATCTCGTGACCTACATAAAAAGTATTTATAAATTTAGGGTAACATTTAAAAAAAAACTTTTTTGATACTCCAACATACTTATTAAAATGTTGTAGGTATTGAAACAATAATGCTGCTTTTCTTTATACATGATACTTTACGGCAACAATTAATTTTACGTAACCAAGTGATGATAAGTAATAATAATAATAAGTATCTAAAGGTAAAATTGTTGATAATCAATTTTTAATGTTCCCTTACACACAATTTATGTTATACAATCCCAAAAATTATTCTAAAATTTCAAGTTTTTGGATTTCCTGTAAAATTGGTTTTCATTTAAGTAAGATTTCTAAGGATGCGTGTAAATGCATAAAAATGATTAGGGTAGGTTTTACAAGACAATTCATCTAGAATAAGACTCTCATTTTTTTAAAGAAAAAATTGAGTTTCTTACCTTAATAAATCATCCTTATTCACAAAAAAAAAACCATAAAAATTAAAAAAAAAAATAATTTATTCATGAGCTCTTTTTTACACAGAATACAAAAGAATAATATATTTTACAAATAAAAATATTTAAAACAAAGTAAAAGAAAAATCTAAACCGATCTTTTGATGTATACAGTATTACTTAAGTATTTGAAGAAAATACAGACACACACAACTGTATAAGACAAACTGTATTTTAACAACACTTTGTACTTATACATTCAATACTTACAAACAAGAAATATACACTTTTAAAAATAAAATACTCGTTTTATTAAAAAAGCCATATAGGTTTACAAAAAATATTTATTTATGCCAAAACTTGTCTAAATTTTATATAACAGAGAAATAGGTTATGAAATAATGTCATGAAATTTAATAAAAAACGCCATTTGAAAATGGTAAAATTATTAATTTTTTAAATGAAATTTGCACATTAAATACAAAAATTAAGTTGAGCATTATTAAAAATGCAACAAAAGGTAAAAACAATAACTTTTATATGATAGAAGAACATAAAATTTAATTATTAATACATTTTTTATATTATGTTGGCAGTTAAAATAAAAAGAAGAATTTTAATACTGTGTATCTTTGTACTTTTCTAAAATATAATTATAATATTATAACTGATGAGTCAATAATACTGGCAAATATAGGTATTTGATAATAATTAATAACATAACTAATTTTTTTTGTTGTCTAATTAAAAATATCTGTTAAATGTCTTTAAATTAATTAAATGTATGTTTAAATGTTAATTTTTTATCATTGGTAATAGGTATAGTCGTATATATATATACTATGTGTACCTTATGACCACATTGTTTATTATTACTAATACCAATGAGTATGTGAAAACTGAATACTAAGAGTTGCAATTATGACGGTTTGTTGTCAATTTTAAGCTTTTTTAAAACACAAAAATTTCTTAAACAAAATATGAAGTTCTCTATATATTGAAAAACAACAATTACAGTTGTAGATTTAAATTTTAAAAACACAAGCAGTTAAGTAATTTACCAATAATTAAGTTATCACAGTTTATTAACCCGGTATTTAGGCATATTTCATAACGGTAAATCATGAGAAATGAAATACATCTTATTGATATATGCTCAAACCTTTTTTAATAAATTAATAATTTTAAAAGTGTATCAATGCTATTAATTTATAGTAGTAAAATATTGAAAATTAAGGTGGTAATAATAGTGGTAGTTGTAATAAAACAGGTAGTGACACAAAAACTCACTTAAAGTAAAATTACAAATAACAGAATGCTTACAAATGTGTTTTATCATACTGGTACATACACTATGGATCAATAATATATAATATTAAATTTGCTAATACTTATAATACTACATTTTTGGATAGGTATACTGAATGAAACATGTTATAATATTATAAATAGTATATATAATTAAATAAATACGTATTTTAATTGGATAATACTTCCAATGGTAATAATATAATGTTTCCAATCATTTTTAACTATTCATATGCCTTAATTAAAACAATACAGGTATATGATTCCACTTATCTAACATTTTTTGTTTTTCACTTTTTTTATTGCAATTCAACTAATAGTAAGATATAATTATAAAGTCTGAAATATGTTTGCAAACAATATATATATATATATATATTGTTTGCAAACATATTTCAGAATTATATATATTGTTTGCAAACATATTTCATAATTATATATATATATATATATTTACACTAATGTACTAATAATTTGCAAATAAAAATATATAGTAAATGTTTTTAAATATTGGATTTATCTATGTAATATATGAAAAAATTTCTTTTAATTATGCATTTTTATGAATTTTTTTAAACAAAAAAAGTGTTTCATATTTAATAATGGGAATAATTTTGTGAGCATCAAATTTTTAATTTAATAGGTATTATTTTATTTCCAATATACCAATAAATCATAAAATTAAAAGACAACTCACTGTACCAGATATTTTTTAGACACTCTTCATAAGTAATAAATAAAAATAATGAACTTGATAATTTATATCACCCCTTAAGTTATTATAATTATTATCTTGTATGTTTTTACAAGTAATAAACAAAATAATAAATTAAAAATTACATACGTGGAAAAAAAGTGATGCATGTAATGGATAAGCTCACTTTAATATACTATTTATATGGATAATAAATATTTATAACTGCTATGATCATTATTATTAAAAACAATACAGCTCTAAAGAAGATATTTTGATTCGACAAGACTTGTATTGCAAATACCTAATATATAGATAGTATATGCTATATTTGATAACTCCAGTTGCAGTTGTAAATTTAATTAGATCAAATTTGAATGAAACTATTATAGACTGAAATAGCATTTAGATAAAATCTAATGAATAATTAACCATGAAATATTAATACACACACCAAATTGAATAATTGTCAGAATGAATAAAAATTTAATACAAATATATTTGAGAATTAAAAAAATGCAATAGTGTAATTTTAATTAAAATTATACTCTCACATAATTACTATACTAGTGCATCAATTATCGTAAATAATGATGAATAATACATATATATACTACCGGGGCAGATTTCACAGCTTCAATTCCCACAATATAATGTAGGCGTTATTTTCTATAGTAGAACAACAAGGTTGCTGATAATTGACATACCCTCGGCCACAGGATACTGTTACTAATGTAAAATCTTTTTTAGATGCGTCTGATGATCTCGTATGTTGTTGCACTGCTGACGTTTCTTCGTTAGATCGCAACGACCAACGACTTGAATTTAACCCATCTTCATTTTTATCATAATCTTTAACACACATAAGTCTTCCATACAGGTCATACACATCACTGGCTAATGTTTTTGAAGGAGGTCGTTTTAAAACTGTGGGTGGATCTTGAAGTGGTACTAGAATTGATATGGGACCTGTATGACCGTGGTACGATACATTCACTTTACCACTTATTATAGGAACTCCTTCGAGACGTGGTAATGGTACAGTCAAACTAATTCCAGCATCTGTACCGACCCAAAGCAAACCTTTGCAAGCCATAAGTGCAGTTACATTAACAGGCGAAGCAGTTCCTTTCAGTCTGATTACATTTGATGCAATATTTATATCCTAAAACATTTTAAGAAGACATTAATAACTATCTAACAAAGATAAAAATACAAATTCAAACTATAAGTATGTTACTAAATAACTAACTTAAAAAAATACACAAATTAATTTATAACTTGTTAATTAGCCATTCTGAAATAAATTATATCATATTTTGTAGTGTTAAAATTAATTTATAAGTTTTTTAGTTATATATATAATTACATATTTATATTTTATTTATATGTTTTAATAATATACTTTTTACTTTGTACTTAAATGCATTTAATATGCTATTTTTCTATATGTCATACCCATTTTCAAAAGAGCTGTATAATATATTATATAATTTAAAAAAAGGTCTATTTAAATATTTTCCTAAAATTAATAGGTACAAGAGTCAACACAAAATGTATTATATGGTACACTAACAGTCAAATAACTTTTATTTTAATACTCATACATTAACCTTCTTAATGTTGTTGGGTAATTAAATTTGAAATAACAAGAACTGAAATATTTTTAAAAAAAGGGCCGCCGTGTTTATTATTACTTAAGAAAAAAGTAATTTTAATATTGAAAAGCAAACATTTTTACTATCAAATATTTGAACAAAATATTATTCATTACTTTTCGAACATCATATAAATTTGTATTTTAATAGGATAAACTGGAAAACTAGGATACTGGGGAGGAACGGTGACTACTACACTTAAATACTAATCAAGCGAATTGTTTGAGAAAAAACACAACAAACCCACCATCATTATACATAAAATTGTCTATATTATCTAGTTGCCAATATCTGGTGCCTGATGGGTAATTTGAGAAATTTGCTCTACACAACTAAAAACAAATCTGAGCAGATGTGTCAATTTAAAAAAATAAAAGCTAATCAATATACTATAAATTATTGTACAATAACAAATGGGACCCACATGATTACTAGTTCCACGTAACATAAATTCATAAAAATTTCTTCTATATAATTTTTATAAAACGTGATGTTAAAAACAAAATTGCATACAAATGTTTTAAGATAATTTTTTTAAATATTGTAACAGTATACCTGTAGATGTTTAAATGTCTCCGTATGATATAAACAAACAGTTGTAGAATTCATTAATGACAACCATAAGCCAACTCCCGAGTGAGCTAACAAATTAACATTTTTGCCATGATGAATTGTAAAATTTTTCTGTGAATATAAAAAAGTATTTGTCAAAACTTATTTATTATTATTTTTTTTTTTACTAACCTGAATTTCCCCAGTTATTGCACTCATGACAAACACTTGTTTTCCACAAGCAACGTACAATGACAAATTAATTGGCAAAATACATGTTATTGGTGCATCTGATCCCAAAACTACAATCTCTGGCTCTTTGGATTGATTTCCTCTTCTATATAACAACAAAGAACCATTTGACAAAGCTACAAAAACAGTATCACAATGATGTTTTATAGCTGTAACCCCGAGGCTTTCATCTTCTCCTGGTAATAATATACTAGCTTCTTCGGACATGTCAGCTGTATTAAAAATCAAAATACTAAAAAAAAAAAATGATAAATTTAAATATATTAAAATTAATATCCAATATACAAATACTACATTTTAAAAACAAGAAATTATTTGTAATACCTTCTATGGTTAGTTCCCATCCAAACAGTATCAGACGCTCTAACATACTCGATGGCAGTGACTATAGTTTGGGAAAGATCCAGCGTTGTAATTTGTTTTAGAACACAAGTGTTGTTCACCGACATAATAGCTATGTGAGTGTTCATAGGTATGTTTGTTGTACACACCCATAAATATGAAAATTTACCGCAACCAGAAGAATAATAACAACCACATGTCACCTGTACATAGTATTATTTGAAATATATAACATTATACTTAAAATTGAGTTAAAAATTAAACATTTCAACAAGTTTGAATAGTTCAAAAATTCCCTCCTCTAATTTCAACATAACTTATTCAGAGATATTGTTTATAGTTAAATTGTAAAACCTCAAACTATAGTTAACTAACAAATCAAAAACACCATTTATTAATTAATTTGCTATTTTAAATTTATATGTTGGTAAGAAGATGGAATAGGTTGTAAAAATTAAAAAAAAACACTGGATGTCTTACAAATTAATAATACAACACAATAACTTTTGAAAAATAAGTCGAAATTTGTTTGATAATATATAGCCTAGCAAGAACATTACTTTTTTTTATGTTATTACACTAATGAAGTTTGAAACAGCGAAAAAAAAATTCATAACTCTCACTTTAAGAGCACTTCAACTAACACTTCATAATAGAGGCCCCGCAAACATTATTGCACATAACCCTGATATTTTACAAGCTGGCAATGGAGAGAGAATGGTAACAAAAAACACTTCATAATTCTTATTAAATCTAAAATATATTATTAATTACCTCCGCTTGTTTGCTAGATGATGTTATTGGGTGTGCGCCAACAAACAGGGGCATTTTCGTCATAGGACGCATCAATTCCTGATCTGGTATTTCCCAGGCTGGAGAATTATTAGGATCGAGAGCTAAACGAGCTAACCTTAATTCTGAAAATACACATTTAAGTAAAAATTAATGAGTACAATCAATACCAACAAACAATCTTACAATCAATTATTTATTCTAATAATTTGAAATAAAACTAATAAAAAATAATTTGGCCATAAATAATCAAATAATGATTACATCAAAGATAATTTTGTACTCGTCTCTTTATCTAGATAAAAAACTATTCGAATAATGCCCAGCTCTGCATAATAATGTAACTTACCAGTTATCCACGCTTTACGTGTATCAGGATTGTCCATTTGGAAAGTATAACCTTGTCGGTTTACAAATAATTGTAGACAACAAGAATCCATCCACGCTACTTGGTCTCCTTTGTACTGAACTTCACATTGTATTGCATTTAAAATTCCTTTTAAATGATCTGGAGCTAGATCCTAAAAAAAAAAAAAGTCTGAAGTTATTTAACATTATATTTACAAAAATTATATTATGCTCCAAACTTGGATTAAAACTAACCAAATAAGTGCCCTTCAATGTTGATGCCATTTCAATAATCCTACTGATTACTTGATAATCATGCATTAAATGATTCATTTCATTACACAAGTTGTCTGTCGTTATACTATTTTGTGATGTCGTATTGCCCATTGTGCGTGATACACTCGGTAATGATAAAGTATCAATAACCTAAAATAGCATAAATATACAAATTTTAATTAATTAATAATTTTTAAAATATTTTTGAAAAAGTTGTATGTACTTGAATTTCGGATATAGGAAAACTCCATTTTAAAGTTAACCTCTTATGTGAAGTGCTATTTGAATCATCTTTGTTATTCACAGACACACATACTAACAAATCATTTAATAACAGTAACCGCCGAGGTTTACATTTTCCAACGACTTCTCCGTGGTTTATTTCCTAAATAAAATAAAACAAATATAGATTTTATAATTTAAGAGTTGTAATAACACTTACAATTTGAGTAACGTCATCTTGTCTCAAAAGGCATCTATTGCTGTCTGCTATTGGTCTAACAGCTAATTTACTTGAAACAGATTTCAACATTTCTTTAAATGCTTGTGCTTGTTCACTCTCGCGCTTTCTCTCATTTAGCATCTCTGCCAAAGATTCCAACTGAGTTAGAGCTAGTTGAAGAGACATTCTGTCAGGATGACCGTATCCTGTGTTGTGTAATAAATCCTAAACAAATTTAATGAACATTTATTTTTATAAAATATTAAATAATAATTGTTCAATATAAAAAATTACCTGCAAAAACAAAATAAACTGTGGAAATCTCTGTACTGGTTTCACCATTAAACTGTAGAATGAAAGACGATCATGCGATGCTTCTTGTCGGTTCTAAAATTAATTTATGTATTTATACATTATATTAAATTAATAATATTAATAAACATAAAAAACTAGTTAAAATTACATACTTTGAAAAATTCCGCGAGAGATGCTTTTCTTTTAGTTTCTGTTTTTGCTAATTCCATAGCGTTTAAAAAATTGTTAATGAATCCACTATAAATGTCTAACACAATAGCTTTACTAAAGGAAGCAACAAATACATCCCCTATTCTATGATCTCTGTCCCAATTAGCTACAGCTTCAGCTAAAGCAATTCTAAATAGTGTATGGCACTGAAGTATTTCTGGAACTCGATGAAATAAAACTGATATCTTTGATTGACTTAATATTGATGGCATGCTTTGTTCCAATGGTTTTTTATAGTCCTATAAAACATATTAAAATTTGGAAAAAACCATTAATATAAAGACCACTTTATACTTTTTCTCATAATTTTCAGTAATTCAAATTTGTGCCAAAATAGTAACAACGTTGTATGTTATATCTTAGATCACCTCTTACTGTAAAATTGTAAAATATTATTTAAATAATAAAGTGTTATGTGTTTCTGCACTATTCCAGAAATTGTTTACAAAGTTTAATTACATAAGTACACTTCAGTGTTTTATTTATATTATCATACATACATTTACAAGTCTGTGCAGTGTAGCCAAATATGAATTTTCACTCCTAACTATATCATCAACAATATATCTACGTCGCAATTCTTGTTCAGTTATATCAGGGGGAGCTGGAGGAAGACTTGGAGGAATAAGTCTTCTGGAAAAACAGTCTTCTTCTACCTAAATTACCCAAAATATTAAACACAATAATCAATTAACAACAAGTGAGAGAAACAAAGTTTGTATACAACAATATTTTAAACATATTGTTATTTTAAAAACTTTTAAAATTTCGGGACCACACTATTAGTATTCATATAAAATTTTAATTATTATATACCTCTGGTAATAAAGGCATTTTGATATTTGGTCGAACATCTAAATCATATTGAGAGCATCTTCTTAAAGAAAACCATCTTGATAATAAACCAGGACTAGAAGGTGGATCTGGTGATGGAGGATTCTTTGGCCACCTCAACGTTTTTGAAACGTTTCTAGTTTCATAACTTCTAAATCAATATAAAGAAAATGTAAAAATAAAATCTTTTAAAATGACAAAATGAATAGCATATATATAATATACAAAAGAAATAAAATCAAGTATCATACTTGTTACTTTCTTCTTCCGATGAAAGTTCTGGATCTCTATCGGAGCTCGAACTTTTTTGTGAGGGTGTGTGACGTTCATTGGTAGGTGTTGGCTGTGCTACTTCTTCCCATGAATTTTGCCGCCATCGAACTGATTCATCTGCATAATTTTAATAAAATTAATCAATTTTAACTTTATAATATAAATGAACTATATTAAGGGAATTGAAAGTGTGCAGTTTAAAAGGGGTTTTATATAGGCAGTATTTAAGAAAAAAGGGGTTTTAATGAGTTTTGACCATGTCAATTTATGTTCAGGTTAATTTGTGCAAGATTCAGTGTATAACTTTTAGCTTATACAATTTTTTCTACGATTAAGTGCTGTTTTATTCCTAAAAGAAATCAATTTAGACCTAAAAGTCTGACAAAATTATGCCTACTTAGAATAAGCAGAGTTTAATTCTGTAAAAATAATTTAGCTGATCGACTTTTCAGCATACCTTATTGCAGGAATTTGAATAATAAGAAAAAAAAATGTTTGAAAATATAACAAATTTGACATATTACATAAGGTTTTTAATAAGGTAATATGTTACACACACAGACACACACACATATATATATATTATATATAATTCAGTGTCATTAAAAAGTGACCTTCCCTAACTATGTCATTGACTTTTATTGCTTACATTACAATCAAATAAAATCAATAGAAAACAATCACCTAAAACAACAATACTAATATCCAATATCGGCGAAGAATGAGAGAATTTATTTATGAGGTTTGTGTTTCAACACCAACATTTTACTAAATATTCAATAAAAAAAAAAATGTTTATTGATTGACTTGGTTATAACTGATTAAAAAAAATTAAGGTTATTGAGCCCAATAACCTTCTTGGCCAATATTGGATATTTACTAATGATAATCCATAGTTTTGCATACCAAATACAATTTTTTTTTTATAGTATTTGTTACTATTGGAATAATAATTAATATTTTATATAATAACTAGATATATTTCTCATAATAATAATATGCTGTTTATCATTATAATATCCATACATAGTTAATTGTAAAGAAGATGTTTAGCAATAACAGAGTTGTTTTTGGTAAAAACACGTGTAGATGTGCACGCGTGTAACCTTGTAAGGTTAATATAAATCACATTTTAGCTCAGGGCTCGAGTCTCAGAATATCTCTTCAGTTTAAACGTTCTACTAGTTTATGTCACACTGTCATTATACTCTTAAGTATTAATATAATCTATTATTGTAATTATGATATGTGTCATCAATATTAGTGTGTTAAACAAGTTCATTTATTTGTGTTGTCTTATTATTGAAATACCAAATTTCCATTTGCATACTCATTATACTACATATTAGTGTATAGTATTACAATAGTTAGTTTGCATCTATGCAAAAAAAAAATATATTAACCAAATATGAATTTTTTATACCAATTAAGTTATTTTTATAAGTGCAAGTATTTCATACTATGAATACATTCTTCTAAATAAATTATTTATCAAGAAACAAAAATGATATATAATGGTGAATTCATAAAATTTAAGTTTCCAATACATTTGAAGTAATTTTTTTTAACTAAAAGAAATAATAATAATATTGAGAAATAATAAATTTACCTGGTAGTGATGTTTTGCTTGGACTGGGTGATATGAGTGTGGGCATTTTATTCCAAAACCGCTTAGTACTGAAATGAGACTTACGAGGCCTACTAAGACTGTTTGTTCCACAGCTACTTGCGTCGCATGCAACTCCACTGTCGACACTTAAGTTTACTGGAGAGCCGTCTCTTGATGCACCCAAATTTAAGCCTGATGAGCCGTTATTGTTTAAGCACGCACCATTATCAGGCATTAGCATTGCTTCCATTGATAAATTTAATTCGCCTAAAACCTAAAATTAAGAAAACATTTATTTACATAAAGATAATCTTCTAACTAAAAGCACTTTATTAAAATTATGATTTAAATAAAAAAACTTTTATTTTATAGAGGAATTAACATTTTATTTGTAACTTAATCATTAAATAAAGTTCCCATATAATAACAGGTTAAATAAATAAGATAGGTGCTGCTTGAACATTGATGGCACCCCTATTTTTGGTTTTTATAACTGTGAAATCCAGATAAGAGGTTATATTAGTGCATATTGCAAAAAAAAAAATTCTGCTTATTTAACTAAGGGCTGAAGTATTATTTATCATAAGGACCATTATATACAGTATAAATATAAAATCTAATCTATGATATACCTAATGTATAATTGTTTGTCTTTAATAAAATGGTTCATTTAATGCACTTAAAATAAATACTTAGTATGAACTAATAATAACTAACATTGTCTTTAACTTGTCATTTTTTAATGAGTAGAAAATTAACACTAAGCTAAGAACACTCCCCGGAATTCAAAGACTGTTGTAATAATCTTATTTTGATAAAAATTGGTTTCAAACGTCATGGAGTCAATTACTTAAACTAAATAATCTACACAATAGAAAATTATACTACACCAAGTTTAATAAATAGCTTAAGTCGGATATGAAATACTAAGCCTAGGATTGATAGAAATTATACGACTTAGAATAATACTTTTAAAATTTTTTTTTTTTTTTCCCACGTTATTTCTTAAACTACTGAATCGATTTTTCATGAAGCTAGTCTGTAAAACGGATATTTTATTTTTAAATCACTTTTTTGGCGTAGTTTTGGGAATTTAAGTAGATCTAGAGTAGGACCATAATATACATAATTTTGTATAAAATTGCATATTATTCTTGTAATAAAACTCTTTTTTAATTAAGGAAAAACCAATAAATAGGAAAAAATTTCACTCACACCAAATTCAATTTCCAGGTTGTTATAGGTATGTAAATCAACAGATAACAGAAAACAGATATCAAAAATTTATCTTCAATACATTGTTAATTACAATTTAGGGATAACAGCATCAACAAATTATTATAGAAAGACAATTATAGTCTTAATCTTAGTCAATATTAGTCTTTAACATATTTACCCTTTTACTAAAAAAACAATTTTAAACACATTTTTTCTTTATAATGATTTTAATTGATATTTAATATTTTAGATTCGCATCAAATCTTTAGTTTATTTGAGAAATAAAGACACAAAATAGTGACTGGAAATAGCATCACGAAAGTAGGGTGTCTACTTTAAACGTATAATATAATGAGTCGTCATCATCATGCAAACATTTTGGCCAGAACATATAATTAAGACTATATATCTTCATAAATCACAACATTATAGATCAGAAATGAACACTATTCAGGAGCCAGCAGGCTAAAACATGTTTTATTTTTTATTTAAAATTGTTTACGCTCGCAGGGGCAAGAGTACAGGAATAATAACTAAAAACTAATACAAAGAATGAATAAAAATATTCCATGTTTTAAAAATTTTAGCTGTAAGTCTTTAAGTAGACTGTAATTTTTTTTAATGCAATCCAGTCTTTTTTATTATTATTTTTATAAATTATTTTCAACCTTACCTGTAAATGTTTAGAGTGTACATATCTAACTTCTGCGTCGAGTTTAGATGTCTCAATTTCTTCATATATATTTTCTTCACGTCCATAACGATTTATATAACTGTGTTTTGAACAAGAATGAGGCTTTGTTGATCCATGGGGGCCATGCTCATAATACGCATAAGCATAGTCTCCATTGTTAGATGTTGATCCACTGTATCGTGGACAGGTCCGTCGACCATCAACATACTGCTGTTTATCTCTAGACGCCATTCTTATCAGCTGTGAATTAACTAATAAAATAAAATAATTTTAACAAGGTGATAATTACATAATATGTATTGCATGTTTAGTATAAATACAAATATCTTTAGAATAATATTATCTATAAAACAGAATACATGAACATATTTTACCACAGCTGATTAATATTCAGCTCACTTAGTCTTGTTAAATATTATTTAACAAGAAATACCTATAACTATTAATTTAATAAACAGACTCCTATACTAGAATAATGTGGGGTCTATGTTATAATATGAATTATACTTTTTCACAAATTGCAACAAGCTATTTTATTATTTATAGGTATATGGTATTTAATTTGTATTATTATAATATAAGCAAATAGTTGTAAAAAGTAAATTTGATACCTACATGCTATATACATTTATTGTATATAAAACTGTAGCAGTACTTATTACAATATTATCATTTTTAAGCAAGTTACCAGTTTTACAAATTTTATGAATTTACAGCTATATTAATAATAGATACTTAATTTTTTTAAAGGCCTAGGGTTTTAATAACAGGTATTTATATATATATATATATGTTATATTATATATATTCAATCAAGAAAACTGTAAGCATAGAATATGCACCTGTTATCAATTTTAAATAGCAGCAGATTATTTTAATGTAAATAACTTTAAATGCAAACGCTTACAAAATATGCATTTCTTTAAACATTAAAAACAAAACTAATAACTACTAATCAATTATAAATTTAAAAGGTGATAAAACATTAAATTACTCCTTTAATGGTTTGATTTACAAAAGCAAATATGATTCATTTTATGTATTACGCGTATTACCTTAAAAATGTTAAGACCCTTTATTACGGTGGTTGTAATCAATTTCAATAATTAATATTATAATGAGTATTATTAAAATTAAACTACACTCACCTTAATTTGGTCCATTCCGACAACAGTTTGATACACGAACAGAAATAAAACTGCAGTAATAAAAAACTCAAATTATCTACTTAAATTGTAACATTATGTAAAGATAAGATATATTACAGCTAATATAAAAATAATGTATTGCATTGACACAGGAAATATTGATTACGAAATATAAAAACGTTAAGCAAAATAATAACACTAACTGATTGACATTTCTGGGGGAACGACTTGTGTGATTTTGGATTTAGTAAAAAACTATATAGGTAGGAGAGCGAACTGCAAAATGAAATGATGAGTGGTGGTGATGGTGATCAGATTAATATTTGGTTACTATCAATGAACCAAGGTTGTGTTCAGTTAAATATCTCTTATCAACACGCACCGCCATATTTAATCTATGATATGATAAAGTATTACAAATTATATGAAAGTGTATAGGTACGTTTAACATTATTAAAATTTGTAAAAAGCTCTAGTAGAAACTATGAATTAGTATTTATAGTTTTCATTTTTCATTTAATTGAATATAACGATTTACGTTTTTTCTAACTGAAGTTTTATTACGCATTTATCTTAAAAATTACAGTACTAGCAAGTTTTTGGTAACTTAAGACTACCTCATAGTAATTACTTACAAAATATAATTTTTAAAATGGAAAATAGAAATTCAAATTTTACTGGACCTCAGCAAAAATCTAATGCATCGCCAGACTCATTGGTAAATTCTCAGCTTTTTTATAATTAATGTTGACATTCAAATAAATTATAATACATTCAATCCTTTTTTTTTTGTATAGCTTATAATTTTTAATGTTCTGTGTAGTTCTATCAGCTTTCTGATGATGAAAAAAGAGTAATGAGAGAATGTAATAAAGAAAGTTTTTTCCAGAGAAGTTTACCATTAAGTGCCATTTTAGGAGTAGGATCCTACATGGCTGGAAAAGCAGGTCAGTTAACATTTTATGTTTCAAAATTTTTGTAAACCTCATTAAACATTTAAGGTAAATAATTGTCCCAGGTTTGTGTTTTAAATTTTATTGTGTTCAAGCCCATTTTTAATCATTTTCTATGTTTTTTTAATTTATTATGTTTATTGTTTATTTACTACTTAGGTTATTTTAAGCAAAGTCCAAAATGGGGTCCATGGCCCAAAGCTATAGTCGGGGGGTTATTAGGGTATGTAATTGGAAAATATTCATACCAAAATAAATGTGCAGAAAAGTTGATGCGAATTCCCAACAGTGAAATTGGACGAGTATTAAGAGAACGTAGAGGGAAACTACAAGGTGACATTCTTGAAGGGTAATAACTAATTATATTTGTAGTAATTCTAATAAATTGTTTATAATAATTTAATTTAATACAATTTTAAAGAAATATAGCACTCCCAAAAATTACACCAGGCTCATATATGTCTTCTGAGTCAATGGATTATAATCAAAATAATGATCTAGATTACCAAAAACCAATGAATACTTTGGATACGGATTACCGACCGGACTATGATAGTAACTTAATTCTAATATTATATATTTGTGCCTATAAAAAGCTAGAATAAGTTAACTCTATAACACAATTAAAAACTATCATAGGAGCCGTTGTGCAGCAAAGTTAGCAACCTTTGAGCGCAATAGTTTATTGTAATTTTCGAAAAACGTATTTGCCGTTATTTCTTCTGTTTATCAATAATATTTTTATTTTTATTTATGGTAGCACTATTTTATGGTCATCCTTGTGGACGCCAAATTTGTAGAATGCCAATTTTAACGAGTAATAAAAGATAGAAAAATGTGATTGTTGACTTTGCTGTGAATTCACGGATGTTGCTGCTTTTGTCACAGAAGCATAATATGGAGATTGTCGTGTATGCTACAGAAACATTATAAAAGAAATACATTTTAGTTTGAAATCGGAAGTGGAGATTGCTCCATAGAAAAATTCTATAGGAATGTTTATAAACTTAAATTTGCATAAAAAGTGGAATTTGCTGACTTTTCCGCTCAATGCCTCAAATTTATGTCTTCATAAATCTGTAATTAAATAACCTAACTGTTGTTTTGTTTGACTACAAAGCTTGCACATTTGTTTTAACTAGTGAAATTATTCATTATACAAGCTGTTTTACAACTAGTTTTTTTTGAGATAGTGTTGTTTTTAAAGCAATTATGTATAGGTAAGATTTACTACTTAAAAAAAAGTTTTTTTTAAGAGATTAATAAAAAATTAACTTTTTCTGGTTGTGCCACTGAATGTAAGCTTATATAATAATACACCTATTATGCTTTGTTTATTATAAAAAGGTATACATTGTTTTATAAATACAATTTTTATTTAGGTGCATCATTTGATAGATTAAATGAAGATCCATTGCCAAGTTCAAATATGCCAACATCCTACGACGACCTCAGAACTCGTAATAGACAAGAATACGAAAAATCCTTTTCAAAACCACCTTACAGGTAAATTTATAATATATTTATATTTAAAAATAAATCAAACTTCAGATTTGTAAAATGTATTAAAAACGTCTAAACAATGAACTTTTATTTTTAATGTAACTCAATTTTCCAAAAAAAGTGCATTTGTAATGATTGCACAATACATATTGTGCAAATAATATTTTTTTTAAAACACATTTTTTCTTCTCTTACGCTTTCACTCAAACTATTTGAATTATTCATATTAAATTTGACTATTACTATTTGAATTAGTCATACCAATTATTTTTAATTTATATAACACATTTAATTTACAAATACATTTTGATACCTGTATTCTGTGTTTAGAACACTACCATCAAACTCGCAACCTATTTGGGAAAATGCTCCAAATGACCAAACAAGAAACTCGCCTGCTGTCAAAGAGTCTCGTAATCAATACGGGGATGTATTTGTGCAAAACAAATAACTTTGGTAGTGTTGTTGTGTTTTGTTATTTAAATTAGATTTTAGATGTTATTTTGTTATAAATATAACGTAATTATTTGTTCAAAGTTAGTAATAAATATACAACTTAACATATTCTCTCAGTACTATGACGTGCTAAGTTTTTGTTGAGTTGAGAACTTGCCTTATTTTTTTCAGCTAAAAATAAATTATAATAATAAAAAATTTTATACTCAAATTTATTTATCAAAAAATATTGATTTTTAAAAAATGTGTAAATTCTATAAAATAATAAATGTTTAAATTTAATTTAACACTAAAGTTGGAAATACAGTTTTGTATAACAAAAATAAGGTAATGGTTATTAAACAGTTTAAAACTCTTCTAGTTTAGGAAATACAATGGTGTTTAAGACTGCAGGTTGAGGAACTTTTTTGGTTTGCTTCATATCTGGTCCGCCATCTTCAATCTTACAATTTTCATGGAAACGTACACCTTTTGAAATATTGCTTTTTTCTTCATTTTTATTTTCCTTGGAATTGGAAACTGAAAAAATAGTAAATTTATTAATGAAATTATTAAATAGAAAAATGTTAACTTATTTTTTTCTATCAAGTGTTTATTAGATTGATGCATGTTTCATTTTCTGAAAGAAAAAATATTTCAGCCTTTGGATATCAAAGCTAAAACTTTAAAATTAAAACTTGCTCTTTTAAATATGAATCATTGAGATATAATAATTTTACTATAAGTTGTAATCAATAAGTAATTACTACAAGTTACAATAGGTAAATATGTGATATTTTAATTAATAAATAAGGCGTCTTATTCTTAAAACGAACAGCAGCTAGCGTTTATTCAAGCAGGGTAAATAAATAGCAGGGTGCTTCTCTTGTATGCAAGTTTTCGGTTGTCACTTTTAACAATAAATTATATAAGTTGACTTAATGAAAATCAATAGTGAACTTGTATAATTACTTTTAGTTTTAAGCATAGTTATTTGTTGCTCTAATTCTTTCAATTGAAGTTTATCTCTTCTCATTTCTTTCTTAAGTTGTCTGATTTCACATTCTCCTTTAAAACATTGTTGTCTTGCTTCCATATCTCTTACGGATCTTCTGTTCATCTCTTCTTCGAGGGCTTTTTTCTCCTTTCTAAACATATGTTATAAAAATATACGTTTTAAAACAATAAAAAGATAATAATAACTAACCGAACATCAGACACAATTTGAAGAACTACGTTCATTCCTTCATTGCTTAAATTGTCTATTTGCAGTACTTGTGGAGTTTCTGGTCTTTTTTCTAGATCTCTTATTTTTGCTTCTAAATCCTTATAATATGAATTAAAAGGTATAAAACAAAACTAATTTAGTAAGGATGTACTAAGAAACATTATTTAATCATACAGAGAATAGTATGTTTAAAAAACATATTAGATTATACTTACACTTATACGGTTTTTAAAACTTTGAATCAGAGTAGATTTTTCTAAGTCATCCGTTTTTTCAGAATCTAATAGTTGTTTTTCGAGTCTCATAACTTCCATCTACAACACAAAATTATATATTTAATTATTATAACTATTTTGTTTTTTTATCTAAATTGTTTAATACCTTCATTTGATTGTTTTCATAGTTGGTTTTTGACAAACATTTTTTTAATGTTTCATATTTTTCCTTTTTTATTTCCAATTCTGTTGTTAATGCTTGTCTTTTATCATCTACTTCAGCGAATAATGAATTTCCTCTTTTATTATGATCGTTCATGGTATTCATATTGTTTACTTGTGCACGTAACATATCACATTCTTCTTGCAATGCCTAATAATGACGTCTTAATTTATAACTACATTCTTAGTAAAACCAATAAAGCTCTGGGGTCCTATTTTTTAATATTTGTATGGCATTCGACATGATTTAGTCACGTTTGGTTTAAAATGGGTTCAATGATAAATAAATATAGTTAAAATTTGTATATACTTAGTTTAAAGTTGTTAAAAATATCTAAGAATATAATTATTTTCTACCTCGTATTTTTCTTTCCATTCATTTAACTGATCACATTTGAAACCAAGTTGTGTTTTTACATCCTCAAGGTCTTCAAGAGCTTTTGCTTTTAAACTATCAAGCTCTACAATGAATACTTCTTGATCTTTAATGACACTTTGCATCTCTTCATTTTTTCCCTAGGCATAAATTTTTCAAGTAAAAAATGATTTTTTTGACATTAATATGTCATGTCTGGGTGTCAAAAAAAATGCAAAGTTTTTTGGTGCACTTCCCGTGGGGCTAGACACTTGAAATTTAAACCATAGCTTTCTTATAATGGTCTCATGCAAAGTAGAATTTAGGAGTTGAAATTCATCCCCCTTCATCCCTTTCAATAATTGTTATCTGTTGTTTCTCTAAATTGTTAAGTTTGACATAAATGAAAAACATATTGGTTAAAATAAGTACAATTGTTTGTTTATAGCCAAGATGTTTTGGTTCGCTATGCTTAAATCATAGACAGCAACTGTTTATGTATTATAAGAGTGTGCCTTAAGACATATTAATGATCTTATATTTTTCCCAAAAGGGAAAGATTCAATTCAATTTTTCTTTTTTAAAAATAAATAGTTACCTATATATATTAAAACTATTTATTTAATAAAATGTTTAATATTAATTAGAAGTAGTCATTTAAACCAATAGATGTTGTAAGCATATTGAATGACTTTTTTATTTTGAATTTGCATATGTAGTAAAAACCAAGTCGACAGCTATATTACATGTGGAATTCCTTCACACTCCATTTGTTTGTACACCCTACTTTTGTATTCATCTTCTACTAAGAAAGATGCTCTTTAACAAATTTGCTGTTTAGGAACAAATGTTAGTCTGTTGCCAAATAGGAGGCAGTGGTGGCTCCGTCTCGCTTGATGATTGCTCATTTGAGTAAACTGGGCTCGACTGTGACTACACACTTACCAACTTACCCACTTAAATATTGTAAGCATAAAAAATATAAATTCATACCTTTTTATCATACAGCTCAGTTTTTAATTCTGTAATGATGCTGTCGTTTAAATCTACAGGAACTACTTCTTTTGGTGTATCTTTTAATTTGTTTAATATTGACAATTCTTTATTTAAAACATCAATTTGAGACAGATAATCTTTTTGTTGTTCTTGAAGTTTAAATTCTAAATTTGAATACTATAACACAATTTAAATTAAATTAAAATAAAAAAAAATTCATAATTTAATACAAACTTGAAATTAAATACTTTAATTGTCCATTGCTTAAGATCAGACTCTTTGTTAAAAACAGCTTCTTTTAACTTAAAATTTTCATCTTCTACAACTAGTAGTTGTTCCATATCATGTTGAAGTTCACTAATAAATGCATTTTTTGTTTTTAACTGTAACTGAGTCTCGTACAACTCTTGTTTCATTACCTTCAAAAATAAATTCAATTTTAATACTATTACTATTGTTTAATCATTTGAATAGCTGCAGATTGTATTCAAATGACTATACAGTTATTTGTCATAGTGAGAGTCACAAAGGTTTACCAAATCTCTATATTTATTGTTTATCCTTGCTCCTACTGTTAACACATTCGCTGTATCGAAAAAATAATAGTAACACGTTCAAGCGCCATAAAAATTGATAAGAATTCAATAAATCAAAAACAAGTAATTTCTGTAAAAATACAATTTTTTCCACATTGCCTCAACATTTTAGAACACTTTTTGTTGAATAGACATGACATCTGCTATGCACCACTACAATATTTTTGTATAGGCTGTATTCAACAGGTAAACTGTTAAATGTCAGCTTGTTGGCTATAGCCAACAGGCACAGTAAATTTGTTAATTTACATTTTGAAGATAATTTTATAACTATTTAAAATCACAAAACTACCAATACCTCATGACTGAATCTACAGGTCAATATTCTGATTATTCTGTTGTTTATTTTGTGTGTAGTATAAACTTACATCAATAGAAGTAACACTTGGTCGAGTTGCGTTAGTTGATGGGGGTGTATCAATGGATGATTCATTATTTTGAGAAGAACTTTCAATCATTTTGTTTCAAACAACGTTCCTATTTAGTATTTATCAATGAAACATAATATATGAGTAAAATTAAAAAGTCAACAGGTAAGTTTTTACTTACTTTTTTTATAAAATCTTCTAGATAGTATACAGGTACTTTAAGATAGCGCGTAAGATATGGTGTTTAATTACTTTTAATTATTCTTAATACCGTACTAAAATATATTTAACTATTTTTACAATCCAATTTAAATTTTAAACACTAAATATAATAAGTATACTATTGTTAATCGTTTTGATACCAGATACCGATCCAAAATATCGGGTTTGAATAAAACAACAAAACATAAACCTATAACGGTCTTATTTCTTATGATAAAAATTTGTATTTTATGCTATAGGTCACGGAGGGGTAACACAGTTACCACGAATGTTGCGTGCTACGATGTTATGTTACTTCGACATTTTTGTTACGAATGACAATTGCTTCGACGACAATTGACACGAATACATTTACAACGAAAATATGTTTTCGTTAATTTTTTTTATGCCACGATTTACAGTTACATCGAAGTTCCATTTTTAATTATTGCTTCGAATTACATTTACCTCGAATTCCAGTTACATCGACATGACTTATCAAAATATCTTAATGTTATGATTTCGCTATTTTAAAGGACATTTACATTGATAAACATTTTATGGAACTTAAATTCCATTTACACTGACATGACCCAACAACTAATTTATATAAAACTATAAATAATAAATTGATAAACTGTAAAATTGTAATACTTATTCACTCTGTTACTTTATCGATACAAATATAGTATACTTAAGGTCATTTTATCAACTGCTTGTTAAAATAATTTAAACTTATTTAATGTTAATCGTTGTTAAACTAAAAAATTGACTTTATCTATTTGACTCTTTCGGTTAAATTTTAGCTGAATATTAATCACAGTTAGTTAGCATATTATAGTTAGTTAAAAACTTTAAACTGAGAATTGAGATTAGTATCAATATTATCAAGTAATATTTAATTTTACTGAAATATCTACTATCTATTGTTTTATAATATAATATTCCTATATTATTATTAGTTATTTGCTTGCTTTTACACACTTAAAACCTTTTATCGAATTATAGTGATGAGGTATACTTTATGATTGCATGTAACAAAACATAGAATTAACAGTTACATTGTAGGTAGTTATTTCAATGTAACTACCAATTCAATTCAAAACGGATGCTTAAATTATAAATATTGTATTACCTACACGTTTGATATAAATTGTATGCATATTTAATTCTAGATGACTGAAATAATTAGATTAGTAGCAGTAGTAGCGACCATAATAGTGACGCAGAAGTTTATTTTTTAGGTTATATTATAAACCAATATTTCAACGAAATTCGAAGACCTTGTTTATTGTCGACAAAAATTGACCACATAACCATATGGGATGACCAAGATTTTTTCGCATGTATTCATCTGAGTAAAAACAAGTTTAAAATTGTTCAGCAAGAAGTAACTCAAAGTTAAAATAACATTAAGGGGACCGCAGCGTGTTTTTTATAAAAAAATATTAAGTATAAATATCAAAGAAATAAAAACGCCACCCCATTGATAAAGTGTTTCCCTATACATTGTGAGAGTTTAGTAAATCTACCCCTTAAAGGGGTCGGAGCACAACTAGTTTTCATGCATTTTAGCGGTGCTTAATTAGACATACTTCTCGATGTTGGATTTTAATTTTTAAAGTATGTGTGGATTTGTTGTCAAATTGTCTGGGTTTCTTAGGAAGCCCATTTTTGATTTAAAATTTTATGCCTAAAATAAATTCAAATGTAATTCGGGAATAAATTATCATTGAATTTTCAAAAAAATAATTTTGGAGATCTTCAAAAGAGAAAATTGCAAATTGCCTTCCTAAAAAACCTAGACAATTTGTCGAGAAATGCATACATATATTAAAAATTAAAATCCAACATTGGGAAGTATGTCTAATTAAGCACCGCTAGCAGATGTTATTTACCAATATAAAGTTAACAACATTTTTATTTTAACGTTGTAACTTACTTTAATTAATAATTATTAATAAATAAACCTTCTGTTTGTAAAACCCACTTTACTTAAACTTGGTATAAATTTGATAGATAAATTCAGAATGTTTTTAATCTCCGATTAATCTTAAACCGAGATTAGATAAACGACATTTTAACCGCCGAATGATAAAATTGTCCTTAACACTATATTGAAAATTTATCTTTTTAATAATAATAACAATAATGTATTTATAATAGTAATAAATTTACGCTAATGAGGCAATTTACAATTTGTTTACAACAAGTTTTACAATAATTTATTTAAATATGTACAACAATATGAAATAAACTTGTCAAATGATTTACCAATTACAACTAAAATTGTAGAGAAAAATAAAATAAGTATAAAAAACTTGTAGAGTTAATAGAAGACTATAAATAAAAAATGTAAATAATAAATAAGCTAAGTTTAAAGTGCTTATTGAGAGCACTCAAAAAGCCAACATTTTGAATTGAATTACACGAGTTATAATTCGGTTTACTGGACCGAGATAAATTTGTCGTTGTGTAGAAACGTAAAATTGCGTATAAAATCGTAAACTAATATTTAGTACAATAAATGAATCCAATCATCATTTTTCAGAACAGTCTTATATTTATATAATTTATGATATAGTTATTTATTTATATGATATATTTAAAAATATATCATTTAAATTCTGTCAACATAGTATTTTATAGACGATTCAATAATTGGCTTTATTTTCTTAAAACTTTAAAAAGTAAAAAATATAGGAATAGTTTCTGGATCGATTTTACAGATTGCTAAGGAGACTATGTTATAATTCAAAATAAAAGCATATTCAAGGACTGACCTAACCAAATTTTAGTAGGTTTAATGTGATTTATGCATTTTGTATTGTTAACATTTTAACACAGGGCCGGATTTATGGAGGAGTGGGGCTCCCGTTAGGTTGTTAGGGGGGGGGGGGGTCACCATTAAAATTGGTATGAGCGTTAAAAAAAACAATACCAAGTAACATTTTGTAAGTTTTACAAAAGACAACATAATATAAAATTAAAATGAATCTCCATGGACACGCATATTCTTTATAATAATTTGTTATTTACAAAATAAATGATTGTAGAAATGATAACATTTTACTGATACTTATTATTTTCAATAATGAATATTATAATAATAAATTTAAAAATATTAACAATTTAATAATATTTTAATTGTACGTCGGTGATTCATTTTTGTTTACAACAATTTTTGTTTTAGAAATTAGATTATATGTAGATATAATAACCTATAAAAATTCTCTATAATCTATATATTTTAGATTCTGTAAGATTTCTCATTTTAATTTTGATAGAATTATTATTATAAATAGTAAATACATAATCATATACAACGTGATTGCCACCGCCACGTACATTGTAACACGCAAACGACTAATAAAATCATTGTATTTTCAGAAATTAATAATATTATTAAAATTATCTGTTTTGACAACAAAAAAAAAAATAAGCCAAATATTTATAATCCTAACCAGTATTAAAATTATAGGCTAAACTGTACTTAAATTTTACCCAAACTACTATAAACGGCCGTTAATGATATTTCCTAAGTACTAAAAATGTAATAATTATTTATGAATGATTTTAAAAATCTCAAATATATATATTATGCTTAAAATTTGTTTGCTCTAACCTCGACAGAATATTTAAAAAATAATTACACTATCTAATCACTAAATGGGATAAAGCTACATTTTAATGTTGTTAATTATGTTAATTGTCTTTTTTCGATCTTGAAAGATCCCATGATGTTGTGAGCCCTGGGTGAGCGGGCCATGGTCCTTTCTGGTATCCCTTAATCCATTATGTTGCGATATAGTGCCTAGTTAATATTTACTTATTTGTACAAACACTGAAGCCAAAAGTCAATACAAATACAAAATACAAATTGAATTATATCAGAGACGATTCTACAAAAAATGTTTAGAGGGGTGTTGAACAAATGTTTGATACACAACATTGATGTAGAAGATGAAAAGTAACAAGAAATAATTTCATGGTTTGTATCACTTTTGATAAACAAAAGCAGATATCCAAAAGTCAAGAAATTTAACAGCATAATATAAATGTTTTTAATTTACCACTTAATAATGTCATTAAAAAAAGGTATAATCTATACTCTATACCGTTGATTTAAAATTTGAACACTGGTTTAGGAACCAAACTATTCAATATTATTACTTTTTTATAATACCAATTTGAGTGTTTTCACATATTAATCGTAATTAAAAACCAACTTTTATATTGTAAGTTATTGTCCATTTTAAGTGACTCTCGTCTCTCAGTGTCATACAAAACCTCAAAATTGTTTATAATACCAGTCACAACGGATTAACAACAATATATATATTCAAAAATCTATCTGAAACCCTTGGGACTTAATTTGAATCAATCACCTACATTCTAAATTATATATTACAATCAGATTTATACTTATTATTCATAAAAAAAATTGTTTATAAAATTCTTCTATCTTTTTTGTATAACTTTTCTATTTCAAATGTATAGCCTACTGTATTCAATTATGTATGTCAACTAATTAAATATAACCCTTACAATGCCCTTTGTTGCCCTTGCCAAAGGTTTTTAACCAATAATTAAAAGAAAGATATACTGTAAATTAAAATGTGCAATTGATAATAAAGAATACACTATAAAACGTAATTAATGAATTTAATATATTAAATTCATTATGTACAATAACCCGATTCTGTCTTTAAATTTATCAGTAGTTAGTCAAAAACTTTTGTGTAGAGTTGGATTTAGTTGCGGAATGGACAGTGTTCGGCCCATTATAGAAATTAACTCATTCGGCCCACAATACAGTACTAGCGACAACTATATTTAATTAGTAATTTGTAATTTCCCTGTTTGTACACCAAACGAGTTCCAAATCTAAGACATACAAATACTGACAATAATATATAATATATTTTCATTATACAATCATAGAATTCACGGAATAGTCGGTGCCCGGTGGTCAAGTATTCTTATCATGTATAGTCGAAGTAAAATACTTTCGCGGTATCACAATATCGAGTAAACTGTTGTATGATTCATTTAATTACTTTACGATGTCGGAGTATGTTAAATTCGGACTAACCGTCTAATCGTAGCAATTGTATATTCGAAGTAGATTATATTCGTGGCAAATGACTGATAAAGCAATGTCGGAGTAACTACAAGTCGTGGCATGCAACATTCGTGGTAACTGTAACAACCCGGTCACGGATATAATACAAACCACAATTATAGATGGGATGGTCTGTGGTTACGAGACGGTCAATTCTACTCTGCAGTAGCTTACTGCGGCAGTGGTTCTTATCAAAGTTAAGAAATACACACTGGTTATTAGCGCTTTTAGTAGTAAAATGAACTATATATGGACATTGATATGGATAGCAATTATAATATATCAGTGATATATAATATCACTATAGCTGCAAACAAGATCGCGCTAGAGTACCGTGAGTTTTTTAATTACATTTGTTCCTTCGCGGCCGCAATATTTTAGTCCTCTTCTTGTAATCATTTTATCTATCTTAACCAGTAAGTTTATAGTTGGATACCATTTAACGAATTCAACAGCAGCCAATTTGTTATTATCACTAATTAGGAGTTAGTAGTTACTCACGATGTAGAGAAGATAAGGTGACACCACTCAACTTCTTATCAGTAAAAATCTGGGGTCGAATGCTTCAGGCATTTTGGTAGTTCAGCTTCGCTGTACAGGTGGCGCCACCATTCGCCCGGAGGCCAATATTTTCTATGCGGCTTATGGACAATAAACGTTTTATTTTTTATTTTTATGTTAATTATTCTTTATTTGGAGTTTTTATTATTTTTATTGTCTTATTTAGTAATAAGTAATTATTTTGTTAACTTTTTAATTGCGAAAACTGTGTTTTTTAACGGCATTAAAGTAAATATTAGCACTAGAATATAGCTTTCATAATTAATTGAATTAAATTTATTCTGATCTAGTCTTTGTCCAGCACAGTTATTTATTTTATTTTTTTTAGCTACTCTACTAATATAAAGTAGTATTCCAATACTAATTAGTCATTAGTATACATGGTCATAATTTCTAAATTCTAGATCAGAGTAATAGAATAAAACTATAGTAGAGCAAATATTGCCAATAAATTATAAATCTAAAAGATCTACATTAGTCAATGAATGTTATTTGTAAAAATGAATAAGAACAACAGTATTTTATAATTATATATGCCGCGGTTAATTATGTAGACACAAAATATAAACAATTATTTGTGATGCAAATATCATCTCTAGGAACACAATGCAGGGAATATGTCGCTACTTCGTCCCTAGGCATTGCACGTATGGTTGGGCTTGAATTACACGGTAGTCGGGCTTTCGAAGACACTTAATTGGGGTTTATTAAGTAATTAATATCCACCTTACACAAGCGATGCTTATTTTTCGGGGGTAAATTAAAATAATCGGAAAGAATGTATTGTTATGTACAGTGGTGTATACAGGGGGGGGGGTTCGGGTTTAAATCCCCCAGAGCCAAAAAAAAATGTGTTTTAAGTAATATTTTATAGGTATTTATTATATAACTGTTACAATGTTACTCTCTGAAGTAATTTAGAACTTGAAGTAAATAAATAATAATTTAATAATTATATTTTAATTATTAAGTGTTAAGGGAAATTGCGGCTACCTAAGTAAGAATTAAAATATCTTCGGAACTATAAGTCCAGAAATGTCGTTATTCTTTATAACGAATTATTCGTTAGACCTTCAACAACTATAAACTCAATTTGAAAAAACTTCTCTGGTGCTTAAAATTCGATATAGGAAGGGGGGGGGAGGGGTTGAAGAAAATTTTTTTCTTGTACATAATACGTGTTATTATATTATATATCGTATAGAATAATTTCATATATTGTTATAAAATGTGGAATAGGAATTAGAATAAATAGTACATTAGATTAGACTACATATACGAATATTGTGGTTTTTAAAATAATATATAATCTATAGTCCTGTAATCAAATAAAATTACATGTAATATATTTTTATTTAGTAATAAAAATGACAGTAACGTATAATAATATGTAAAAAACCCTATTAGCTCCATGTAAAAGTCGACCTCCGGGCGAATGGTGGCGCTATCTGCGTGACAAAATTGTACTACCAAAATGCCGTAATTTCTTGACCCACTGATTTGGTTGGAGTGGCGTCACCTTATCTTCTCTACATCGTGTAGTTACTGATGTACCTATTTTATTTTGTCATTAACATGATACTATAGGAGTCAAAACGCCAAATACCAACTTTTAGAGCATCCCCCGCGAAACTTTTTGAAACCTACCCTGCACTCTGCATTTCTGTTACAACAAAAAGATTATTCTCAATTTTTTTCGATTATTTCAGCTATGGTCGTATAAAATAATTTTAGTTTTTTTTCTTTGCTCTTCTTTTTTATATTACTTCAGCCATAAAAAAAATGTATTAATAATCATTAATCAGTTTCTTGCGCAAAATAATTTCAGCTTTCTAAAAGAATTTTTATAAAATTTGACAACAGAAAGTAAGCTAGAATTTAAAAAGTGTTTTTTTTTCGTGTTAACTGATGTCCACAATTTGAGAATTTTTCTAATATTATATTCAGAAGTGTAGTAAGCCCGGAACGCGTTTACATACACAAGTAAATGAGGATAAAATAAAGACTTTATAATAATAATGGGTATGATAAGCGTCTAATTACATTATCTAAAATACATTTTGTGAGTTCGACATCGGTTTTTGCATCATGTGCGAAAGTAAGGTTATGAGGTGCATCACATAAAATACTATGCGCTTCGACGGGGTTTATTTGTCTCCCGTGCTTTGGGAAAGGCCCAATGCAGAAGCTACAGATATCCTATTTCGAACGAAGCTCTGAAATTAAAATGTAAAAAATACCATTGTTATGCACATCATAACCCTTGATCGATATCATTTTGTTGTCTACTCCCAACAGGTCCAATAACAACTGGTCGAACTCACCACACCACGTGACAATGATATTATAATATATAATATCTATAATATCTTATATTATAATTAATATAAGATCTAATATAGCTACTATTTAGGTTTACCTTTCCTTCGAATAGACTGTCATATAGTTCATTAAGTGCTGCTGTTAATTTATCTGGTTTTGTTTTAAAGATTCTTTCTAACATGATTACGGTTGGTTTTAGGTGATTTTGGATGGAAAAGAGTTCTTGCGATTCATCTAGATGAAAAATAATGGGTGTACCAGATAACTTTTGTACTGAATAACGCTGTAATGAGTTACTAATAGCTACCGAGATTAAAATAATATTATTTTTTATTAAGGTTTGTAAATTCGAAGTCGATTACCAAGAAGTTGACTTGTGGTCTAAAAAATAAAAAATATTACAAAATCTTGTTTCTCCATGATTGTTATTTTTTCTGTCAATTCTTTAGGTGGGTATAAAGGAATTTTGACGAGAAGTTAAGGTACAGTCATGGTTCACACTTCACAGTAGACGATAGACGACGGTGGCTGTGGTTGCACACAAAATGCAGTTGTTTTGATCAGGTGTAGAACGAACGGGTGCAGCGTTGTCGATCTGTCGTTGAGAGATTTCACTATGTAGTTGTTCGACTGCTTCCGTGACAACGAGTTTAGAATGGTCCGCCGATAATGTTAATTACACGAATGTAAATAACACTGCGACGTTTTGCCGTCGACCGAGTGTATCTTATTAAAAAATAAAACAACTCCGGTTTCTCAACGACCAGATAGTAAATATATGTGAGTTGACCAAAAAAAAAAAAATGTTTGGATTTGCGGTGACTGACAAGCGTTTTGGAAACTTGGCACCGACCAACAGAATTGGATTTCGCAACGACTTACTTGCAAAGATGCTATTGCGTTGACCAAGAATGACTTGGGTTTTGCGGTTTGCTGGAGCAATGGAAGCTTCTGGCGATCCTGCACTAACGGTAAACGATGATCAGTCGCTTAGTCGTTAGGGATAGTGTTGAAACGTCAGGATAGGTGCTTCGAACGATGGTGGTGTTCACCTCGGTTTGCGAAGAACGAAGGTTGAAGATTGAAGTCAGTACTTTTGACACCAAATATTTGTGCAGGAAGCCCGGAAGGCGTTTACATACGATAAGTAAATGAGCATAAAATAAAGACTTTATAATAAAAATGCTTTTAGAAATATAACTTAAACTGTTTTAATAAGCACTTGTAAAGCAATAATAAGATACGTATTAACTGACTGGCTGAAGACTGACAATTGTACAGAGAAATATACCCTATTCGCCGAGAGAGCATGCCGCGACCCGACGAAAATTGGCTGTTCTGCGCATCCCCCCGCGGCACCCAGTGTGACTAGCATTCCCCCCGAGTCCACCCTGTCTACTAGCCTTAGTCTTGCTGCTTAGTCTTCAGTCTACATGCACAAACCCGGCATGCTCTCTCAGCGAATAGGGTATACGTAGTTTGCAAATAGCCAGTCAAGGAAACAATTGTAAATAATTTAGCACCTAAAAGTGATGTCATAATGACATACATAATAAATACATATTAATATTGTAAGTAAGCGTGTGCTTAGAAGCTAAGAAAATGTTACATAAAATGTGTACATTTCAAACTTGGTTCTCCATAAAAACGCTGAGAAAAACAAAAAAGAGTAGAAATAGAAAATTCAATAAAACGACTCGGTAATCAAAATAGTTGAAATAATTACGTGTAAAAATAAGATAATTTTCAGTTTTTCGAATTTTCTATGAATTTTTATATGTGGACTGTCAAGTGTCAACTGTGGTTAACACGTGCAATTTGCAAACCCGTTTACAAAACTCATTGTTGTCACTTGGAGCGCTGTTGTTGTGATTTTGTGAGGTTATGGTAGAAATGAATAATAATGTTCGGATCTTATATTCCCACGTTCCCACTAATCACCATTCATATTTCTGATTTCAGATTTCATAATTCTCACCGCTCTGCGCTCATGTCACATGATTATATTCCAATTTGTATCGTAACTTGTATTTTGTTTATATGAAAAAATTAAAATAAAAACATAAATTAATTGACACTTTATGGCAAATTATTTTTAATTTCAGTTTATTATTTTTATAATTTCGTAAAATGAACTTGAATCCTTTATCGGACTGCGAAAAAGGTTTTATTTTAGAAGCTGCTTCACAAAAAATTGTAAGTGTACACAAGCTTATAATCCATAATTTTGACAGAATTATTAGATTTATAATTAAATTAAAATATCCCATAAATTGTTGTTTATAATTTATTCGCTGCGTACCTCTTTATTATTTTTAATACATAAATTAAACTGAAGAAAATTATCTTACAGTAATTATTAAACGGTATGACTACGACATACGTTACTATCTTTGAACACACATTTCATTTTAAATTAAAAAAATTTTTAGTTGCCTTAGTTGAATTTTTTTTTATTTTAGCGTCTTGATGGCCGTAAAAGAGATGAATACCGATCAATCAGTATAGAATTTGGTCTTGATTGGGGAAATTGCTTAGTAACACTTGGTGCTACACGTGTATTTGCACAAGTGAGTTGTGAAATATATCAACCTAACAACAGTCGTCCAAATGAGGGTATACTTCAAATATCTGCAGAACTCGCTGGTGATAACAAACAAGCTGACTTAACGAAAATTAACCAAGTTCTGGAAAGGTTTTATAAAGATTCAAAATGTATAGACCTCGAAGCCTTATGCATAATTGCTGAAGAAAAAGTAAGATTTAATTCTAAACTTGTATAGTTTGTTTATCTATAAAATTAAACTAAAAAATATATAAAATAAATTGAGGTATGGAAAATCAAAGTGGATTTAAGTGTTTTAAATATGGATGGCAACACTTTAGGATGTTGTTCAATTGCGACTCTTGCAGCACTTATGCATTTTCGTCATCCAGATGTTGTTTCAACTGGAGAAAAAGTTATTGTGTATTCCAGTTCTGAGCGAGATCCTATACCATTATCACTTCATCATTATCCAATCATAACAAATTTTGCTATTTTCGAAAACAAGTAAGATTACTAATAGTGATGTGACTAATCCTGATTTTTAATGTCAAAGCTAACTAATTAATCATTTCCTGAACACCAACTGAACTTTCAAGTATTTATTCACACTTGATCCAAACCTAACTATTAAAACAAAAAAAATGTTGGTCCCAAATAAAATAATAAAAAACTAGTTTGTTTTTGTACAAATATTTGTGTTTATGAAGTCTTAAAAAAAAACTAAGATGTTAAAACTCTCACGCGTTTTGCTGGACAAGTTACCGAATTAATATTAAAACTGCAATTATATCCGAGTTTGATTCAATCTGAACTATTTGTTATTATGTCTAGTTCAGTTTGATGTGCAATCATTGTGTCACTTCACTAATTAATGGTTTATAAATTACAAAAAAAATATATATATATATTTTAATTTATATTATTTTATTTTTAGCGATTTTATTATTTTAGATCCATCATTTTTAGAAGGAAAATGTTGTGATAGCAAGTTATCTATATGTTTTAACAACCATAGAGAGTTGTGTGGTATAGATATTGAAGGTTGTGCTTGTCTAAGTCAGGAACTACTTATGAACTGCTCAAATCAAGCAGCAACAGTTGCTTCTATTCTTGTTGATAAAATTAAGTCTGCAATTAAAGAAGACATTGAAAAACGGTATTTCATTTTAAAACTATTGTTATAACATCATATTGTTATACGTGTATAACATTTCATATTATTTATGTTTCCAAATAAAATTTTGTTCAACAATTAATTTAATATATTTGTTTTATTCAATTTTTTGATTAGGTCCAATAAATCATTGCAAGGTTTAGAACCAAAAATTAATGAAGATTGTTTGAAATTATCTTTACCGGATATACTAAATAATATTGTACCAGAAAAAACTGAAGAAAGTGATGGTATACTTTCCATATTTTTTTAGTTTACAAAGAACAAGTCAATAGATATAGTTTTCTTAATTATGTTTAGAAACAATGGAAGTTGAACAAAAAATTGTCAAAATAGCACCTGGTACTTCAGTTGCTGCTTGTCAAAATAGTATGAATCAAGTTAGAATTTCTCAATCCTCAACTCAACACGAATTAGTGATTATCGATACTGAAAGTAGCAATTCTTCTGAAAGCGATGAAAGTGATGTTGAAGTTGTTAAACAATATAAATTAGAAGATAGTAGACCTATTATTGCTAAATATGGTAATTCTAAAAAGACAATTTTTTTTAATATTATGTATTAAAATTAACAAATGTATGTGTTAAATATTTCAGTTCTCTCAGATGATGATGAAACCAGTGACACTATAGTATTAGATTAAACCAATTATTGCAATGTTAAATTTGGTCTTATAAATAATAAAAATTTAATTGTATATTCATTATAGCAACTAAATAATTATATTTTAAATGTTTTATTAGGTCAGTGTTAAATCTTGTATATATAGTAAAGATTTGTAATTTGTATATTTATATTTGTACAACGGAAATGATCTAATAGTAGAGTCCAAGTAACTGAATTTCAAAAAAGATGTACATATTTTAGATAACTAAACTCGTGTATGGAATAATGAAATCAATAATAATTATCATTTAAGCAGTTTAATGTGCAAAATAATATTAGTTTTAAATGTTTTAAAAATTAACTTGCAAGAATTGCATATAAGAGCAATTTATTACTAAAAACCCAAAAAGAATCATTTATAGTTTATTATTAGATTGTAGACAATTTCGTTTTACAGTATTAAAAATATAATGGATTGATGAAATAGAATTGAATATTATTATGGTACACGATTTATTACTATGAACAACTATATTAAAAAATAACACAAATTTGAGGTTCTTGTCTGTTTCCAAATTGGCAAAATCAATTTTGAGTAGAACATAATATTGTGATTTTAGGTAAACCTTCCCGGTATTAATTTTTATCAGTGTCCCGCCCCTGGTTAAACTAATTATAATTTTTTAAATCCGCCAATCTACATTCGTCATAAATATTAATTTTTTTTAGGTTTAATAGTAGATGTTTTTATTTTAAAACTACACAAAAGTTTATAAAAACCTATCTGCGTTACTATTTTTTTTTTTATACAAACAAATGTATAATTGTGCGCATTACACCCTCTAAATGTTATTGCTCATATCTACAATTTGAAAATGAATACAGTAATTTGTGTTAACTAATTCTCAGCCGTGAACCGTTTTGTAAGCTATATATCTACCTAAAATATGGCAATTCCTAAATAGATGGTAAGATCCATAGAAAAATTATACATGTATAATATGTCTATGGTAGGATCACAGAATAGAATACCTGAAAGTCTAACGTATATCCTGTGGCAGATTCACAGAATATATTAAATTTACTTGTCTATGGTTTAATTCTATTTTGTAAATTATTGTGGTAGTATGTGATAATAGATTTTTGGATTGCTCATTCACAGAAAAGAGATTGCCCACTTCGGCCATCGTGGCAGTTTTATCATTTTATCAACAACAGAAAATGCGTTATCAACAAATAATCCCCAATACATAACATTTTACAACGTGTTTATAAATAAACGTTGTTCTATCACATGAACATCTAGGCTAAATTCAAGTTTTTAGATAAACCCTTACCATTTAGATAATAATATAATATGTGTGTTGCGACTGTAATATCAGTAGAATTTTGCGTTAGTATTTAGTAATATATTCAAGTCTCGTGTCTTTAGACTTCATTCCGATAGCTGATCCACATTGAAATAATTTTCATAAGTAACGTTTAATAGGTTAGATATTTTATTATATAATTTAGTTTGAATTTAATATCGAAATTTCTAATATTTAGGTCATTTCACATTTGAGTGTCATTATAATTTGGGTATAACATGGGTATTCTTGAAAAAATAGCCGAAATTGAAAGGGAAATATCAAGAACTCAGAAAAATAAAGGTAAATAAAACATTTTACCGGGAAAAAAAATGTTTATAATTATCAACAGTTGTTTAATTTGTTTTCAGCTACTGAGTATCATTTAGGTCTTTTAAAGGCTAAACTTGCCAAGTATAGAGCCACACTATTAGAACCTTCTAAAAAGCAAGAAAAAGGCGAAGGTTTTGATGTTTTGAAATCCGGGGATGCAAGAGTCGCACTCATTGGTTTCCCTTCTGTTGGTAAAGTAAGTAGAAGTCGGTATATTAGTATTGATTATAAATTACTATAGATTGCTCACTGAAAACAATTTTAGTTCTGGTCATCAACACGGGACGGATGCTACTAATATCGCTTACAGTGAATATGATTCTACTAACGCCTGTCAAGTGTTAGTGACCAGAACTAAAATTTTTCACAATGAGCAATCTATAGTAATTTAAAACAATGGTATTATGGATAACACTTTAAAAATCTAGATTATAACAAATAGTAGATCATATTATTTTGAATATAGTTTATACAATTATGTGAAATATCTTTTTTAAACTTGTATAGTCAACTCTTTTAAGTACATTAACACATACAGAAAGTGAAGCCGCCTCTTATGAATTTACAACATTAACGTGTATACCTGGAGTTATAGAATACAAAGATGCTAATATTCAATTATTAGATTTACCCGGTATTATTGAAGGTGCTTCTCAAGGAAAGGGTCGAGGAAGACAAGTTAGTAAAACATTTTGTTAAAACAACTTAATTAAATTCTACTATAAAATGTGAATTTAAAATATACTATGATACTTTTATATTAATATTATAATAATTAAAAAAAATGTATATTTATAGTTTTAAATTATTTTAATTTTAGGTGATAGCAGTCGCTAGAACAGCCGATTTAGTGTTAATGATGTTAGATGCAACTAAACAAGACATTCAACGGGAACTTCTAGAGAAAGAACTTGAAAGTGTAGGAATACGGTTAAATAAACGAAAGCCAAATATTTACTTCAAGGTAAGGTCGTATTTATTTTTCATTAGAAACATTTTCTAAAACAATTATTTTTCTAGGTTAAAAAAGGAGGAGGACTAGCTTTTAATGCTACTTGCCCTTTGTCTAGAGTTGATGAAAAACTTGTTCAAGTTATATTACACGAGTATAAAATATTCAACGCTGAAGTGCTGTTCAGAGAAGATTGTACACCAGATGAGCTTATAGATGTCATATCAGATAATCGTGTATATTTGCCATGTATGTATGTTTATAACAAAATCGATCAAATATCCATCGAAGAAGTAAATAGAATTGCTAGACAGCCAAATAGCGTTGTAGTCAGGTAATTCATTTTTTCTAATAACATTCTTGCCATCGGTATTTACAATAGACTATTATAGTCCAATACAATAGTCTTTGAACTGGTAGTACAAGCATTTTTCTGACATGTTTGTTAATATTTGTTTTAAGTTGTAACATGAAATTGAATCTTGATTACCTCTTGGAAGTACTGTGGCAGTATTTGTCATTAATTCGGGTTTATACCAAGAAACCAGGTCAACCACCAGACTTCGATGACTGTTTAATCTTAAGGAAAGGAGTGACTGTTGAACATGTATGCCATTCAATTCATCGTACCTTGACTGAACAATTCAAATATGCTTTGGTTTGGGTATGTACTGACTTTTTACTAAATAATTGAATACTATAAAATGTATTTATTTTTTCAGGGTACCAGCACAAAATATTCTCCTCAAAGAGTGGGTTTACATCATATTATGCATGATGAAGATGTTATTCAAGTAGTTAAAAAATAAAATTTAACAAAATATAAAAATAAAATATGTAAATTATTTTTTATTAAGTTAGTTATGTTTCTTAAATTTAATATTCCAAAATTCATTATAAATCTGTTTTTTATACTATACATAAACACAAATATCTGATTTAAGATGATGCAATCTGTCGTAGAGGCCCATCTAAATAAGTTGATAATGCAGTAATTTTTTCTTTGAGCAAACCAAACTCTACTGAGCGATTAGCATACAAACATAATAGAATATTAGCAACTTGTTTAATTGCTACTCTTCCTTCCTGTAATAATAAAAAAAACATCTTTTGAACTGTAATTGTACAAGAAATTTATCAATTAATTACTCTTTATGGTTTTAACACATAAAAAAACTTAATTAATTCTTAACCTTTAAGTGCCGCTAAACGTTATGTTAGTCTCATTTCCCCATGATACTGAACAAAGGGTTAAATATACAAGCTAATCAGCATCAAAGTTTTAAAGGTAAACTTGGTCCTCACAATCGCCAATGAATTTTTTCAGTTACTAAAAATAAGAACTAAAACTAGTTTCTGAATTGTAATGGCAACCATTTCTGTATAACCCCGATAGTCATGAAATACATGCGACTCGCATAAGAGTACATCACTCCCAACTACCCACCATCAATCATTAGTATCAATAACAATTTTAAAATATCAAAAAATTACCGTACAATCCATTAATACAAGTTGAAGTTGATCTTCTTTCAGTGTAGCCAAGCCATTTTTTTGATATGTATTCCATAGGTTTGCTGCAATAATAGATGTAATACTGGAATCTCTGTCACCATAACCACTATAGGCTAGAAGACATCCTTCGTGTGTTAATAGCCTAAACCAAATTACTCTTATTAGTTTTAAAGAAAACAATCTTGCTTTATCTAGGAACACATCTATTTTAAAGCCATATTTTTTTTGGCAATATTTATTATTTTATAGTTTATTTAATTGATAATCTATTGACTGCCAATTACAATGATAGAAAAGTAAAAGGTCATTTGAGAATACTAAATAATTTCCAAAAATGTGTTGCTAGTACAGTAGATTTATATCTAAAATCTTTAGCGTGGTAACGTAAACTAAACTTATAGTACAATTATTAAAACTTAAATGAAGGCTTTTACATCACTGGTAACAATTAAGGTCAAATTTTATATTAATTATAAAATAAAAGCAGAATAATTAAATAAAAATTAAATAATTAAAATTTTACTTATAATGAACTGTTTAATTTGAAATTCGGTAAGATAAAAAGTCAACCTTTAATGAAGTTTTATATAAGTTTCATTAGCGTTTAGAATACGCAATTTGGGACAAAATTAAAATAAAAAATCAATTTTATGTTAATCACCAAAAATCAAAATTAATTAAATCTTACATGGTATTCTCAACGCCGTTGGTATTTGCTTGACTTAAAACTTGAGATAAAACCTTTGGTCTTAACATTTTTTAATAATTCAATTGCAAATATACAAAAATAAACGTAATTATCAAGTTAGAAACTTTCGATAAACTTATTATAATATAAAGTGATTTGTAATGAAAATAAAGTAGTTTTTAAGATTTAAGTTGCATTACATTCTTATTTCTAACAACTTATATCTAACATTTCAACAATAAATATCTATTCCGTAATATGTGATTGTATTATTTAATTATTATCAAAAAATAAGTATATATGAACATTGATTAAGTGTATTTAATCAATGGTATGAAGCAACTTGTGATAACAATAAAATGGCTTCCTTTGTTCATTGGTGGGCGTTTATGGCTTACGAGTGAACAGCAAAGCCATACCGTGAAAATTGATAACATAGCTGCTAGCTTACCTGTTTCTTTTAGTGTGATTGTGTTTATATGGCTATTGCTATCGGTTAACTTTTTTCATTGGTTGTTTCATGTTTGATATTTGAGCCATAATTATAAATAATTTACCCTTAAGATGAAAATTAGAAGACACCCTAGGAAGCACGGGTACACCATAAAAAAAGAAGTTTTAGGAGAAAATTCGAAATTTAAATTTTAAACATTTTCTCAATCCATTTCGTACTTGGTAAATTTGAATTACTTCTGTAGGGCACTAATCAATTTAGATGATCTAATGTCTGTCTTACGAGGAAAAGAAAGTACGAGTATAAGTGGTCACATTTAATTATTTACAGTCTGTTGGTAATTATAACTCAATAGGACGCTTAACATGTATATAGACCCACGATCAAGACATGTTCATATAAAAATTAATTTAAAAAAATTAATATACAAATACATTTAAAAAAATAAATTTAACAAAAATTTGTGTTTAGGTTACATTACACACTAGTTGTGATGATTCGTCAAATATTGCTTATCTTCTTATTAGGTAAATCAACCATTAAGAAGACCATGCCGTTATTCAGTCTTGCCTCCAGTTTTCCCTCTAGTCCAAGACTTGTATGAATCCTGAACAAATTTTTTTTTAGAAGGCAGGATTGTTAGCCCTGCACTTAACCCCCAATCTGGAGGATTAAATAACTCCAGCCAGTTAAGGCCATGGTAGGGTTATTGCCATGTACCATTGGTTCATTGGGCAATAGGGACACCGCTTTCCGATGTCAATGACTGGGGTTGCGGGCTTGTCACACCCATTGCCAATTAAGGCACCCCATGCATGAATTGCTTAATTTTACCTCTTAATAAAAGCCATACTTATTTCCCTTATAATTATTGTTTAACACATATTTTATCCTTTGTGTTAACATTTTTTTTAACTTTAGAAGTATACAAAATATTAAAACAGTAAATATAGTTTCCTATAAATAGCAAATTTTGCATTAAGTAAATACTATGTATAAATGTATTGTAATACATCAATAAAAAAAAAAAGTATTTATTTCATCAAACAACTTTCATTTTTTTGGTATCTGGTTCAATAGATTGGCCAGAAGATACATACATAAATATTTTATTGTCAGCAGATATTTTTCTATAATTTTGACCTATAAAAATTAGTAACCACATTAATAAAAAAAAAAAGTTACTTAAGAAGTAATTATAATAACCTTTTTTTATATATGAAATAGTTGAATAAGGAGTATAATGGAAATCTTCTGCTAAATATTCTTGCACTAAGAGTTCACCTAAGATCATTTCAGCTCGCATTCTCGAAAACGTCGGTGGCTTCACATCAACCAACTTTATTTTTTTCTGAACTTTTCCATACCATGAGTCTAGAAGCATTTGTGCTAAAGATAGAGCAAATTATAAAATTAGTCCAAGATATTTTAAATAGAAAATGTCTACAACTTACCAGTGAACTTTGTATCATTGTTTGATGCTGAATTTAATATTTTATACACTTCTATGCAGTATTTATTAATACAAATACATTTTATAGAATTTTCAGCAGAACAATGGTCACACATTTTATTACAATCGGTTGACTCCCAAGATTCATCAAAATGGGAAGCTATTAGCTTGCGTCTACAACTATTGTTTTGAAATCATATATAATTAATTACAAGACAATATATATTTTTTCTTGTAAATAAATTAGACACATAAGTTGTCATAAAGTATTCATTTAATAAACTTACTCTTTTGGGTTTAAACAAAATTTCACAATTGAATACAAATTTGGTAGCCCCGTTTGTGTTGTAAACACCATAGTACTTAATTTGAATACATCACTTAATTTATAATATAGTAAACAAGTAGAATGCTTGCCATCCCTTCCTGCTCGTCCACTTTCCTGTTAAAATTAAGAATTGTACAGTTACAAAAAAACAAGAGTCATGATTATGTTAACTTGCCTGGTAGAAGTTTTCAATAGATTTTGATAACGCATGATGTATTACAAATCGAACATCAGGTTTGTCAATGCCCAATCCAAACGCAATAGTAGCCACAACTACTTGATATTCTCCATTTAACCACTTGTTATGAACTTTTGATCTAAGATTGCCATCTAACTGCGCATGATATGCTCCAACTTTACATCCTCGTTCCCTATGTTAAACAATAATTGTACATTTTTCTATCTATTGTTTTCAATTATGAACAGGAGATTGAGCAACATTTTACAACCACTGCCCTTTAAATGTATACTACTTCATAAAATTCCTAATTTATTTACAGTATACCACATATAATTCCTACCTCAAATCTTGCCTCAAGCTTTCACAGTCTTTTATTGATGTAGTGTAAATTATTCCAGACTGATTTTTGAATTTATTCTTAAGTAATGATTCAAACTCATCTACACATTCTTTATTGTCAGGTTTCCATCTTACCTGTCCATAAACATTATATACAAGTAGAAATAATATTTTTATTGTAAGATCTTTATAAAAGGGAAGAAATGTTAGGCTAATTTAAATCTAATGCGTACACAGTTCCTTTCCCGCCGTGTATGAATAAATAATAAAATAAATAAATAATCAATTACAAATAAGAGAAATAAGTAGTGAGAGAAAGGATAAAGATGATCAACCTTAATATAGTGAAATAAGATAATGAATAAAAACTTCTTTAAACCTCATAATACAAGTTTGGTCGATTAAATGTTGCTTTTAACAATGCACATCCTTCAACTTGTAGTAGTTTTTGTGTATCTGTAATAACTTTTGAAGATGCAGTGGCAGTAAGACCCAAGATGGGAATATCAGGAAACATTGGTTTAAAAATAGTTAGATGTGTGTAATCTGAAAAATGTTTTCATACAAAAATCAAACTATATAGAGTTATTATTGTAAATTAAGGGGATGCCAGTTTCAAAATATAAAAAAGTGAAAATTTTGAACCACCCTAATATATACATCGATATATAACCAACAATAATGTATACCTGGACGAAAGTCATGTCCCCACGTTGTACAACAATGTACTTCGTCAACTGCTATTCTAGATAAAAGCTTAAGACTGTGCGCTTTTTGCAGTTTGGTCATAAACGTTTTACTTTTAGCAATTCTTTCTGGAGTACAATACACTAGTTTTAAACCCGATTTGCTGTCAATCATCATCTACAGAAAAATAAAAAAGCAATTAAATGAAGGTTACGAGAAACGGGAATTTAAATAATTTGTTGTACTTGAAAAAGTAACTTTGTTTCATCTTTTGTCGAGTAAGAACTAATCATCATAGCGTTGATTTTAAGTTTATTCATTTGAATAATCTGATCTTCCATAAGTGATACCATTGGTGATACAACAAGGGTAAATCCTAAAAAATAAAAACAATTTTATTACAATCTTGTCAGTAATAAAGCCATAAGGAAGAAAAAAAATTCTTGTTAAATTTTTAATTAAAACTATCCTAAAATTTAGAAAATGTCAAATTAAAATTGCAACCAAGTTTGATTCTCAAAATCTTGTTTTGTTAATTAAATGTTTTAAACATCCACCAAGTCGAGTAGAATGTATTACATTCTACTTAAAACACCTTATTTGTTACCTTTGTCGACCATAGCAGGTAATTGGTAGCACAGCGACTTGCCCCCTCCAGTGGGCATAATAAGTATAGCATCGTGTTTTGATAATGTTATATTTATGGCAGCCATCTGTTGCGATCTAAATGTTTCTAGTTTAAAAACATTTTTTAAGGTATCTTGTACTTTGTTGTACCATGGAAAATCTAATAAGTTTTCAAACAAAAAACAAGAAAACTTAGAAAGGTAATTTTATTATATATATATATGGAATGAACCCAAAAAATAAATAACAGTATATGATAAGAATATTAGAGAAAGTATTGAAGACGGGAATAGCCTAGTATAGTAACAATGGGGTCAGTGCTGGTGGTCTGAATTAAATGAATAATAGGAGGACTATGTAGGCAGTTGGACAAGGAAAGTGAGATGATATGATGAAAATAATATAATTTATTAATATTTTTAATATTATAATTTAACTTTAAGAATACCTGTGTGAGTCCATTTATTTTGATCGCTAATAGAATCTGTCTGCCTTTGAAATGACAAATGTTTTAAATGTTCTTTGCGTTTTATTAATTCAGACTTTCTGTTTTGAAGTTTGGAAACTTTAGCATTAATCTCTTTTAACTCTTGTTCAATTAGATTTATTTCTTCTGAAAATAATAGTTTAAAGTATAAGTTGCTAACTTAAATTAGTATGTGTGTTATTTTTAAATGTTCATTTTTAATAAGTTGAATTTTGAATAGCAGACATCCCAAAGTTACAAATCAACATGTTTTGCTAACTTGTTATTAGAGTTTATCTGTTTTTAAATATTATTTATTATTAGAGAATACATACTTTCGTCTTTTGCATTCATTATGTTTAAATTTGAGTATATAAATATTTATAACTTAATTTTACAGACAAGAAAAGTTTAAAATGTTCAAAATAAATATTAGATAAGTAATGTTTAAATCTGAACAAATTAAAATGAGTTTTAAATTTCTTATAAATATTACTTTTAACTTAAATGTATATATTAATTATGTTAATCTAATTAAACATCTAACTTTAATTTTTTTTAACACAATAAATTCGGAATTAGGATTTAAAAACATACTTTAAAATGATAACGCTTACGGATTAACTGGAGGCAAAATCAACATTGTTGGAGGTTGTTATACAAGCTTGCAGTTCAAACGATAGGTAAGTAAGCAACAACAAAATAACCACAAAATGATTGCTCGTTTTATCAAATAGGCATATAGGTATATTCGTTGATTAAATATTATTTTCATATATTTAATGGTATGTTCAAAAAATGGTATGTTACCACTGCAATAACCAGCAGCCATTTTGAACAAAACTATTACCCAATTTCTTGACACTACCTGTTTATATTTTGTTTTGATGCAATATCCATAATGATTTAACATTTTCCATTTACCAAACTTAAAAAATAAAAAAAAATATTTATTATTCATTATTTAATAATTAATTGTATTATTGTATTAGTCATTAGTAATTTGTAAAAATTAAAAGAAATATTTTTAGGTATCAAACATTTAGTTTGTATTGTTTTTTATTATTCTATTTATATTTAACAAAATAGCAAAATATGTTTAAATTGGCAAATGGGAAATATTTTCTGAATGTTTGCAGTAGGAAATGTACAACGAGAATTTTAAGAGTATGTATTTTTTTTTTAATAAATTAAGTTTAATTTTTCACATAGTTAGCTTAGTATAATACTTTTTCTATTTGATATTTAGTAATTTTAATTGTTTGTTAGAATATGATTTCTTTAAGAAGTAGTACAACTACAAAATCTATTGAGCTGAAATCATTTAGTAGAAGAAAGAAAGATAGTACCGATATTGGCTGGATTTTATTAGTAAGGTTATAAATTGACTTAGTACTGTGTTTTATATAATTAGTGTTTAATGAATTATATTTATAAGGTGGTTCCAATATCCGCATTGGGATTGGGTACTTGGCAAGTTGGTAGAAAAAAATGGAAAGAAGAACTTATGAACGAGCTTAAAACTAAAACAACTTTGCCAGCTATTGATTTCCCAGAAAAGTAATACAATTTTTTACCATGAAAATCAAGGTATATTATTTGTTTCGTGTATAACCTATATAATTTTCATAGTCTAGAAGATATTAAAAATCTTGAGTACCAAAGAGTAAAAGTGAGAGGTGAGTTCAACCATTCGAAAGAACTATACTTAGGACCAAGATCTTGTCTGTCGGACGGTGGTTCTAACAGTGGAAATGGCCTATTTTCTGGATCTGGTTACACGCAAAGTGGTTATTACATTGTTACACCATTTAAGCTCTCTGATAAACCGTAAAGTTTTTTCTATACTCGTTATCTATTATTTAGTTAAGTGTTTTTTTTTTAATAACGCATTTTATTCTTTTTAGTTTAACAATTTTAGTGAATCGTGGTTGGGTGTCAATGCAGAATAAAAGTCCTGCATCACGTAAATCTGGTCAGATTTCAGGGGAAGTTGAATTAGAAGGTGTTGTTCGTTTAAATGAACCTAGGCCGCAGTTTGTGGCCAAAAATATTTCTGATTCTCGATTTTTTTCCTACAGGTAACTAAGTATTAAAGGTGTTCAGTATGCTACAAAAGTTACTCTGTCTGATTATTACTAATCAGTATTACTACTGTAAACTTGTACATATTGTTGCCCTAATTTGCAGTTGTCCCAACTCCATAATTGTGATTTCATGATTATTACATTATTTTGTAAAAAACATTAATACTGTTTAATTGATAAATATTCAATGTTTTTCATCTCTCTATAAAAGTAGTCATGACGATGCATAATACATTTATTTTTAAGTTTTTAATTAACATTGTTCTATGTTTTTTTTTTAAATCGATAGAGATTTGGATGCTATGTCACAACTTGTTGACTCTAAACCTATTCTAATTGATGCAGTTGTCGAAAGTAGTGTTCCTGGTGGACCAATTGGCGGTCAAACTAATATTTCATTAAGAAACGAACATCTTTCGTATATTATTACATGGTAAATACTAAATACAAATACAATATACATTTGTGTAATAATTTAATAGTTTAACTAACTAGTCATATTTCTTTCTGTTAAGTTAGATAATTTACACAATTTTCATTATGAGTACATGCATACATAGAAAAGTAGGTGGATACACACAGTGTAAGCCCATTTGACCATCATATCATATATTTTTTTTTTGTCTTTTAATATTAAAGAGGAATACATGACTAGAACTGTCTTGTTTATTTCTGCTTCATCCCAATTTCACTTATACATTGAGACAAATAAGAGGTAGAAACCATGAAAATTCGAAAAAGACCAAAATAAGATGCACTCTTAGAACTACACTTTAGTATATATAAATTCAATTCAGTGCTGCTTAGAACTACACCACTGGCCTCATCCCATAAAAAAGTAGTCGATCAGCCTAAATCTCTCCACATTCCCTTATGGACTTTTCCATATGCCTCTATGTCTTATTCATAACATCTACCCACTACCCTTCATACTTTCAACATGCACAGATCACCAATTTTCTCCCACTTTTTTTGCCATTGGTGCATGTGTAAGTGTATGTATATTTTAATTTCTGTTATTGTATAATTACAGGTATGGTTTAGCAGCAGCTACAGGGTATATGTGGTATTCAAAATATTCTCAAGCAATAAAGTCAGTTATTAAATAAAATTATCGTAGTTCTGTTTTTTCTATATTTAATGTTTTATTAAATAAACACTATGTTTGAATTTGAAATTGTTGAATTATTTAGTAAAATTTTAAATATGAGATTCTAAAATATGTATATCATTGTGTTACAAGATTAAAAAATATATATATAATGGTATATGAAATAAAATAAAATAATTTACACACAAATTTTAAAAAAAATGTCATTTGTATAGTGTATCAAATAAAATATAGGTAATTTGTAATTTATAACTTAAGGACTACATACATTTGTTTTGTTTTAACTAATCAATACAGTTATAAATGTTGTATTTTTACATTGGGTTTTTTAAATAATTGTTTTTATACCCAAGTTCTTATTTACTTAGATAATAGGTATTTAAAATATAATAGAACATTTTAGTTGTTAAAAATATAGATTGTAATAAAGTATATTCGGTCATACATTTTTAGGTGTACTAAATATAATTAACATCTCATCTTTGATTAAAACCTAAGACCTAATAAATAAAAATATTATTTTTACAATAAACATTTACTTAAATTCTATAAGTATATTTTATAGATTACAATAAATTGTTAAAACAGTACCAAAAATAGTTACATATATAACAATTTTAGGTATTTTAACACATTATATTTGTTTGTTTGTAATGTTATTTAATAAAAATTGCCTGATCTAACAAGTAATTACATTTGTAAGCAACGAAATCTTAATCCTTTTTTAATTTCGTTTAGACATAGGTACACTTGCTCGTTGATCTTCCATCCGACCTGATTGTAAACGCATGATAAGGGTGAAGAAATCTTCATCTGGTACCGTTGGACCTCGATTTGGTGTCCGTTGGGATTCACCATCACTACTAATAGTACTCACAGGTAGCTCACTGCGTTGGTCTTCTAATCTTTCTCCTTGACATCGCATCAACAATTCTAAGAAATTATCATCGGGCTGCTGTTCGTTTTCTGGTTTAGCAATGCCAGGAAGTTGTTCCAATTCTACTCTTTGTTCATCCATACGTTTACTTTGCATACCAACAATCATATCAAGTAAATCATCTTGACTTTCAGCGTGTAGACCTTAAAATCAAATATGGCATTATTTCAATAAAAAAAATATGTCAAAAATGCATTTTTATAAATACCAATATGAGCAGTTTGTTGTTTATTTAAATTTTGGTTTTCTTTATCCTCTGAATTTCTGGAAGAACCTAGAGTGCAGCGCTGATCATCCATTCGTCCAGCTTGGAACCGTGATAACAAATCAAAGAATGGATCATCTTCTGTTTTATCATTCTAAATTATGGAAGTTTATTAATAAGTCATAATATGAAACAAATTATAAAAATAGTAATCTAAACCACAAATTCAGAAGCTGAAATTTTAAAAAAGATTAAATTAATGAAAATGCTAACTGATCTAAGTTTGAAGTTACTAGTAATTCATGTGTTTTGTCTTCATGTATATATTAAAGCATTAATGCAAATATATTGCTTTTACAATGATGTGTTTTTATTAATTTTTTTTCTATTTTTGTATACACAAAATATGTATACACACTCTATATTTCTAATAGATACCTTTTTGGCTACTGATGTTCCAGATTGATAAACTTTATCATTCGAATTTGTAGTCTTTCCTTTATTATCTGGAGTTAACTATAACCAAACAATAAAAAGTTATTAGTATACTAATATTATAAAAATAATAATTTTAAATTTGGTACACTTGTTACTTGGTTATTGATCATAATGTGCAATTAACAGACGAGTAAATGAACAGGACATTATAAACAAAACAAAAGCCAGTAATGCATATTGTTTAGCAAATAAACATAAAATAAAAATAAACATGCAAGCACTACCTTAAGTAAATCTAATTGTTCCATGCTTTGTCGTCTCACCCGATAACGTCGTAACTGAGGTGATGGTTGGGTATTGGAAATAGTTTCCAACAATTCTTTGCTTTCGGGTGAAAGCTGACCATTTGACATACCCAAAGATTTCTTTATGTCCACTATATTGATTTGTGCAGTTGCCTGACCAACTGTATCACCAATCTAATAATTAAAATCATTGAATTAATTTTAAATTAATAACATTACTTATAATAAACAAATAATTACTTCTTTGGAAATTTCTAAATGTTTTGAAGCAAAATACAATGCTTTTTCATGATTCCCAAGTGCCAAATTTACATTTCCTAAACTCCAACAGGCTCTTCCTGCACATACAATAATTTTGTGATCAATAAATGAAAAAATCATTAGATAATAAAAATTCATAAATCTAGTGCCATATTTAGGGGAGGGGATGAGGAGGCTGCAGCCGTCCTTGAAATTTCCAGAAATATAAATTATTAAATACATTGCAGTACACCACCTATACTTAAATATAATAATAAGTCTTATTAAACAAAAATATATTATATCAATGAATTTATACCTTCACCAATTCTATCATGTAATTTTTGTGCGATGTCCAAGTGTCGCAAATGATAATCCACTGCCGTGTTATAATCTCTCAACAATGTATACGTATTTCCAAGACTATAACATGCCTGAGCTTCTACTGCTCGATCTTCTAATTCTTGAGCAAGCACTAATGTTCTCCTAAAAAAAAAATATTATTATTAAATAATCAATATTAATTTTTTTAATTTTTATGTTATAATTTTACTTATAATGATCAGCAGCTTCTTCGAACTCTCCAAGAAAAACATGGGAATTTCCTAAATTGCTATTGGCTCTTCTCTCAGCTGATTTATCACCAAATTCTCGTGCAATTTTTAATCTCTGATAAGAAAAATTGTTTTTTAATTAACACTAGAGATAGAACTAAATATAAATAATATTAATAAATGTGTTACCTCTTCGTGGTACTGAATAGCTTCTTTGAAGTTACCCAATAAATAATAAGTATTACCTAAATTACCACATGCTCGGCCAACAGCTGCACGATCATTTAGCTCTTTCATAAGTTTCAAATTTTCTCTGTAAATAAATCATTTATTTTATAAATAAAAATATACTTAAACATAATTAAGTGTATTGAATTTCAATTAAATTTACTCATAGTATTTAACAGCTTGTTCTATGCAAACTTTAACTTCTTCGGGAAATTCTCCAGGATCCTGTTGACCAACTCTACCGATATGCTTTCCTTTCGCATGATATACATTACCCAAATTATATAATGCTCTACCTTCACTTAACTGTTAAAAATAAAATTAAAAAACAATAAATAGCAATCATATTATTATAACAGACAATATAATAAACTATGTACATTTCTATTTCTATTTATATAAGTACTAACTTTATCTCCAAGTTCTCTAGCAATTTCTAAATGACGTTTACAACATATCATAGCTTCATCAAAATTTCCCATTACTTTTAATGTATTTCCAAGATTTCCACTGGATTTAGCTTCACCTGGCTTATCTCCTAAAGTTCTAAAAATATAAATAAAATTAACAAAAAAATAATAGCGGCGTTACTAAGTAAAATACTATATTTTGGTATTCATTCCATTATTGTCAAATATAACAAGTGATTCTAAACATTCTTATTTTAACGTGTTATTAATAGATTAATGATTTACATACTTAGAAGTGAAAAATGTGTCTTATTAAAATGTAATAGCAAAAAATAAATTTGGTGGCTTGGTGCAAGAAAAGCCAAAAGTCAACATTTTTATAAAATTTGTTTATATGATTATTGTCATTTTTATTTTCATTTTTTATATAAACATATAAAATAATATTGTCAACATTTTGACTGACATTGGCCCTTCTTGCACCAAGCCACAGAATTGTACTTTATAGTATATACCTTGCTAAAGCTAAATCTAGTTTATGAAAATGTAATGCTTTTGGATAATCGGCCAAATAAAAATAAGCATTTCCCAATTGGCTATAAATGGCACTGAGGGTACGCAAATCATTTGTTCCTGCTTGAACAGCGGCTTGAAAAAACGCTACCCCTGATCTACAATCTCCAGCTTTACACAATCGTTCACCTTCTAGGGCCAACTCCAAACACATATTGCCAGCATCTCTTGGATTCTAAATTAAAAATTTTAATTATTGAATGGGTAGAAAAGTACTGTAAAACAACTTATTTTACTTACTTGTTCTTCCAAGTTATCGGCCATAACGAATAAAATATTTGAGAAAATTAAGGCGTTGACACTTATATAACTAAGAGAGTGATGAAAATAACATAGTAAAACACAAAAAAATAAAAACTAGGTAGATATTAGAACAGTTTATGCATCAGATAAAAAGTAACACCATAAAATATGCGTTTAATTGTTTGAAACTTGTTTAATATAGGATAAATTACTAACTTTAATTAACCATATTATTACTATCTTTATAATTTCCAGATGAATGGAGAATGCTTATGGACTTCAAAACTAAAAATTGAGGATGTAAACAATTCGTTAACCAATTGAAAATTGACGATAACAAACATATTATATTGATAACATTCTCGAGATATATGGGTTATGGTCACAGATTTTAAGGGATAACACAGTTACCACGAATGTTGCGTGCTACGATGTTATGTTACTCCGACATTTTTGTTACGAATGACAATTGCTTCGACGACAATTGACTCGAATACATTAACAACGAAAATATGTTTTCGTTAATTTTTTTATGCCACGATTTACAGTTACATCTAGTTCCATTTTTAATTATTGCTTCGAATTACATTTACCTCGAATTCCAGTTACATCGACATGACTTATCAAAAAATCTTAATGTTATGATTTCGCTATTTTAAAGGACATTTACATTGATAAACATTTTATGGACCTTAAATTCCATTTACACTGACATGACCCAACAACTAATTTATATAAAACTATAAATAATAAATTGATAAACTGTAAAATTGTAATACTTATTCACTCTGTTACTTTATCGATACAAATATAGTATACTTAAGGTCATTTTATCAACTGCTTGTTAAAATAATTTAAACTTTATTTAATGTTAATCGTTGTTAAACTAAAAAATTGACTTTATCTATTTGACTCTTTCGGTTAAATTTTAGCTGAATATTAATCACAGTTAGTTAGCATATTATAGTTAGTTAAAAACTTTAAACTGAGAATTGAGATTAGTATCAATATTATCAAGTAATATTTAATTTTACTGAAATATCTACTATCTATTGTTTTATAATATAATATTCCTATATTATTATTAGTTATTTGCTTGCTTTTACACACTTAAAACCTTTTATCGAATTATAGTGATGAGGTATACTTTATGATTGCATGTAACAAAACATAGAATTAACAGTTACATTGTAGGTAGTTATTTCAATGTAACTACCAATTCAATTCAAAACGGATGCTTAAATTATAAATATTGTATTACCTACACGTTTGATATAAATTGTATGCATATTTAATTCTAGATGACTGAAATAATTAGATTAGTAGCAGTAGTAGCGACCATAATAGTGACGCAGAAGTTTATTTTTTAGGTTATATTATAAACCAATATTTCAACGAAATTCGAAGACCTTGTTTATTGTCGACAAAAATTGACCACATAACCATATGGGATGACCAAGATTTTTTCGCATGTATTCATCTGAGTAAAAACAAGTTTAAAATTGTTCAGCAAGAAGTAACTCAAAGTTAAAATAACATTAAGGGGACCGCAGCGTGTTTTTTATAAAAAAATATTAAGTATAAATATCAAAGAAATAAAAACGCCACCCCATTGATAAAGTGTTTCCCTATACATTGTGAGAGTTTAGTAAATCTACCCCTTAAAGGGGTCGGAGCACAACTAGTTTTCATGCATTTTAGCGGTGCTTAATTAGACATACTTCTCGATGTTGGATTTTAATTTTTAAAGTATGTGTGGATTTGTTGTCAAATTGTCTGGGTTTCTTAGGAAGCCCATTTTTGATTTAAAATTTTATGCCTAAAATAAATTCAAATGTAATTCGGGAATAAATTATCATTGAATTTTCAAAAAAATAATTTTGGAGATCTTCAAAAGAGAAAATTGCAAATTGCCTTCCTAAAAAACCTAGACAATTTGTCGAGAAATGCATACATATATTAAAAATTAAAATCCAACATTGGGAAGTATGTCTAATTAAGCACCGCTAGCAGATGATATTTACCAATATAAAGTTAACAACATTTTTATTTTAACGTTGTAACTTACTTTAATTTATAATTATTAATAAATAAACCTTCTGTTTATAAAACCCACTTTACTTAAACTAGGATTAAATTTGATTGATAAATTCAGAATTTTTTTAATCTCCGATTAATCTTAAACCGAGATTAGATAAACGACATTTTTACCGCCGAATGATAAAATTGTCCTTAACACTATATTGAAAATTTATCTTTTTAATAAAAATAACAATAATGTATTTATAATAGTAATAAATTTACGCTAATGAGGCAATTTACAATTTGTTTACAACAAGTTTTACAATAATTTATTTAAATATGTACAACAATATGAAATAAACTTGTCAAATGATTTACCAATTACAACTAAAATTGTAGAGAAAAATAAAATAAGTATAAAAAACTTGTAGAGTTAATAGAAGACTATAAATAAAAAATGTAAATAATAAATAAGCTAAGTTTAAAGTGCTTATTGAGAGCACTCAAAAAGCCAACATTTTGAATTGAATTACACGAGTTATAATTCGGTTTACTGGACCGAGATAAATTTGTCGTTGTGTAGAAACGTAAAATTGCGTATAAAATCGTAAACTAATATTTAGTACAATAAATGAATCCAATCATCATTTTTCAGAACAGTCTTATATTTATATAATTTATGATATAGTTATTTATTTATATGATATATTTAAAAATATATCATTTAAATTCTGTCAACATAGTATTTTATAGACGATTCAATAATTGGCTTTATTTTCTTAAAACTTTAAAAAGTAAAAAATATAGGAATAGTTTCTGGATCGATTTTACAGATTGCTAAGGAGACTATGTTATAATTCAAAATAAAAGCATATTCAAGGACTGACCTAACCAAATTTTAGTAGGTTTAATGTGATTTATGCATTTTGTATTGTTAACATTTTAACACAGGGCCGGATTTATGGAGGAGTGGGGCTCCCGTTAGGTTGTTAGGGGGGGGGGGGTCACCATTAAAATTGGTATGAGCGTTAAAAAAAACAATACCAAGTAACATTTTGTAAGTTTTACAAAAGACAACATAATATAAAATTAAAATGAATCTCCATGGACACGCATATTCTTTATAATAATTTGTTATTTACAAAATAAATGATTGTAGAAATGATAACATTTTACTGATACTTATTATTTTCAATAATGAATATTATAATAATAAATTTAAAAATATTAACAATTTAATAATATTTTAATTGTACGTCGGTGATTCATTTTTGTTTACAACAATTTTTGTTTTAGAAATTAGATTATATGTAGATATAATAACCTATAAAAATTCTCTATAATCTATATATTTTAGATTCTGTAAGATTTCTCATTTTAATTTTGATAGAATTATTATTATAAATAGTAAATACATAATCATATACAACGTGATTGCCACCGCCACGTACATTGTAACACGCAAACGACTAATAAAATCATTTTATTTTCAGAAATTAATAATATTATTAAAATTATCTGTTTTGACAAAAAAAAAAAATAAACCAAATATTTATAATCCTAACCAGTATTAAAATTATAGGATAAACTGTACTTAAATTTTACCCAAACTACTATAAACGGCCGTTAATGATATTTTCTAAGTACTAAAAATGTAATAATTATGAATGATTTTAAAAATCTCAAATATATATATTATGCTTAAAATTTGTTTGCTCTAACCTCGACAGAATATTTAAAAAATAATTACACTATCTAATCACTAAATGGGATAAAGCTACATTTTAATGTTGTTAATTATGTTAATTGTCTTTTTTCGATCTTGAAAGATCCCATGATGTTGTGAGCCCTGGGTGAGCGGGCCATGGTCCTTTCTGGTATCCCTTAATCCATTATGTTGCGATATAGTGCCTAGTTAATATTTACTTATTTGTATAAAAAAAATTGTTTATAAAATTCTTCTATCTTTTTTGATTAACTTTTCTATTTCAAATGTATAGCCTACTGTATTCAATTATGTATGTCATCTAATTAAACATAACCCTTACAATGCCCTTGCCAAAGGTTTTTAACCAATAATTAAAAGAAAGATGTACTGTAAATTAAAATGTGCAATTAATAATAAAGAATACACTATAAAACGTAATTAATGAATTTAATATAACCCGATACAATAACCCGATTCTGTCTTTAAATTTATCAGTAGTTAGTCAAAAACTTTTGTGTAGAGTTGGATTTAGTTGCGGAATGGACAGTGTTCGGCCCATTACAGAAATTAACTCATTCGGCCCACAATACAGTTCTAGCGACAACTATATTTAAATAGTTATTTGTAATTTCCCTGTTTGTACACCAAACGAGTTCCAAATCTAAGACATACAAATACTGACAATAATATATAATATATTTTCATTATACAATCATAGAATTCACGGAATAGTCGGTGCCCGGTGGTCAAGTATTCTTATCATGTATAGTCGAAGTAAAATACTTTCGTGGTATCACAATATCGAGTTAACTGTTGTATGATTCATTTAATTACTTTACGATGTCGGAGTATGTTAAATTCGGACTAACCGTCTAATCGTAGCAATTGTATATTCGAAGTAGATTATATTCGTGGCAAATGACTGATAAAGCAATGTCGGAGTAACTACAAGTCGTGGCATGCAACATTCGTGGTAACTGTAGCAACCCGATTTTAATAATAAAAGATTATTATCAGGGGTTACTGGTTAGGGGTTTTAAGTAGTTGGTATGAAATGTCCATGATATTTTAACCGAGATTGTTAATTTTTTAATGCTTGGTATTGAAAATTGAAATATATAAATAAATTTATTTATATTTATAAATAAATTATTCAAATGTATTTTTTTGTTATAAAATTGTATTCACGGTTGTAACACACAATAGATATACCTAGGCAAATGTGTGGTTGTATAGTTGTAACCGTACTTGGTTGTTACCTTTATTTTAGGGAAAATTTTTTTAAATAATACCAGTATATTTATATACACTGAATGATAACAGAATAATTCTGTGGCATATACATTTTACATCGATTTTAACATACCAATTAGTATAAGGTCTATGGGTTATAACGAATTAATACCATTTGTATTTTGTAGAAATACTGTATGGGTGGCTGGAGACCTCAACTGCTTGCCGAATTCAATTGGCGAAAAAATAAAAACTAAAAATTTATCTACTTTCATTTAAAGTTTAGTTCAATTTTTGTGTTGTATATTAATAATTTATCGATAAGCTGATATTTGTGAATTTTTATCTGAATGTAAATTATTTATAATTTCAAAGATAGAACATTTAAAATACCTTCATTGCAATATGTGGAGAAAAATATTAACACCAACATACAAAACACATAGACAATTCTCAGATTTTGTACAACAGTATAATGCAAACCATATTCCTACTACACCAATACAGAAAATGATGTTAACGGTTGGTTCTGCTGCAGTCTCATTGCTGGATCCCCGGAGAGCTGGTATAAACAAAAACAAAACAAAAACACATTGTTTATGCATAATGTTGGTATGGTTTTCAGATATGATTGCAACATTAGGAGAAACTACAGGTACAATAGCTTTACAACAGATACGTGACAAAATGTTAAACAATCCAGAAGGAAACGATATATTACAGTAATAAAAAATGTTTTAATTTTATATTATTTTTTGTACCTTAATACTAGTTAATTTTTTCTTTTTATAATATTTTAACTAATTATGACATAATTTTAAATACTATAGAAAGCTCAACTACTTGATAAATAAATACAAATATATTGAATTCCCAATTAAAGTGTCTAACATCTTCTTGTACTTTTAAAATTTACTATGATTTATTGTTTTTTATAAGACATGATTTCATTTTGTTTTTGAAGGAATCAACCTCGCATAAACACTACTACAGTTGATTTAACTAAGCTTCAGCATCTTCCAGAAAATACATTGGGTTTTGCATATTATACATTTCTAAATCACAATGTATATTATAAATTCAATAAATACTGTATAAAATAATGGTTCTGATTTAGTTTTTTCTTTTTAGAAAGTTACTCCAGATTCAAGAGGAAGCGTTCAGTTTATCGACGATGTTCAATTAGCATATGTCATGCAACGATATAGAGAAGTACATGATTTAATTCATACAATATTAGGAATGCCGACCAACATGCTAGGTAATATGTAATTGAAAAGAAATTATTTTATATTAAACTACTTTTTTTTTATAGGAGAAGTTACAGTCAAGTGGGTTGAATCATTCCAAACAAAATTACCTATGACATTAGGCGGTTCACTATTTGGTGCAATACGACTGAAACCCAAGTAAAAAAACATTTCATTATATTATATTAAATAACAATGTATACAAAATAATGTTAACTTATTTGTTTTTAAAAGGCAAAGAGAGCAATACGTGAAATATTATTTGCCATGGGCCATTCAAACTGGACTTAATTCCAATTTTATGCTAAATATATATTTTGAAAAAAGATGGGAACAACCAATTGATGAATTACAAAAGGAATTAAACATTAAACCACTAGAATTAAATTAAAAAAGATCAATACAAAATATAATGTGTCATGTATTATAATAAATTAGTTATTTTAACCACTAGAGTAAACTACTATAATAAAATATAATACATGTATAATGTTTATTAATAATAACTGATTTATATCAAAATGTGATTTTAATTGTTTTAAAGTTTAGCAAGGAGTTAATATTTTTATTACAGTCAATAAAATAAGTTGCAATGTGTAAGCCAATTAATGTATTGGTAACTAATAGTTTGTATAAATGGTCAATGGAGTACATATAAGTAGAAATAGTTTAGATATTTGTTACAATATTGCATTATAAATACGCATCATAAATGGTAATAGTGAATTTCAATTAAGTATATTATTTATTAAATAATAGAATTGACAATAATCGTAGTTGTTTTCACTGATGTAATAAATCAAAATTTAGAAATTATTTAGGATTCGTAAGTAAAATTAAAAATATATTTATAAATGTATACTTTCGAAGCTTAATTATCAATTGTGATAATTTGTAAATGGTAATTTCATGGATGAAAATATATAATTATTTTATCCATTTCGTGTTGCATTCAAATTTGTAAATTTAATGTTTCGTCATCATGTAATGAACCAATCACGGGCCATAAAAATCACAGATATATATAATAAATATTATTATATATATCTGTGATAAAAACTTACTCTGTGATAAATTCTTTTCTTATGAAATAAACATATCATCCGTGATAAATTAAATAGGTAAGTCTGCTAATTGTGATAGCCGCGATAAGGACAGCTGTGTATTTCTTATGGGAGTAAACTAGCACCCATACTGTAAAAATATATATCATAGGTTGCTAACATACCTATATTTCCTAATCTTTGGTATTATCATTATAGCATATGTTGTATTATCAATAAAGTAAATAATAAATAACATAAAACTGAAAATATTTGAATATGTCAATTATACCTTAACTTGTCTTTAATAAATTCTCAAAAACTCAATTTTCCGTAAAAGGATCGATTATAGTATTATAAAGGTATATTTGTTACCTATAACAAGGTTATCAGAAGTTCATTTTGTACAACTTGAAATTAGTGGGCATGTAGGTATTTTATATATATATATACATGTTTCATTGACCTTATTACCCTAAATGGGTATCTATAAAACTCGAATGTTTAGTTACTTTAGTTTGTAAGCCTTTAAAATTAAATTTATCATTCATATTGTATTTTTTGTAGTCTAGAAGAACCATGAGTGGACAATTTACTCCAGGCAAAGTGCCATCAGCGCCCAATCAGGTTCACTATACTAGTGTGCAGCCAGCAAGCCCATTTACTCCGCAACCCGAGTGTAAAATTCATAAATAATTAATTTTATAAATAATATTTTCAAACGTATTACGTTTAACTATTATTTTTATAGATGTTAAAGCACCTCGTGAAATAATTACTACCGTTGTTCCTGTGGGTCCTCATAGTACTCGAATGGTGTGTATTAGTTGCCGTCGAGAAATTACTACACATACTGCTAAAAAACCAAGTATAATGGCCTATGTTTCAAGTGTGGTGTGCTGTGCATTTGGGTAAAGTAATTTTATTTTTATAAGCTAACATAAATATCAGAGTTAGCAAAAACAACCTTGTAGGGCTAATCCCAGCAAGTTTTGCATTGCCCAAATAAACTGGGTCGGGTTCTCAAAAACTAATGCCGGTTATTTCCAACTAATAAATTTTAATTTAAGAGCAAAAATATAAACTTTTATCTAAAAATAAACAAAACTATTAAACATTGTTTTAAAAAAAATTTAAATAAAGAAAATCTTAAAAACTAATCCTAGGACAAATGTACATGCAGATTATTTTTACAGAAAAAACAAAAACGTTTGTGTTTATATTATTATGTAATTTAATATCTAACAACTCTGTACAAAAAAAAACCAAACATCTTTTAAATGTTAGCATTGATTACAAATTTTGCCGCAGAATGTCTTTAGCTTGCCAGTTTTTTGTTTTTAATCACCTCTATCTTTTGTGTATAAAGTAAATTAATTTGAAATAAATATTATAAAATTATTAATAATAAAAGGTTACCCTGCAAGAGTACTACAATTTGGTGTTATTTACAAATTACGAGGCTATTAAAAAAAAAGTAACTAGATGTTTTAAAACAATTTTAATTTCAAATTTAGATTAAGCAAATAAAGTAGGTGTATTTTGTTGGTTCTTGTTCCAATATTGTGTAGTACAGCTGTTTGAAGCTTTCACTTAAAAGAAATAATAATTTATTTATATCAAGTATTAACAATTGAGGTAAATAATAAATATATAGAATGAATTTCTTATAGATTGACATTGTATTATATATTTTAAAAGTTATAATAACTAGTTACTTTTTTAGAAAAAAATAATTTTTTTCTTTAGATGGTCCTACTTCTAATGCTTCAAATAAGTCGTTTGAGATTTTTAGCTCGTTTATAAAGTCTTTGTAGTTGGGATAGTGGATAATAAGGTGATCTACCGTAAAGGTTGACATATTTCAGAAATTATTTATTCCATGAGGTGGCTATATGACCTATTTATAATCGGCTAATTATAATAACTTCATCCCTTTTAATCATTGGTGTAAGCTTAGGCTAACGTTTAATGTTATTTTTATTTCTCTCAATTTGTTTTCAATCGATTATGCAGTAATTCTTTATGTTTGCTATATGTCTCTTAACAATACATAAGAAAGTGTTCCAAATGTTCAGTTTACTATTGCGTTACGTGCTGCTTCATCAGCTTTATCATTACCCTCAATATTGCAAAGTTATAAGGGCCCTTGTGAATTGTATAGTTTTGTAGCTTAAGAAATCTGGTTACAAATTTTAATGGATAAAATGTCCGAGAATTACTAAATTTCTAAGAATATGTATGTTTGTCTCCTATAGGAGGTATGACAATATTAATATATATTAATTATGCTTTTGTGTGTCTGTTTATTAGCATTTTACACAAATTATTTATTGATGAATTCGTTACAGATGTTTTTGGGGACCATGTTTAATACCTTTTTGCATGGATTCATGTATGAATGTGGAACACAAATGCCCAGAGTGTAAAACTTTTTTGGGACAATATAGACGATGAATACTTGAAAAAAAACTATTTTAATCAGGGATGGGTTTTCTGACTTTTTAAACTATTAGACAATCTTCAACACTGAGAAACTAAAGCCATTTTAAACCAGTTAAAAAAACTCCAAAATTAATAAAATGCGGATTGGTTTTTAATATTAAATTGAATAAATACTAAATAGTTTTTTTTTATATGTGACCTATTAAAAAATATTAGTTAAGTTATCATAAATCATAATATACCTATGTTAAAAAGTTGGAAATGTTGCTTTAAGTCACCCACTCTGAAAGTTTTATAAATGTGTTTTCACTTTTAATACACTAATGACTTCTTGAGCAGCTTAAGAGTTAATAAATATATTTTTACACTTACTAACACTTAACTGTCCAGTATTACGACATTAAGACTTATTTTTTGCCTTGTTTTTATTGCCATTTTTTAATAGTTATGTAATATTTAAAAATTATATTTTATAATGTAAAAAAAAAAAAAATCAAAAATGCATCACAATGTAATTTAGTTACCTGCATTAGTATATACTTTTAAATGTTTTCTGTTTGCAGTTATATTTTTGTGTTACACAAATCATGTTGTATGTTTCTATTTTCTTTATAAATTTATTTTTGTTATGACTAATAAAGATTATTTAAAACAAAAGGTGTTTGTTTATTTTGTTTTATGGTATATAATATGTTAAGATATAATATTAATACATTTCTTTGCTGTATGGGTAAAGCAATTTCACCTCTTTCCAAAATAATAATAATATTATTATTACTTATTATAAATTGTTTTATATTTGTAAATAAGGAGCGCAGAAAAGCTTAACTTGAAGAAATTAAATTTTAATAATTATGGCAATATTTTTTTTTTTATATGATAATAATCAATTATGCTTTGCCGAGCGACAAAAAGTCAGTTGACATAACTGTATTTTATTATCAATGACAAATGTCCGATAAAATAATTTTCCGAGTGTGACTCGATACATAATGTTATCTTATATTTTTTTTCTTCTGTATACGAATATGTCGAAGCCATTATACATATATATTGTGTACTTATGTAGGTACCTAAAACCGGGTTAATTGGGACTTTAAGGGTAGCTTGGGACTTAGGTAAAACACTATATATTCTTAATATATATTGTTTTACTCATGTCCAACTAGGAAAACTAGAAAAACTAGAAAAGTTTTTCTAATTTTTCTAGTTTTTCTAGTTTTTTTAGTTTTTCTAGTTTTTCTAGTTTTTCTAGTTTTTCTAGTTTTCCTAGTTTTTCTACTTTTTTTAGTTTTTCTAGTTTTATTAGTTTTTCTAGAAAAGATAGAAAAGCTAGAAAAACTAGAAAATGTTTTCTAGTTTTTCTAGTTTTTCTAATTTTTCTAGTTTTTCTAGAAAAAATTGAAAAACTAGTGAAACCTGAAAAACTAGAAATCCTGAAAAAATTGAAAATTTAGAAAAACCAGAAAAAAATGAAAATTTAGAAAAACTACAAAAACTAAAAAAAATTGAAAAACTAGAAATCCTGAAAAAATTGAAAATTTAGAAAACTAGAAAAACTAGAAAAACTAGGAAAACTAGAAAAACTCGAAAAATTGAAAAACTAGAAAATTGGAAAAAATTGAAAAACTAGAAATCCTGAAAAAAATGAAAATTTAGAAAAAATTGAAAATTTAGAAAAACTAGAAACCCTAAAAAAATTGAAAAACTAGAAAAACTAGAAATCCTGAAAAAATTGAAAATTTAGGAAAACTAGAAAAAATTGAAAATTTAGAAAAACTAAAAAAACTAGAAATCCTGAAAAAATTGGAAACCAAAAAAACTAGAAATCCTGAAAAAATTGAATTATTTTTATAAGCTAACATAAATATCAGAGTTAGCAAAAACAACCTTGTAGGGCTAATCCCAGCAAGTTTTGCATTGCCAAAACACTATATATTCTTAATATATATTGTTTTACTCATGTCCAACTAGGAAAACTAGATTTTTCTAGTTTTTCTAGTTTTTTTAGTTTTTCTAGTTTTATAGTTTTTCTAGTTTTCCTAGTTTTTCTACTTTTTTTAGTTTTTCTAGGAAAGATAGAAAAGCTAGAAAAACTAGAAAAACTAAAAAATCTAGAAAAACTAGAAAAACTAGAAAAATTAGAAAAACTTGAAAAACTAGAAAAACTAGAAAAATTGGAAAACATTTTCTAGTTTTTCTAATTTTTCTAGTTTTTCTAGTTTTTCTAGAAAAAATTGAAAAACTAGTAAAACCTGAAAAATTGAAAAACTAGAAATCCTGAACAAAATTAAAATTTAGAAAAACTAGAAAAAATTGAAAATTTAGAAAAACTAGAAAAAATTAAAAATTTAGAAAAACTAGAAAAATTAAAAAACTAGAAAAACTAGAAATCTTGAAAAATTGAAAAACTAGAAATCCTGAAAAAATAAAAAAATTGAAAAACTAGAAATCCTAAAAAAATTGAAAAACTAGAAATCCTGAAAATATTGAAAAACTAGAAATCCTGAAAAAATTGAAAAACTAGAAAAACCAGAAAAAATTGAAAAACTAGAAAAAATTTGACTCACTATTGAATGTGATTAATATATTTTTGTATCATTTGTTTTTGTTTCTAATTTTCAAATAAAAGTGTATTTTGCTTAAAGTGAGATAAGACTAATTACAATTATTTATAATAAACTTAATACAATTAATTCAATATTATTTTTGAAATGATATTTAAAAATAAATTCATCATAGGGTAACAACAGGCACTACCCCCAATTATTGGCAATATAGTGTTTCTTTTTTATAACACAGTTATTACATCAAGATATTTTATAATTTATACCATTAAGATAAATTGTTTTGACAAAACTTCATTAAAAAAACAATATATTTTATCTGTGATGTAAAAAAACAAAGCATTGTCAAAGTCAGGATTTTAGTGTCAATAACTGGTGCCATTACCCTAGTAAGAAATAAACACAATTTTTAATTTATATATTTATTTATTTAGTACAAATTTATAATTTTTTACAATATATTTCAAATAAGGTATCTATTATTTTGTAAGAACACATGATTAAGATGGTTTTACTTGAAGTATACATTTTTTTGTAGTGAAAAAATACTTTACATCACATTTTTATAACTAATACTGTAACTGTTTAAATAATAAATAGCTTATGGTTTAATAGCTCTATTATAACTATTATTCTATCGTCAATTCATATTATATCCACAATTTTTTCACAAATCCAATACGATGACATCAATAATTATCAATGAACCACATCAAAATCAATACAGCTTTTCACAATTTTTCTTTGGTTGTACAAATAGTTTCTATTTTAGATACCTACTCACCTAGTTTTTATTTATAGGTATACATTTAATTTGAACGTTCAAATCAACTTAATTATATAATTGTATCTGCAGTCTAGAAGGGTCGATGTGTAACACAGGTATACAATTATGAATAATATTCAAAATAAATTACATATTTTGAATTATTTTGCTATAGTTCAAACTTTTAATAGTCTGTAAAATATATTTTGATATTTACAGCATTTGAAAAAAACAAATATATTATTTTATTATAATAACATAATGGATTTATATTATATTAAAATTAATTTTATTAGTATTACAAATAAATATTATTAAATGCACGTTATACAATCTACTGAGTTTATATAAAGTAAATAGCGTTTATATGATTTCATTGATAAGACTGTTCTTCACTATACTTTCTTCGTTCTTCTTAGTCTAATTATATAATTGCAATCCATGAATGTAAGCTGAAACAATGCGTTGTAAATAGTTTAGCAGGTATCAACAAGGTTGAGTTAGTAGGTGTGTATAAACTCAAATGTGTATAGATTAAAATGTGTAAAATGTGATGCATGCATAGTACTGTTTATAGTTGTAAGGTACTTGTTTTATTTGTTGATAACTTAGGATAAAGAATATTTATTTTTCATATAAAACAATTTATACATAATTGTAGTATCGTAATACTACAATACTACAATTATTTAGATTTTTAAACTATCTCTTTTTAACTAGTTTATTTATTATTTGTTTGATTTTACCTAAGTGAGTTGCATAGTCATCTCTTAATGCTAATATGTCTTTATTCAAACCAGATATTTTAAATTGATTACTTTTTAAGCGTCTAATATTAACCCTTAACCACTCATGTGAGTTAAAAATTTACCCCAGTTACATAATATAGACATGTGACTGATGTAAAAAGTTTACCCAAGTCACACTTAATTGAAGTGTGACTGAAAACAGCAAGAGTAATGAAGTGTTAAATATTTATCAGTGTATGTATACGCTAATCAATTTTAATGCTAATAAATTATTTCAACTTTTACTCTTTCTTGTAATGGAATTGGCAGAAATATGATGAATAAAAGGTTAGGCTATCAAACACGAGCATGTTGAAGGAGCCCCAGAATGTTGGTCGTATTCAATGAAAATCTAGCCTCCTTAAAACGTTTGAACCATACAAAAGTTACACAATGACTTAAAAAAAAATCTCTAAAAATCAACTCAAGTCTCTTTTTTAATAGTTTTTAAAACCTTTTCCAATTATTACAAAATATTTTCTATCATAGAATCGCGGTTTTGTATAATATTTATAATTTTGAACATGCACTGTAAATAACTAATTTGAAATAATGACTTTAGTTATAAACTAAGTACTGAAAATTATCTCTATTTAATTTCTATAAAATTAGTGTGTTTTAACATTAATAGTTTATCGGTAGGAATTTTATTAGTCTGGGTATTTATTAAACACACCTTGTATGTAATGTATACTATTGATTTTTAATACAGTAGTTTATAATTAAAAAAAATAGTAACTATTGTTAATATTGAAAGATAAATTACACATGCAAAAAATGTATTTAAAATAAAAGTTTTTTTTTAGATACTGGTTTTTCATAAACTTTACAAATAGCAATAGTTTTGTTTGTTTTGTGATAGATTTAACATACCATAGATGGACAATGTTCAAATCATATTGTATGAAACTATTTTTTTTAAATTTCATAAAGATATGATATCCAAAAATATGTTTAAAATAGTTAAGTACACTTAAATTGACGCAACAAATACATGGAAATGTTATATCTATTATGTAGCTGAATGTTACATTAGTGTCTTTTATTTTTAATATTAATATCTATTATCAATAATTCATTACCATGAGCATAAGCCTATTGGATCCAGCAAATTAAACATATTATACATGTAGTAACCACAAAAAAAAAGCAGTCAGAAAATAAAATTATGAATTGGTAGAAAACATTTCCTTATAGTTTATATAGCCATTCTGTGAGTATGGAGTATGGAGTTAAAATACCTATACGTTTTTCTTATAAATAATTGTAGATAAATAAAACATGTAAATCTAACTAATATTACAATATTAATTATTCAAATTCATCAAAAAATATTACATAGGCTCAGCAGAGGTATTACGCTATCAACAACTGGAAATTATAATTTTATTGGTAAACAAACCAAAATTATTTTAATGTAATAAACCACTATTTCCAATGTTTATTATTTCCATAGGATATTTACATTTTAGAAAAAATGATAGTTGGGAAAAATGGTATTTGGTATTTTTCAATTTTATTGAAATACAAACATTCCCAACGGACAATTTACCTCAAATTCACTTTTCCCAATAAACAATTTTTCCATAGGAAATGTGGTCGTTGGAAAATATATAAATTGGGAAAAGTGGTAGCAACCCGATAAATCCATCTTGACTCTATGGGTGGGTTATCTATAACATAACATAACCGTACTTCATGATTTTGTGTTAGATCAGACCACGGAAATACTTTGTTATCACAAACATTTTTTATTTTTCTAAATTGTAAATTGTAATTACACTCAAGTTACAGTTGTAAACTTAATATTTACAGCAATTGAACTATTGGATAATTTATTGTAAATATCAGTTTTATACCTTTTAAAAAAAAAATTATATTGATAATAAATTATTAACTACTAAATTTATGGAGGTACCGTAAATACATTTTTAAAAATGATTCTTTTGTAGCTAAACAATAGTTCTAATAAATTATTTCACTTGTTCTTTGCTTACATTTATTTATAATTAGTGTTTAATGGACTTAATTTTAAAATGAGGAAGTATCAACAGCTGTTCCTAGTGATCATATCGTTTGTAAGCATCTTCTCATTGCTTACCTACAGGTATGAATACATGAAACTTTTAAACGTCCTGGAGGTTCTGAACTTCTTCGGTTACCCGACAGATGGTCTGGCCAATTGTACTATACTAAATGAAACGTTTTACGCCGATCTCGAGAATGATAACCGATTTGCCAAACCACCTGTTACATGGACGAAAATAGATCAATATTTTGCATATTCTGCATTTTGGTCAAATGAAGACAAAATGGCTTTCATAACAATGTTGGGTCCTAAAACGGCCTTCTCAGGATTCGATTGTCGTATTTGGTTTAGACTCGCTGATCATTACATATCCAGCCCAGGATCGTTTTCTTACGATATACTGCCCAACGTCCATAACAACGACTTTCATCAGTACAAAGTTCTTTGTAAGCCAAGCGATGTTCCATTAGATACAACACCCTATGGAATTTTGCTGGGACGAGAAAATTCATTAAAGCTCTTTGTTCCGTTGAGAACACAAGATGAAGCCAGACGTGATAACGACAACTTGGTAATTTGTGTTGCACCAGATTATTCTGGTGTACCGGATACAGATTTGGTCGAGTTTATTGCCTATCATATCTTATTGGGCATCCGCCATTTCATCATCTATGATATTGGAATCCACCATCAGGTCTTAAATTTCTTACATTCAATCGCTGGCCGAAAAGGAATACATAAAACTTTGTCTACCCTCTCTTGGCAGTTTCCAGTTGTAGACAATGATTTGGAAAAGTCAGTTTTACTCAAAGATTGCACAATGAGGACACAAGGTCTAACCAAACATAGGATTTTACTATCATGGAATGAATATCTAGTGTTTAATAAAGATAGACATTTCATTAACATCGATCAAGATGACACAGACTACGCTTTCGAAATTAAAACGTGTTGTTCTAAACGTCAAATTAAGAAATCGTGGCCTATAGCTTTGAGGAAAACTCTTTGTGTACGAACAAATGAAACATTGACAATCGCGAACGGTAGCGGAAAAATGTCAAATCAGTCTCCGTTGATTGCCGGGTCCATTCACAAGTTGGAAGACATGTGTAAAAATATCATAGGCAAAGACGACAAAAGCATGGCTAAATATATGACTGATTTTGTTAATAGCAAACTTTTAAATTTGTGGAAATCTCATGTACAATATTCCATTATGCGTACGAAAAATTATAATACTTTTATAAACTAATCGATAAGTTATTCCTGATTTTGAAATTTTTGTTTTTTTTAATTTAATACATTTTTACAAAAGTAAAAAAAATTACAACTTTTATAGTTATTATTATAGAAACATTACTGTGCCTTTATTTATTTCTCTTTAAATCGGGACTTAGTCTCGTATGTTTTAAATAAAATAATATACATAAAATATAATTAAGATAAAATGAAAAAAACAGTGAAAGTTGGGAGAATTCAACCTAAACGTTGAAAAATCACAGTGTTTAACAGTCCGGCATCCAACAATGTTTGCTCGTTATTGTCTAGTGTTTTCGGTGGGTAGGACGATTGAAGAATGAAGGGTCGTGCCGCAAAACTGGATCTTGCCCTAAATATTAATTAGTTAAAGAAAATTCCTAAAATTCAGGCAATCATAATGCTAGCTCTACACTTTTGCTTCGCAATTCTCACACTGCCTTAGCGAGAGTGTAGAGGTAGTATAAAATTATTGTTAAAAAAAGAAATGTTGTTAAACATTTTTTTGTGATATGAAAAAAGGATACGTTATCAAATAACGACGAACATCACCAATTGTGTGACTTTGGTTAAATGACGCTACTAATCTTGATCCGTCAGCCAATCTTATCTGTAAAGATGTTGTAGGAGCACCTTCTTGTAATGGGACTTCGGCACGAGCAGCTGACTCGTTAGCAATACCATTGTCGGATGGCAAAGTGTCTTTTGAACTTACATTTTCAACAACTTCTGGAGCAGGGCTACAAAAAAAAAAAAATTAGGACATCATAAAAATTGGCTTGCACAACAATTGTTCATGTTAAAAACTAAGGGTACTATTTTAAAAAAAACCTCTATGCAAACCACTTAAAAATTATTTTTATTTTTGAACATGTTTAAATTTTTTATGTAAAACCAACTGGAGCTTTTTTCATTCAATTTAACACAGCTGCTATTTAAAGATGGCCAAAAATTTAAAGTGGAATAAAAAAGGCCACAACGCGACTTTTAAAAAAAAAAAAAACAACTTTAAAAATTTAGATATCGAGCAAAAGTTAATACCTACTTGGCGGTTTGCCATAAACCAAAAAACACATTATTTTACTAAAAACTTATACATATCTGATATGATTACCAATTACAGTTTTGCTGCAAAGTGTTTGTTGAATGCGATTTTATTACTTTTAGCTTTAAATATTCTGGGATCGGTTTTTCCTTAACCAAGCTTTAAAACAATTTTTTTAGTAATTAAAACAGATTTTTGAAAAATGTTTACATGATTTTGTTGACTAGATTTATTTTCAAACTTATACAAAATAAAAAAAGTAACTATCCCTTCTGGAAGAATGAGTTAATAATATTTTCTTAACTTTTAACTGTATACCTATTAGTACTATACCTAAAGAATATTCCGTACAAGTTTGACATCATTTGGCTGTTTTTAAAGACATTTTTTGAGTGCCATAATTTTAAGATGACAACAAGTATATACATTTTTTTAAGTTTTCTTCAATTTTGATAAGGAGGAGGTTTTTTTACAGTTTTAACATTATAAAAGTTCTTTTGGTTAAGATTTTTGATCTATAAACTTTCTCCATTAAGAAATCATTACAGCAATTTATATATTCCAAAAGCTTAGAACGTTTCAAAATAAAACCATGATATACCTTCCTAATAGATGACCAGAACCTCCAAAAAGTTTTTTTTTTTGTTTGGGCGGTGCATATTCTTCAAATCTGTGATCTTCAATGCTGACGTGGAGTTCTTCTTCGCTGGTCACGTTCGCTTCTTTCAATAATAATGGTGGAACTTCCCTAAAATATTGAATTAATAATTAATTATTGTATTAATAACACACTCTCTAACTGGCGTTTGATAGTATGCCACACTCACCCACGGGCCACCAAAAGCAAAAATTCTCGGTTTTCTTGTTGCTCAATGCTGTGCAGTTCACCGTCATTGATGGTGAATCCTTCTTTCCACATCTTTAATACGACTTCTTCTTGTGATTGTCTTGCAGTTTTCTTTGAAGTTGAACTATGAGACGGAATTACTAAACAACATTAATTAAGAAACAATTACATCAAACAATCGAAAATATAAATATAAATTTACCTTCTGTATCAGTTTCAGTTTGACCTAACTTATAGCCAGTGCCGAAGAACGTCGAAGAACCACCTTCCTGGTGGGAACTACCCGCATCACTAGGTGCTGACGAACTGGCGTACCTGATAAATTATAAAAAAATTGCATCACATATCTTTTTTTTTTTTTGTGGAGGAATGGAGGAGTGTATTCTATAAAACTGAAAACCATTGACCTAAATTATAAAATTAAACTACTTTTGTGCTGCTTGAAACATTTCTGTCATGGCATCTGTGTTATTTCTTGGTGGTCCAATAACTTGCTGACCGCTTGTAATCGACCCGCCGGCATAGAATCTTTGACCTTCATCATCGTCGCTATCTTTATCGTCGACTTCAGAATTTTTCATACTACTAAACGTCATTATTCTAAAAATAATTTTTATCAAAATGGTCAGTTTTACTAATTATTTTTGATTATATTAAAATAAATATATCATATTAGTTTACCTGGATTTTGGCTGCCATTTTTTTGGTTTAGAAGCAGATTTAAAACTCGTTGAAGTCATCATGGGTGAATGACTAGTAGCAGGAGCTGCTGGTCTTGGAACGACCGGAGCCGCGGTGTCGCTTATTGGTTCATCATCGGTTCCTTCGTCGTAAAAACTAGCCAATGCAGACTGAAATGTATGTAAAAGATAGAAAAATGTATTAATACAGATCGAATCGGCTACAGAATTAGTACAACACAATTTTGTTTCGGCAAATAATTACATCTAAATTCCACGCGGCCAATTCCAAATAGAATTTTGCTCTTTCCTGATCAACATTAGTGATCCCTGTGAACTCGTTGATCTTGTTGGTTTGCTCCGATTCACTCATTTTAATCGGTTGTAAATTTGAAACTTTATATTAAAAATATAATAAATATGTTGTTGCACGAAAAGCCAACAAAATATTATAAATCACCTTTTGTGTATATGAATGAATTATGTATAATGTATTAATAATAAATTAACAATGGAAAAATATTATTATTATTATTATTATTATTATTTTAATACAACAGATTAGAAATACAAAAACGCTCGTAATCGTATAGCGAATGAATTTTATTTTTGTTATTTAATTCAAAACACTGACGTAACCTTAAATATATCTCAGTGTGACCATATCAAATTTGAAATAATAATATATAATCCAAAACTATACTATAGAACTTTTTAAAACAATACTTAGTTCTAAAAGTTTTACTGTTTATAATTTTTGTTGAATTAAACATTTAGTTGTGTTTGAAAATATTCCAATTACGAAAATTATACAATCTTTTTTTTCTTCTATATAGTGCAACATTGGACTTTCTTAACATTGTCTATTGATATTTGATAAAGCACAATACAATACCTAAGTCTTAAATGTTCGAATAAAGTATAATCTTCGAAGGACGACAAAGTACACAGGTGAAGTGTTAAAACTTCCAAGTTACATTTTTAATATGTGTCTTTAAATGTTCTATGTTCTAACGATAATATTTGAGTAAACAATCGCATACAATTTTTTTAATCGTAACAACATTTACTTACCACCTGAAAACTGAACACAAAACTTCTGCTCGAATCAAAATATTGTTCTTTTGACTTTTACAAGTGTTATAAATTAATAATTCTAAACATTTTCCATCTAGTTTTTTCTGAAGGTAAACCTACTAAAATAAAAATCCAACATGGCTGATGCTTTCGATAAACTTCGCATGATGGAAGACGAGATGAAACAGTAAGTATTTAAAAATGTACAATTATGTTTATACGTCTTCAACAATTTACCAACTGCTCTTGTATTGTTTAGGTTTGAAGAAGAAATTGGTATTCCAAATTATATAGGCAATCCGGGTGTTATCGGAGCCCATACTTATAATCAGATGTCGCAGCGTCTATCAAACTCCCAGAATAATTATTACAGCGAACACGATCCTTGTGCTATGCCGTCCAATCCTGGTAATTTATTGATTTTATTATTGAGTAAAGATATAAATTTACTTTACCCAGACATTTTCATAGCTACAAAAAATTCTAAGAAGTTTGGTTTTAACTCAAAAATTAAAGTTTAAACGAACCTATACCCTGTTCGCCGAGAGTGCATGTTGCGACCTGACAAAAATTGGCCGTTCTACGCATCCCTCCGCGGCATCCAGTGTGACTAGCGTACGCCCCAAAGTCCTCTCAGCGAACAGGGCATAGGCATTGTTTCACTAAAAATGTAAATAATAATAAATATAAAAATTTGTTAAAATAAAAACATAATAATTTATACATTTTTATTTTTATTTAAACGAACTTCCAGTTAATAATTTCAAATCGATTTCTATTATTTTTATTTGTACAATAAAATCAAACACCTATTGTATAATCATTTTCGAAAATATGTTTTTCATCAGCCATGAAAATAATAATATATAATGTTATATATTTTTTAATGTTTTGTCTCCCTCATTGACACAACAAGAGAGGGGGAGGGCTATAAAAGTTCAAATCATTCTAAACTCGTTCAGGCAAAGCCCTCAAGTGTTTTTAATTTTTACCGAAATTTTGTGGACACAAATGTATTACCTTTTATCCATATTTACATGCTCTTGCAGACAAAATTGTATGTGAAACTTTGGGAATTATGATTTTTTAAAAACTGAAATTCACTATTTATAAAGAAAAAACACATTATTTTTTAGATAGTTATTCTATAGTAGGACAACCGAGTTCAATTAATTCTCAACGATACAACAACGGACGACCGTCATATAGCAATGGCCAAATGATTATACAGCAACCGCAAAAAAAATTCAATCTTAAAACTGATAAAACAATAGGGCCAGTGATTCTTAGGTAAGAGATTGATACAACCGAATTACAGACATTGATATATTATTAAAACATTTCCCTCGCCATAATTCTTTTATAGCGGAGCCCCAAAACTCTACACTTCCAAACCAGAACCGCAAATATCTTCGAATGACCTGATGATAAAGCCAGAAGACATAATAAAAATGACTTCCAGTATTAATCCTTTGAAAAAAGAATCCAAAAAGACACAACCCATGATATTGCCTGGCAAAGAGATGGCGGAGGCCGTGAAAGCAACTGCTAAGACCACCGTTGTGTCCGCCGGTGGCAATGCCGTTGCCGCGGCTGAATGTGCGGCTTCAATTCCTAATCAGTCTGCAAAAACCAAAGGGAAAAAGAATAAAAAGTTTGTTCGTACTTCGGGCGGACAAGTATGGGAAGACTCAACACTTGCCGAATGGGATGAAGGTATAACTTTGTGCTGAAATTTATCTAATATAACTTGGCGTTAACGAAAAAGAAATATATGTATTAAACATTATATTTTGTTTTAGATGACTTTCGATTATTTTGTGGCGATTTGGGCAATGACGTTACTGATGAACTGTTAGCCAGGACGTTCAGCCGATACCCTTCATTTCAAAAAGCACGTGTGGTTCGTGATCGACGAACAATGAAGACTAGAGGCTTTGGTTTCGTCTCGTTTAAAGATCCGGCAGACTTTATTAGAGCTACAAAAGAACTTAACGGTCAGTATGGAGTGGGGTTACATTTTTAATTTATAAGAAATATTTTTATTTCTATCGTTTTATTTTTGGTTAAACATAATTGTGTTGTTAATCATGTTGTATAACATAAGCAGTCTCTAAGGGTTAAAGTTTTTATTGAAGTGCGAACAAACAAAATTTTAGATAAATACTTTGTAACGCATACCATTTGGAAAAGAAAAAAAGAATAGGTTAACAAAAAAATGTACAACAAAAACAAATTGAACTATGATAATTGATAACAAATTAGGAATATTCTAATAATTTGAAAACAAGAAAATATCAACTAATGAAAACAAATATTTACACATTTTATTTTTAATGTGCTAATATTTTGTAAATTGAAAGAAGTTAATATTCAACATATTACATTTTTATCTAAATTTATAAATTTAATTTTTTTCTATTTAAAATCTTTAAATGAATATAATTCCAGTTAGAAAATATTAAACACATTTATAATGGTTTTTAATAAGCCTTGTGTTAATTTTTAAAAAAACTATGATGTATTGAATCATTATTTATTTTTTAAACGAGAACTGCTTGGTTTTTTGGTACCAATTATTATTAAAATAAATCTGATTTATGTACTTTTTCCAATGTGTAATGACAAACAAAAATTGGTACATACATATGTTAGTTTTTTTTTAATTTTACCTATCTTAACAGATACCTAACAAATTATTTTTTAATTTCTTATTCATCAGGTCGATACGTTGGAAGTAGACCAATCAAACTACGCAAAAGTATGTGGAAAAATAGAAGTCTAGAGGTAGCCAAAAAGAAAGAAAAAGAAAAGGCTGCACTTATTAACTTGTTGACAGGTCAATCCTCGTGAAATGTTACTTGTAAACTACAACTAATATTACTATTCATATTTTCTGTACATTAATTTTAAAAAAAGACATTTGTTTACACTATGTAAATAATAAAACTGAACCGGTTAAATTGGAAGCCTATAATGTTTGCAGTCATTAACGCTGTCGTACATTAACGTGTTGAAAGTATAACATTTGATAATAAATATTGTATTTAAGTAACATTGATACATTTTTTTTTCTAAACAATATTACCTTTTTTTATTATATGAATATAATTTAACTGGAATGTTATTTTTGACCAAGTCGGTTAAGTTATGTTTAACACCAGACTAATTCACAGTCATAATAATAATTTATTTTTGACAGTTAAACTCACAATAGTCATTATATATAAAAATTATTAACAATATTCTCAAAAATTTCTTTATTATTAAATTTTTTTATTTAAAAGCAACTATTTACCCTTATTTATTATTTAACTTGATTGTATTATAATATTAACAAGTATAATAAAGCAAACAATCATAGTTTTTGACAAAAAAAAGCCAAAATAATAGTTTATTTTTTGTAATAATCGCTGCTTATATTATTATTAAAATGTAATTGAATACTGAAATTTGTTTACAGTTAAGAACTTAGAAGTCATAATCCAAAACATGTTTAAGTGTTACGAGTTATTTGTATTTATACTGATTAAAAAATAGACAATACGTTTCTATACACAATATTAATAATAATACTATTAATATAATTTTTGTGGCTTAGTAAAATATTAGGAATGAAAAATTTTACATAAACGTTGAAAGTTAAATAAAAAAAATATCGCGTGTTTTTTTTCTATTACATTCTTTTTTTTTTTACACTTAACTGTACACATTATTAGTTTATTTAAATGTAAGGTGTGTAGTTATAATTGTTGTAAACATACAAAAAAAAACAAGTTGCCGGCAGCAATTAATTAAAAATACTTTTTAAAAAATTAGGCTGGCTAATCAATATTACTTAATATAAATAAAACTTAAAATATTTTAAAAGTGCAACAAAACAGTAATTTACAAAAAAATAATAATTACCTTAAATAATAAAATAGTTTAAACGAAACAGAAAATCACAGTTTTCGAATAATTTGTCAATAACTAATAAATTAAATAATTTCTCAAAGTCAAATTCAAAAAACAATAAACCAACAATTAACTTTTTAAAAAAAAGTTGTACAATTCAAATATATTATTTTATTTTATTAATCGCTTACAACTAAAATTTATTGTAGTTTTCAGTACTTACAAAAATATTACACAAACAACATAATAATACATAATAATTATAAACATTGTTGGGTAGTATTAACATAAATATTATTAAAATAAAACAATCAAGTATCAACAACAATATTAGTGGTAAAATGTTGATAATTAAAATACTGATGTTGAAAATTTAATTTACATTTTTGTTTGGCAAATGCTAAGTATACGATAATTATGTTAAAAAAAGGACGAAAAAAAATTGTATACACGTAAATTTAACTAATAAAAAAAAAATTGGCAAATTTAACACTTAAACGTCGTGATGTAGGCGTGTCTAATCCGATTGAAAATTATATTATCTTATATAAAATAATAGTAAAAAAGGTATATGATTAAGGAGAAACAATTACACACAATAAGATAATAAAAAGGGGTTTCATAAATACATTTGCTTATCGAATTATAACTTAGATTTAATTTTTTGTTGAACAATAAATTATTGTTCTTGTTAACTTCACTCGTAATTGATTTTCTCAAAACACCAAAGCATTGAAAAACAAAACAGATTATTATTCTCAAATGAAAATTCTAAACACTGTATATACAAGCAGTTTACACAAACTGTAATTATGACATTATTATAATATTTATTAATACTATAGTTGGCGGTTAAAAGGAAGTAACTATTAGGAAAGAGTTAAAGATATAAATGTGACTGTTTTTGACAAATTAGTTTAAATTTAATTAATAAAATACGTAAGCGGAAAAGTGAAAAACTTATATCGCGTTGCGTGGATTATAAACTATCGTTAACATTAACTTGAATAAAAATTTATCGTTTTAATACAAATATCAACGATTTAAATATATAGATAATATTTTTTTTATAATATCTACACGGATATAATATTTTCACTTATAATAGACATTTTTAATTTATCAACAAACCAAATCACCGAGTACAGAAAGGGCATGACAGTTTGTACATTTTGTATCTTTTTGTCTGCCCTTTTTGTGATCGCTGATTCGACTATCGTCTGGATCGTAATTTATCGATACAAATGTACTCTGATCCAAAAGAGAACATACCGGGTATGTTCACTTTTAGAACAGAGTATAGGTCGTCATATTGTAAAAGCCGTTGTGGCCAATCGTAACCTGCATCACTGGATTACAAGTTAACAGTTAGCCAATTTTTAACAACACAATCGTCTATCTGTATACCTAATGGACCGAAGGACACAATTCAATAAAGAAATCAATAGGAACTCAATTATGTGATATTTATGGTAAAGCGAAACCTTGTTCGTAGGACTGTAATATTATCATCTTATCTTTTCGACCAGACTTGATATCCTGTTGCCGTTTTCATCGCGTATCCTGAAAAAAAAAAATATGATGATTATAATTGGGGGGTTCTTTTTGCAACTATCAAATCCAATTCGGCAAATTCCAAACTGTACTTACATCTGGGAAATGTATGCTCAATGGTGTACATGTTTGGGGAACCGGAAGCGCTGGAAGTAGTCTTGCGTTCGTCGGCCGAATTGTCAGACCAGTCAACAACGTTACTGCTGGAAATACAGTGCACCATGGGCTGTCGATTTTGCATATCAGAAAACGTCGATGAAGGCGACAGAGCAGAATCCAAATCAGCAGTAACCGAACTCGACGGCATCTCCGGCTTAGTTGAAGGACTGTGGCCGCTTACGGGACTCAATGTCGTAGTATCGGGCGGACTGCCGACATAAGTGTTGCGGCTAGTGGCCACAAGCAAAGTGGGCGTAGGTGAAATCTGCAACACTCTCTGATGTTGCTGCTGACCGGCTGCAGTTTGTGTGGACACTGAATGTTTGTCGTACTTAGAGCTCTTGTCCGGAGAAGTAGTTATGATGAAATTTCCTGAAGAATTGGATTTCTCCAGTATGAAATTGCCGCACAACTGTTTATCGCCACCAGCGGTCGGACTAGTGATGATGAAACTCTGAGTTTTCTTTTCTGAATTAACGTTGTTCAGTATATAGTGTGTACCGGCGGTGTGATGATGTTGTTTGCTGTCTTTCGGACTCAGGATAAACCCTTGTTGCTTGTTATCAGCCAGAATGAAATGTTGGCCTTGTTTGCAAGTGGCATCAGTGCCGCCTCCCTGTTGGCCGGACACCATGGTCATTTGCTGTTGAACGATAGTGGTGTTCTGTTGAACAACGGTTGTGTTGTTCTCTTGGTTTTGTTGCACTGAACAAGGTACGACGTGGATAAAATCATTGGGCTGATGATGATTCCTGTTGTGGTTGTGCGATTGGTTCGGACTTATATTGGCCAGAATCGGACTCAGTTGACCCACGTTGTTGACAATAAACTGGTTGCTCTGTTGAGGCCTCTGCTGGGTCTGTGCGGGAGCCGTTCTCAACACCATTCCGGCGGGCAGTTGAACGTTTTGGCCAGCGTTTCCAAATGGAGTGATCACGTTCAAATGTACGCCGCCGTCTTGCAAAATGCCATTGTCAGTCATGACGACTCCGCCGAGGTTGGTGGGCATGATGAACTGTTGAATCGCCGGAAGATTGTGCACCAGACTGACCGGTTGTAGTACGTTTGTGATGAGCTGTGGGTTGCCATGGTACTGTGCTGTTTTGTTGGGCAATATCAACGTCTGGACGACAGGCTGATGGTAGTTCTGTTGAGGAGAGTGTAACATCACATTGCCCTGGTTGGGCGAGATTTGAGGAGACTTACGTTTCTTTCCGCCGCCGTTTGAAGTCTTGCGTTTACAATCAGGTGACGACAACAAGTTGGAACTCCTCGGTGAAAAAGCCCCATTGTCTACGCTGCCGGTGGTCACAGTCAGCTGAGGCACTTGCATTTGATCCACGGTCATGACGTTTCCTGGTTGCAGAAGTAAAGCGCTCTGACCGCCTTGCAAAGCGTTCACCAACACTTGAGAAGTACCGGGCGTTTGCAGTTTGGCCGAAGCCATTATCAACTGTCCGTTGCTGGTCAGCAAAATGTGACTTGGTTGAATGTCTTGTTTTTCCGACGATGACGATACTGGCGGCAATTGAATACCACTTACCACATTTTGCACCATTTCTAATGGAGACTTAACAACCGCCGAATGTTGCTGATGTTGCTGCGGTTGACCCGTGATCGGTGATTGGTCTTCCGCCGTGCTCACCGTCACCACCGAAGTGTTGGTCTTGCCTGCCAACACTGAAGTCACAGTGTTGCAGCTTACCGTTCGTCCACTGGTCATTGTGGTCACGTTCGTGGTGAATCTGACGGCGGGTTTCTCTAGCTTTTGATGGCGAATTGGCGGCGAAAGAGGCGAAAACGAATTGGTACTGATCGTGTTGTTCAACAAAGCTGTTTGTTGGGCCAAATAGCCACTGGGATCTTCCAAAAACGAAGGGTAACTTTGTTCTTCCGACGGCGATTTCGATTTCCTACTAAAACTACAACTACTTACAGGCTTGGACGCCGGTTGTTTAACGGTAGGTTTGCGGATAGTCTTTTCTTCGGTTCTTGTCGCAACGACATTATTGTTGTGATGCGAGTGCGATTGTACGGGAGGTACTCGATCTTCAATTGTCTGCTTAGAAGCTTCTTGAACGTTGTTATTGTTTACTTGTTGTTGGTTATTAAACTTGTTCAACTGCCATGGTGGAGTCGATTTGGGTTGAACAGGCGCGGGTGTAGGTTTCGCTATGGTTTGCTGGACGTTTGTTGACTGTGGCTGTTGAACTTGTTTCGTCTGGGGTGTCGGCGGTCTCGCTTGAGCGGGCAAGGCGGGTGTGCGAATACTACTGCAATTAGTTGGGGTATTAAGGTTGTTTTTACAATTACAATTTATGTGATGGCACTGTGGAAATTGATGGTGGGTTGTTGACGGAACGCTGTATTGATATTGCTGCGACGATACATATTCTTCTTTCTGACAGTTACCATTGCTATTGACGTACGATGACCCCGTATGGTAGTTATTCTGGTCGTGGTACATTTGTTGATAGTATTGTTGATGATCGTTCACAGAATCATTTTGCCTCTGAGGCAACTGAAGCTGTGGAAGTGATTGTGGCTGAGAGTGAGATTGTGGTTGTAACTGAATCTGAGGGTGTGGATGTGAATGACCCTGAAGATGAGATTGTGGCTGAGGCTGAACTTGAAGGTTTGGCTGAAGCTGAGACTGGGACTGAAGCTGAGACTGAACTTGAAGGTTTGGCTGAAGCTGAGATTGTGACTGAAGCTGAGGCTTAACTTGATGGTGTGGCTGAAGCTGAAGCTGTGGATGTGGCTGAGCGTGTGACTGAGCGTTTAGGGGTGGATGAGTGTGCGGCTGCTGCTGTTGAAATTGGTTTATTATTTGATTATCGTAACTAGAATTTTGTTCAGCAGGATTACAATACTGTCCGCAATGACTAGAACAATTGAAACTCTTATGAGTTCTTTGGCTATCATAATTATTATATTGCATATTGTTTTGATCACGTTGGAACACATTATTTTTCTGATAGTATTCCTGATTGCTGTCGTCGGTGGTTTGATATTGCTGCTGCTGCTGATGATGTTGGGGCTGACATGACGAAGCATTAGGTTGCATAGTATCGGCAGTGTCATGAGATCTACATTGAGGTGAATTATACCTAAATCCGTTGCGGCACGACTGTTCGTAACCTACTTCGGTACTGTAGTAATTAACGTTATTACTACTAGAATAATGCGAAAGTCTAGGATTCCCTGTATCCATCTGTGAACCCTGATTATTTGGCATCGAGTGTCCATGGGGAGCGGCCGTTCCCGTTCCTTGAAGATTATTCGACATCATTGTAACATTCTGAGAATTGGCCATCATCGCAGCGTTTTGAGGATTAGAGGGCATGACCGTTCCGTGCGAGTTGATCATACTGGGTGAACATTCACTCATCACTGGCATCATTTGAGCATTCAACAACGCCTCTGACGTTTGAGGCAGAAACCTCATTTGGTTGGGTCCGGCCGAAACGTCTGGCCATTGCATCTGCAAAAACAAAACATACATGTTGACATTTTATACAAGTCTAGATACTATGTAGTTTTTGATAAACCGTAAATATTAAACGAGTTTCAAGCCCTGAAATTCAGTTATTCGGTTTGAACGTTTACTCACTTGATTCGACATCGAAGATTGTTGTGAATAGTTTTCTTTTTCCATGGGTTTGTCTTCCTCGTATGGAGGGAATGACGAAAACTGCTGTTGAATATTAGACATTTTCCTTTTCTTTCGATTGTCGGCCAAATCAAATGAATTTTTACCCAGTCTACTGTCGACATTGTTGAACATCATTTTCCTCTTGTGACTACAAAGATTGGTCATTGTGTCCAAGCAGGTGGTAGCAGCAGGCTTTGCCGTTACCTGAAATTTTAAAAACAAAACAAAATTTAATAATTATTAATTATAATCACCGATTAGGTTACTGTAAATAATACATGGCGGCAATTTTACACATTTCCGGGAAAAAGGGTTAATGGTTAATGGTTCTGCAAAGAATATGTATTCTTTGCAGTATTACTACGTATATTATAACTGATGAATACGCCAAACAAGTATGGAAGTAATTGAAATATTTCAATCCAAAAAGTTGTTGCTCGTCGTAATTTTAAGTTTAAAAATACGTACATTTTTGTAGTGTTTTTATCGCTTTTTGTGGGTAAGAGGTGAACTTTATCCATTTTTTGACCAATTAAGTATCATTCATATAGGATTTTAGATCTAAAGACAATGCACAATGTATAAATCGGTTCAGCGGTTTAGAAGATATCGTGGGTCCGAACATAAGACATTAAAAAAAAAAAAAAAACCATCATTGTAAACACGATGGCTATTCAAATTCGTATACTTTATAGATAAAACAAATTAGGGGTCCCGATAAATGTTGGTGGGTTGATTTGACATTTTGACGTTGGACGGATAAAAAATAAATTATAATCGTTAAGTATGCACGTTTGTCTAGGTTTTTGATAGACAAGGGGAATGTAAGTAGGAGTGTCACCTTGAGCGCTTTTTTTTTTGTTTAAATCAAATATGGACTTTTCAAGGTCGAGGATGGTAAAACGACAACGCCTAAACAATTATTAAGAGGCGTTTTGAACAATAAAATCAAGGTCAAATATCGGACAATATTATATCGTGTACCTCGTACACCTATTAAAAAATAAACACAATAAAACAAATATTATTATTATAAAAATCAAATGTTATAACATAGGTAATGTAGGTACATATTATTGTGTTTAAACAAAATTGCTTTTATGTTTGTAATTAAAACACGATTTGTTAATGTAACCGACAATTATTCCATTAATTTCATCATACCAGCTGTCATCAAACAAATAACTTTATAAAATATAATAGTAAACGTTAGTTAATCAAAAATCTGCAAACATAAACTAATTATACGATTATACTCAAATAGCTTATATAGTCGTTTTTTGAAATTGTGATAAAATATCAATTTTTAGTTTTACACTATAAAGTCTTTCGAGATGAGATCGTTTTCACCTCTCTCAAAAGTAACGGCTAAATTGTTTTTTTTCTAGCTGATTATAAAAAAAAAATTATTATTATTATTATTTTAAAAATCTACTACGACTGTCAAAAAACTCTTGACGTGTGCTAGTATGTAAGAAGCGGTGCCAATTCGTAAAATACAAAATTAAATACTAGAGTAGTTTTTTTAGCTGGCGCTTGTTCGCAAATTATTAATAGTGTATACCGCCATCGCACATCTACAACAATGGATATTTATTATTTATAACATTAAACTGTAAGGTAAGTTATATTTTGTACACGTGCCAAAAAATAGAACGGTATTAAAAATCCTTTGATTCGGTTGATCATAAGCATATGTATCAACGATTGGTAAGTTAAGTAGTATAACGGTACGTCGTAAAATTAACCGACTATTACTTTTATGGTAGTGACCTAAAAAATGTACTCAAACACAACAATAAAGAGGTAAAAAAAAAAAAAAAAAACAAAACAATACCGACAGGTGGGTTTTGGTCGAACTATCACAGACATCTTGATAACGCGTTATTTTTAAACATTTTCTTTTTTTTTCAACTAACACCCACGTATATAAAAAAAAATACCCCGACCTTCGCGGTATTCGAGTTTTGACTATAATTATCAAGTACATCGCTTAAACGGCTTCAATGCGTATAATATAAAAAAAAATAATTAACAGCTTGCGACACTTGTAGCCAACCTTGTAGGTTTTTTTTAATAAGGTGAACGAATGCAAGTATTTTTTATAGAACAATGATACTCTTCTATAACAATAAAATTGAGAAAATTATTAAATAAACATAAATAAAATTAATGCACACACTTGGGATGGTGATTACCATGTTAATTAAAAACTAGTCCGTTTCCTAGTGCATTTTTATTTTTGTGATTATACTTAAAAATATACTTTAAATATAAAAAAAAAACCTCGAAAAACGTTCGATGACAATTGATAACAAGTCGTCCTTACATCTGCTGTACAAAAGTTACCACATACTTCAGTCTGTTTACTAACATAATAATAATATAAATGCCAGTAAATAGACTATAAATACATCCAATTATAAATAAACTTTAGCATATTCAATAATATGCTAATCTATTTTGTTTTAAGACTTAAAAGATTAAAAATGGCGGAAACTATTACTTTGTATTTTTTTGAAGTTGGTAATGAGCCGGTTTTCACATTTTTTTGGTATGCATACACACATTAAAACCTATATTTTTGGGCAAAAGCAAACAAATTTGATGGGCTAAGTTTTCTTTTAACTGCACTTCTAGTTGTTATTTGCTATACAATGGATTCTTAGATACTTTAGGTCACTATTTAGCATACTTAGTTTTCTTAGTGGCATTTCATCAATTTATATTAACACTGTTTCTACTACTTTGTATACAAAAATAATTTGTTTGATAATTTTTACTTATAGTACAATTATTATTTTAACGTTATACTCGCAATAGGTACATGTACAAGTGCCAAATTGTTGACGGCAATTCAAATCTCGAGGCTTCTAAATATTTTCTCCTAATTGTAGGATGTATATTATATGAGGTATGCCTCTTTTCTATGTTAGCAAATGGGCATACAAATTTTATCTTAATGTTAAACTTTATTGACTAATTCCCTTTACAATGTGCCTTAATAGTGTATTAAGTATTTTCAAAAAAATGTCTGTACTTTACTCCTCACAAATGGTGGTTTGGCCAGTGCCGTAACTTGAAGGCCAACGGCCCCAGTGCAAATAAATTATATTTTTTTAATATAAATTTTAAACTGTATTAATTGTTGCTGACAGCAACGGAGGGTGCAATGCACCGCCTGCGCTTGTAATTTTAGCGGCACTGGGTTAAGCATTTATGTTATGAAAAATATTATACTTAATTAATACATTTTGAAATCACCTACCTATGGAATCGCGCACAATCAAAAATGAAATCATAGTACTAGTGAGTAGTAGTGTGTCTCTGCCCAAAATATAAAATCAATGCGACTATACGAGTACGCGACATTAATTTCCAAAGACGGCGGTCGCGTTTAATTGATTTAAACAATTTATCGTTATCCCTTAAATATGGTATATAAATATAAATATTGTATGTGTATCTTCGACGGTCGTCCGTCGCGTTGCGCGTTGTCGTCGTCGGTCATTATCAATTCCTAGAAATTAGCTTTACAGGAAATCTCACTATAAAGGATATTTTTCAAAATGGAAATCCAAAAATACCTCTGAACTGTAAACACGTTTCAGAATAACTGTATAAAAAATCCGCGTTAGTGTGCTTCGATAATTATTTATTAGCATATAATTTTTAATATTTTGATACATTTTCACGTGGCCCCTAAAAGAAGATGGGCTCTTGGGCGATCGCCTAGTCCGCCTATTGGATAATCCGGAACTTAAATTATTGTTATAAAACTTGTAATTTTTGTAAACACAATACTTTCCTGCAGATGTTTGACTAGTATGTATATTTTTTGCTTATTTAAATTTGTTTTTTCTTTAGTAATTGAAAACAAAGTTTAAGGCATTTAAATACTATTTTAGGACTTCAATTAATTTTTTATATCATAAAATACATTTGATATAGATTGGCATTTATGATTTGAACTGCAACAACAGTACCTATTGAAAATAGTCAAATATCTATAATGCATACCAATCGATGGACAAGTTCCGGTATAATAATTTGACTTGGGACCCCCATGCACACCACACAATTAACTCTTATTTAGTAAACCATTTGAGATTATTATTATTATGATGATGATGAAGTCTCACGAAACCGGTTATACATATTATAGCTTTGTCGCAAACCGGTTCGTTCGAACGCCTACTCCGATGGTTATGATATTTTATTAGTGCAACAACATTTCTTCATCGTTTATCATGTTATTATTATTATTATAAGACTTTAGACCTGTGCGGTGAATTATATAATAACCAACACAACATTTACGTAAACCATAGATGCCAAACAATATTAAAAACAATTTTACCCATTACACCAGAGTAACGAAAAAATTAATAATTAAATAAATAAACACTTAAAACTTAGTTGAGTGATATGAGAAGAAATGACCGGTTGGTTGTGAGAGGATGTCTGTAAGAAAAGGCGAAGAGAAACGAAAAGAAAGAAAAAATCATAAAATGATCAGGTTGCAAGTCTTGTTTAATGGTGTTATGGAATTATTTTAAATAATTAATTATATACAAAAATAGATACCAATAAGCCAGTACTCGAAATTTAATGACAAAAGCCTTAAAAATTATGTATTAAAAAAATAAAAACCTAAATATACATATCGATTGTAATAGGTACAGACGTACAGTTAATTTAGACCAGACTTATTTTGTTACTTAATAAGGTAAAATAATAAGTTATTTATGCTATAACAATTTAAGTAAACTAATTAAAATTTAGGCATGTTTTATGTTATTTTTATTTTAGTAATAATATTTATATTTTATGCTTATTATAAATTAACATTACAATCTGTACGTCGTAGTTACATGTAACATGTACAAAAACCCATTAGAAAAACGCACATTATACTTTGATTTTACCACTTAAAGAAAAAATAGCAAATTTGATTACAAAAAATTAAAAAATGTTAACAAAAACTAAATGAGTATAGAAATAGATACAAAAAAACATATAATTAATTTTATTATAAGAGCCTCGTCCGTTGTACTTACATAAAAAATCTCATAAAACTTTAAAAAATGTATACAAACCCCTTAGGAATTAGAATTTCTAATACTTAATATAATGGAATGGTGAAAAAATGTATGTCTTAAGATTCCTGAAAACGGCTTACGCCTAAATATTTTTTTTAAATAGATTTTAAAATTCTTAAGAACTCAATTTTGGCTAAAATGTGTTTGAATATTTGCCCAAAAATTATTGATAGTAAACGCAGAGCTTTATGCCAAAATCACTTGCCAGGATTTATATTATATTGTATTAGAGTTCAACAAACAGATTTACATGTGTAAAAAAGTACTACATATAGTGCTTGTGAATTAATTAAAAATTAAAAAAAAATATTACAGATTTTTGAACACTACAACTGTCTGCATCTCATAATAATAAAGATTTAATTATATCCGTTCAAGACAAATAAACTAAAACAATAATAACACTTTTACAAGAATAAATAGGAGCCTTGTAAAGTTGTAATTGGCTTAATGTTTGACAGTCGGCCTAGGTCTACTAACAAGGCCTACGAACTGTGAGAAAGCCAAGAAACATAATTATTTTAAAGTATATTTTTACGTTTAATGTATTGTTTTATATACATATAATACAAAAACGAATATGTTAAAACGTATATAATAAAAACAAACTAAATTGTAATATGATTATTAACGAGACAATAATATAATAATTATTATTATTATTAAAAAATGACAGAACACGAGGTAAGAGGGTCAAGTTTGGGCATCACTGGAGCGACAACAAAATTGTCGATTTTTTTTCCCTATTACAACGACCCGGAATAGCAGCTGTTTTGGAAAGCAGGAAGAAAGAGTGAGATATAAAGACTAACATAAGAGTAACATCTGTCTATGAGTTTCTCAGCAGTGCTCGTTATACTTACATAGAAGGGTGGACAGTTTTTTTTTTACTAAAGGGGGATCAAAATTACCAACAACGTTTATTCCCCAATAAACGTTTCTCAATATTTATATATTAGAATAGAATTATTCATTACTTACGGTAGTGTCGAAATTGAAAACTTGTTCACTGTGTAAAGGGCATTCCAGGCCACACTTGCAAGTACCTTGAGTTTTTAAATAAATTTTGACCTGATCCAACGAACTCAAAACCGCATTGCTAGGGCTGCAAAATAATACACGGAAGAATATTAATCATTATAAGCATAATAATTGAAGTATGAACGAATGTGAAATTATAAACCACAGAATAAGTTTTGCAGTTTTTTAAGTAAAGGATGTCATCAGTTTGCAGTCCCTCATTAATCAATCAATATCCTTATTAATATAATATCTCTTTTGGCAAATTTTTCGTTGAAAACGCGACAGTTATTCGTGTCAGTTTCAAAACGATTAGCTTAATAAACATTTATTCTTAGTTATACATAACATATATATTATTATGATTTATGGTAATCACAAGTGGGGTATTACACAAATTTTAATGTAGAGTCCTACAAATCACTTATAAGTTTTTAGAATTTATTATTTGAATCCTTTTGAAAAGGAAATTGTATATTACATAATAAATATGTTTATTCAATACATCAAAATTAAAATTTCAATTTTATAACCAAATAATTTAATAATATCTGGTTAAACTGTAGCAATTTATCATATTTTATTGTTTGAAGAGAGCAAAATAGAAGTATGTACTCAAAATTGTCAATTTGACAGCTACACCTTTTATCCATATAACAATGGCATAAAAATCGTTTTGTTTATTAAGATAAAACAATGCATACAGAAATTTAAAATATATTTGCCGTTTTTTAGTATATTTTCAAAACCATATTAATATTTTTCTTTAAGACATTAAAACGCTAATTGTTTGGTACAGAAAGGAAATACGCCTTATGGTCACAACTGAACGTTACGGTTCGAAAAACACTAGCCCCCATCGGCCGAAATGCACAAGTTATTTTTATGTTAACATTTAAAAAATATATATGTATAAGAACAATACTACACAGTTAAAGTCTGTGTTAACAATACAATGGAAGCTCGTTCATCCAGCCTTGATAGTATATAAATAATTCAAACAAAATGTACCTATGTAGGTATATATTTATTTATACTTGCCTACTATATATTAATTGTTTAACATTCACTTCTTAATCTAAACATGAGTACATGTTGATGTATGAACTATACATACATTATTTTTATCAATTATTTAGCTGTAAATTTAGTATATTTTACGAATTGAAGTAGTTTTAATTAGCTTTTCAGCAGTAATAGTCTTTATTACACATTATATTTTCAAAGCTTAGAACTCCTAATAGGTATTAATGTTATCATTTTTTGTTTATTGTTTCTAGGCCCACAATAAATGTACAACTACTAGACCGGTTTCGTGCAAGTTACACGGAGTAAGTGTGTACACTCAATGCGAGGTTTGATTAGATGCACAGATGCATTACCAACGACCCCACAATTTTTTTTTTTTTTTAGCTTTTAAGCTGAATTTGAAGCTGAGGATATATTTCTAATTATTGGCAATAAATTGAAACCTGACCTATTCCTATTCCTCTCTAAAGACTATAACAAAATCATTTTTTGTTCTTAGTGTTATTTATCATTTTAAACGAGTTTTTGAAAATATGCTGATGAAAATTCATAAAACCATATTAACCATTTATTTATTTTTGACTAATAAGTTATCCTAACAGAGTATTAAATTATTATGTTTTATTCCCGGGGTATACACCTCAGATGTTGACACTGCTTAAGTCACGCTGAGACTGTAATAAAAATTGATATTAATAGTGCCACTGCCCTTTTAGAAACGAAGGAAATTATTTAGATTTTTTCCCCTCCTCTACTTTACAGATTTCATGGGTGAATCTTCAAGCAGCAACTGATTTATTAAGAATACCACACAAATAAGATACATGCATTACATTATTAGATAATATTATTATAAATATCGTTAGTTTTGTAATTATTAAGCCTACAGCTGTCGCCTGTCAGATCCTATATACTCGTATATTCTTATAACCTTGTATTATACCATTAAGAATATTTTCGAATGTTACTAACTGAAAACTTGGGAGGTATATTGTCGCGATACAACGTTGTTATTACTTAATAAACAGGTTTGAGCTACAATATGCAAATCCTTTATGTCAAGTACATTTTTTTGTGTCTATTACGTGGTACCACCATAAATACCCTTAAACGATATGCGTCATATCGCGTTTGATTGTGCGTACTTTAAAACTCATTCATTAAACAAAAAAATATTATTTCATAATTTATTAACAAACAGATCGCAAATCATGTTAACGATTTCCAAAATAGTTCATAATTTTATATTGTATAATTTATTTAGCAATAATACAAAGTTAAATTGACAAAGAATTTAATATGGTTAAAAGTTCAGAAAATATGATAATTTTTAAACTTCCCTTAACAATCCTAATTTTAAAGGGGTATACATATATTAAAAGACAAGTTTTTACTAGATTATCGTACCGGGCTTACAAATAAAAGCTAATACTATTTGTTACAAAAGTTTAGAACTTTTTTTACGATATACAAAAAGTATTAATTTAAAAATTTAATTTTCAATAGTATACTTTTTAAGGAAGTATGGTTAAAACAAATATTCGTTAAACATGGCGTAAATCACAACACAATTGGCGGAAGTCCAAAATTTAGAAACTATTTTAATCCAAAGATTGTTGAGGTACTAAAATATTAAAATAAATAAAAACAAACCACAACTTTTAAATTAGAATGAAAAAGAAATGTCAACATTGATAAAAGAAATTACTATTGTTCATTAAAAATGTTAGGGTAATACTTAAGACAACAACGTCGGTATATTATTACAACATTTTAAGCGAATTTAAAGAAGAAATTTTTAAAAAAACTTACACCAAAGATATATTTTTAAATAATCAATTTATTTATTTATCAATTTTAGACAAATATTTTAAATTATAGATTTAAAAACAAGTAAAGAGCAATTTTTAGATAATATATATATATAAAATTAAAAAAAGATGTGAAACCAAAAATTCACCTCCGACTTCACCACTGTTTTAGGTCTAATCAATAATCCTACTAAAATACAGAAGTCAATCTTTCCTCTAGTCACTAGAGTCTAGTGCAACATCGCGTTCACTACAACTTACAAGTAACTATTTTTATAAGAAGTTGTGCATTTAAAGGCAATACCTATTTAAAAAATAAAATTACACATAAGAAATTTTAACCATTTTAGACCCTCGGATCTCTACAGTGTACCCTTGATAAATCAAAATATGAAGCACACCGTTAAAAATAATTTAATTCCACATCAAATTTGTTTAAAATATTGCTGGGTCTGAAGAAGTTAAAAAATAAGGGTTTAACTAGACCAGCGTGTAATGAATCTATTGGTATTTTGTTTTACCATATACCAATGCATTTTTTTTTTTAAATTAATTGCATCGGATGGGAAAAAAAGCAAAGGGGAAAAGAACAAGCAGCAAACGTAAAGTACATTTTGTGGAATACATGATTAGGGAAAGTGATGGAAAACAGTCGTGATGTCGATCGAGTCAGTCAATTAAATGAAGTCCGGTCGTCACGACATGACAGCCGTGGACTAAGCAGACGTCACGAATCACGATTATTTAAACGATTATTCTATGATGAGAAAAAAAAATTGAACCTTGAAGTTCACATTCAAAGCGGTGTACACTATGTAGAGTTTAAAAATATCAACAATTCCTCGCTTTATTTGAAAAATATATATATACATTTATTTATTACTATTATGGCGAGGAAATTGTTGTTACATATTATTACATATATTACTATAAATAACTCTGACCGGTCACAACTATAAAATATTCAACACAACGCCTACTCAAATAAAAAAATCCCACTAAATCTTCACAAAAATAAAAAATACATAATTTATACAATTCTCGGTTTAAATTTAGTTGACACTTCACAGATTTAAAAGTATTTTTTTTTTTTTAACAAAGATCATAAAGTTATAAGTCACCAGTCTTGCAATTATAATAATGTATATATTTTAATAATTATAACCGACAGTTTATAGCAAAAAAACAAAAATATTGTATACAAAAATATGCGTTTAGATTTAAAAAAATAAAAATGCGTCATAGCAGCGCTGCCAGAGCTCTGTGATAGTTAATCTCAATCAAACGATATAACGGTCGATAGGTGAGTTATATTATACAAAATACTTTACGCGAAACCATTTGCCACGATTTCTCCGTCACGAATTTTCAAACATGAAAAATAAATTAAGAAAAGATGCTAAGCAGAAACCTAGTCATGACCGAACAATGCAATAGAATGGAATATACTTTATAGTTCACCGTACGGTGAAAGGTCCAACGATAATGTTCGTACTTAGTCAAACATTTTGATTTTGTTAAGGTGAAAGTAAGCGTATACGCTCGACATATCATCATATTATAATAGAAACTCGAAAAATGTACTAAAAACTGAACAAAATAGATATTCATTTCATGCCAAAATATTATTATAGTCTACATTTTTTTCTTTCATTTTTTTTTAAATAAAACTTTAAAATAAGTTGCTGTGTACACAGTTGTTACTTGTTAGTGACTAAGTTTTCCGACCAAACGAATGTATAAAATAGAATGCTTTTATAGAGTAATATTATCATAACTTAATATTTGGCTACAATTTAATCACTTTACTTCATCAACGAGTTAAATCATTTATTTTTATTAAAAAGAAACTTGTAAGAAGAAAGTCTATTTTTAACATTATTATTGAAATTTTAAGTCATTGTATCAAAATTAAATATGAATTATACGATTGGTATATGACTGTGTAAGAAGCCAGTAATAGTTATAGGACTTTAAATATCAGGATACTCAAAAATAAATTCTATTAACTCTAGAAAAAGTCAATAAGTGACGATAAACTAATAAAAAAAATTGAGAACCGTTTTCAAATACTCGATTAAACTAACAACAAAATTATTGGAATGAATTTGCATTTGAATAATAATTTCAATGGTTTATTCAAATAATCTATAATTTTATCAATCGAAGAATGCCCAACTCTGGTTTTACCATTAACTACGGATCCATATAAAGTTGGCATGCCTACCCTATCTGTCTAACTAAG